CCGACACATAAACATAGATTTAATCTTCATTTTAATACCATAATTTTTTAGTATATTTTAGTCATTAATTAAAGTTATTAAAATTCATAAGATTAATAAGATATAGTAAAATTTGTTAGGCGCACAAATTTTAGATTTTAAAAAATAAATCTTCAATATATTAAAAAGGTAATTAAGCATTTTCGAAATAAACATCTATAAATGGATATTCCTATTTAGTGTATTTAAAAAAAACTTCAAACTATTTAGTGTATTTATCTTACCCCTAAATAAATATTAATATTATAATATTTAATGATATATAGTAAATTGCTCTATTTAGTGTAACTATTTTATTCTTCAATAAAAATAATAATATTATAATTTAAATTGTCATATAAGTTATGTTCTTCTATATTTATGACAATTTAATCATAATACAGTCGTGTTAAACAATCCAAAAATTATATATATAATTTATAAAATGATTTTGATTTTAATTTTAATTTCAAGTAAAATTGTCACTCAAATGCAATTTCTGTTTTATTTCTATTATAATAAATTGAATTCACTACGACTTCAACAAACATGAAGTTGTAACTTTAATTTCATTATTATAACAACAAAAAATTAATTATGAAATTAAGAGTTATAATATTAATTATAATTACAATAATACTATGGTAATACATTTTAATAGTACTATTATCGTAATAAAACTAATAATAATAATGTTATCAAAATACATTTTATTATTATAATTAGTGTAATAATTTTTTTATAATAATGATTATTTTCACATTATTATATATATTTACTATTATTACTTAAGATTAATAAAATAAAAAAAATATTTTATTTTTACACTAATAATAATTGTCACAATATTTGTATAATAATAATTATTATTAAAATTTATTACTATTATAATAAAATTGAATTCGTGTGATAAAATATGATTTTTTTATTAATTATATTATTTTAAATTAATATAAAATCTATTGATTATATAATATAATATATGTAAAATGGCAAAAATATTTTGGATGCCAATTTTTTTTCCTATGAATGCTTGTACCTTTCTTATTGCATCTTGTGCATTTCATTAAGTAAGTTGTTTTAGAGTTAGAAAATTGTTGACGATAAACAAATCCAAAATTCATTTATAGATTATGTTTTCTGAAAATATATTTCAGATTTAATAAATCATAATTCATTTATAAATTATATTTTCTTGAAATATATTTTAGATTTAATCATCCATCCATAACCCATAGTGAAAAATTATTTTGGACTCAATAGTTCATAACTCATTTTCAAATTCAATAATCAATAACTTGCTGATTGTGTTATTCAAAAATAATTTTTATAAATTCTCTAAATTGACCTTTTCAAAAAGTTTTACAAAAATGTTCTATAATTAGTTTTTTGGAATTTATTTAAAAAACTAATTCCAAAACGTTCCCACAAAGTTCAATGAGTTTTTCAAAACTTATTTACATTAAAAATAATATTATCATTTGAGAAAAAAAAACATTGGTGCAAGAAAAACAACCTAAAATTCATTAGGAATTTCATCCTGTTTTGCTTCCATACATCATAAGGGATTTTTTTTACCTTCTCTTGATGTACTTATAATTTAATATATACATTGTAAATATTATTTTATGTAATATAATTAAAAAGCGCGTGATAGTAATGTATGAAAATAAACCTGAGCGACTGACAAAATACAACAATTTAAATTAAATTTTTTATGATATAAATTAAATCAAATCTATTTTACTCACTCTTATTTATTTAAGTATTAGTTTAGATAAATTTAAATCAGACTAAATTCATAAATTTATTGACTAACTCATTTTAAAAAATAATAATAATTTTTTAAATAAAAAAATGTAAAAAAAAATAAAAAAAATTTAAAATTAAATAATATTATTTTATTATATATATATATAATTTAATTTAATAAAAAATTTACTTATTTTAACAATAAATATAAGAAAAGATATATAACTTTCTCTTATTCTATAATCTAATTATTAATAAGATGAATTATTGTTTTACATTAATAAATTATTAAACAAATTGAATGATAATAATAAAAAATAGTTTTTTAACTTTTCTTGTGACATCAATTTTTTTTTATAATTTATATATTAAATAATTATATTTAAAATAAACAATTATTTTATTAATATAATATAAAATTTTAAAATATATTTTTATTTTTATTTTAAGAAAATTTTAATTAATTATTTCTATACAGATGTGTTAATATTTTTTTTCTTAATTTTCAACCGAACAAAATATAACCGGCTACAAATCCATTTAAAAATATAGATTAGATTTTACAATCAATTTTTTTTGTTTGATATAACCAAATTACATTGAATTGGATCGGGATTTTGATAGACATGAGTCACTGAGTCGCGCCGCGTGTATATTGGATTGCCAGTTTGATAGACACATGAGTCACCACTATATTACTTTTTTTTTTTTTTTTTAATTGAAAGAAAGTCGCCAAGCATAATCTCATTTTAGAAAATAATTTTGATATTCTTTTATAAAATAACATCATTTTCGTCCATCATCTAACCCCATTTTGTAAAATAAAATTGAAAAAGAAAGATAAAAGATGCAGTCACGATAAATAGTTGTGATAAACAATAACTTCTAATTTTCATAGAAATACAAGTTACTTCCTGTTTTGCTGTTAATAAAAATTATGGATAAATAACTGTTTTAAAAATATATTTTCACACTTTCTCAATAAATATTTATTTTTCACCCTCATAGTGAAAATAAAAGAAGATTATTTAAATAAGATCCTGAAAATCAACCCAATTGGATCACATGACCAAACACAATTTGTAACTTTTTTTTATACATATCACATGAACAACAATTGGACTCCAAAGCATGTGACTTATATTAAACCCTATTAATGTATATGTTTTTTTTCCCTTAAAAAAACCACTCTCCTTTCTTATTGTTATAGTTTTTGTTATTTAAATATGAGAAAAAACACTATTGTATATTATAATTTATACATGTATGTCTAATAATTAATATTACATTTATATATTATTAAAAAGTATAAAATATCTAACGCTATCTTGTAAAATTGATTTAATAAAATAATAAATTATACTAACTTATATATTATAATATTATAAAATTGAATTTTGATATCATTTATTATCACATTGCTATTTTTTACGAAGATTTTTTTATGTGTTTCTTCATTTTAAAAAAGTTTTTTATCAACACTAAGAATTTTTTTTTATCGTATTATATATATATATATATATATATATATATATATATATTTTTTTTTTTTAAACATTGAGTACAACCCTTGTGCAATTTCTTATTTTTGATGACCCTATTACAAGTCGTTGAAGCTGAGAGGTACACAATATATAATAAACTTAATGAAGTAATCCTAAAAGTTACGTATATTGTGGATTATTAATTTTTTTCCGTTTCACCAATTAGTCATTTCATTAATATATTTATTGAGAGGATGTTCTAATAGACTCGTATCTATGATTTATAATCATCAAATTTTACACAAATTAAATCAGCAAAATGTCTTAATACTCATCCTTCGATCTTATTTTTCTCCTTTCTATAAATTATTGATGTTTAATTTTGTGCTTGACAATGTAAACATTAGCATCTTACCCTAAAATTAAATAATGAAACATGGATTTAATAATTTCCTACCAACTTGCGTCTATTTTGAGGCTTTTTTTTCATGTAATTGCAACACATTGACATTTGTATATTTTCATACTCTGAGAGAAGGATTTTTTATAGAACCCAAGTAGCTGGAAAGGTGATATCTTATGATTGAATAAAAAAAACTAAAAGAAAATAGAAAAAATAAAATAAGATATAATAAAGTATTTTAATTTATTTTAAATTTTAAATTTTCCTTTAATTAAAGAATGGGACAGAAATACTCTTTTCCTTATTCCATCATAAAAAAAATATTTAAACAATAAAATAGTAACTTAGTTCGGTAAATTTTATAATATTTTATTTTATTAGATTAAATTTTTTAAAATTTATTGATAATAAAAGTTAGTCACTGTAATTTTTTTTCTCCCTAATATTTTAGCCTGATTCCATCCCCAACCAATAATGTTTATCTTGACAGTATCAATATAACCTATTATTTACCTTAATAATATTTCTGAACCTTTTCATATTTTTATTTAATATTACATTAAATTTATCTTTAATTTCATTAACTAGTTTTTTAAGAAAACATTTTTTTTGTTTAATATATTAATCAATATATAAATTTATTAAATTAAAATGAAATACGATGAGGTATTTATAAATTACAAAGAAGTATTTTACTACTAATTAAACTAGTTTTGATAATTTCAAAGTTCCTATATTTTTATACGGGCATTACAGTTTTGGAGTCTGTGACAGGTGTGGATAAACTTCATGACAAACCATACTATAACTTTGGCTTCATACATTATTCTTAAGGTAACTTGTGAATAATTTAAGCATCTTTTATCGTTAATGAATTATTTTGTATTTTTAAAGAAAAAGAATATTGCTGAGAAAGCAGGGATACTTACAATAGAAAATATAATACATGGAAAATTTAAGATTTTCAAAGGGACTTGTACTTTAGACAACTATGTGTTAGTTATGTTGGCTGGTGGGTCATTATCAAATTTTCATTTGAAGAATTTCCAACAATAACATAATTAATGAATAATTGAGTCAGATAATGGGGACATGTAATAATAAGGGTGAATGTTAGAGAAAGTTTGCTTTAAAGTCTTACAAATATATTATTGTACTTCAAAGTAAGCCTGCAAAATTCCAATGGAAACTCATCAACCCCATAACAACCCTTAGACTTTTTCATCCAAATGAAAAAAAAAAAAAAACTACAACACCTGTACTTAGGTTAGTCTCTATAAGTAGACCTTTGTGCCATTGTTTACCTGCAGCAAATATTCAGAGGATAGATCCAGATATCAGCCATGACTTTCAAAGAAGAGCAACAACAAAACCAAGCTCCTAGCCACAGACAACTCCGGGATAAAAGTCTCCTTCAGAGCGATGCACTCTATCAGGTTCATTCAATCCAAACATTTTCATTCCATCTAGTGTGAAAGTAAGTATTAACTAAATTTCTCAGACATAATAAACTGTGCTGGTGTTGCAGTATATACTTGAAACCAGTGTGTACCCAAGAGAGCATGAGAGCTTGAAGGAGCTACGAGAGTTGACGGAAAAACACCCTTGGTAAGATCATGGTTATGCACCTGTAATTAATTAATGTTTTTCAAAACCTTAAAATTGTCAAATAATTAAGAATAATATGTACGTATGTTGTAAAACAGGAACCTCTTAGCTATACCACCTGACGAAGGACAATTTATAGGTATGCTACTGAAGCTCATGAATGCCAAGAACACCATGGAGATAGGCGTCTACACTGGTTACTCCTTGCTTTCCACTGCCCTTGCTCTCCCATCTGATGGAAAGGTCATTCATTCATGCATATACACACACACACACCATATATGTATATATATATATACAACTTAGATGAGTGTATATATGGCTGATGAGAGGTTTTGCTGAAATGAAATAGATATTAGCAATGGATGTTAACAGGGAATATTATGAACTGGGGTTGCCTGTGATTCAAAAGGCTGGAGTGGCTCACAAGATTGACTTCAGAGAAGGACCTGCTCTTCCTCTTCTTGATGAACTCATCAAAGACGTGCGTATATTCAACCAAGTTTATTTTTTAAGAAAAAGAAAGAGTCAGTGTCAAAGTTATATATCCATGTTTCAATGTTTGTGTTGTTGACTGAGTGTGTATTGCATTGCATGCGCAGGAGAAGAACAAGGGAACGTTCGATTTCATCTTCGTGGATGCTGATAAGGATAACTACCTGAACTACCACAAGAGGGTGATTGAGCTTGTGAAGGTTGGGGGAATGATAGCATATGATAACACTCTATGGCACGGCTCTGTGGTTGCCCCACCCGATGCACCTCTTTTGGATTACGTTAAGTATTATCGCGATTTTGTGATGGAGCTCAACAAAATTCTTGCACTTGATTCAAGGGTTGAGATTTGCCAGCTTTCTGTTGGTGATGGCATTACCCTTTGTCGCCGTGTCATCTGATCCTTTTACCTGCTACTCATGGAAAAGTTTCTGCTATGTTACCTAATCCCACCATAAATAATGTGTGTCTATGATTATTACGTTGAATTTTAGTATTCTACCTTAACTTCATTCATTTCGTGTCTCTTCATCAACACAAAACACATACACTAATCATATATATATATATATATATATATACGGTTTCCATTTGAGTGATTATCTCAATTATAAATAAAATGAATAAATAAGTTTAATTAAATTATTATTTAATAAATATTATTAATGTAATATATTGTTTAACATTAATTATTTATCTTTTATTCAATATAATATTAGAATGGTTTAAGTTTATAATAGAAAAAAATACAACAATATAACTAATAGTACTGTCAAAATGATATTAAACTCAGTTTTTTTTAATTAGATAAGATGTGTTTTAAGAATTATTTTAATTTTAAACTTTTGTCTAATCACTATCAACCATTTTATGTTTTTTAATTTTTTACATGTAACGTTTGGATAAACAAAAAATTTTACATTCATCCCAAATAATCACAAATAGAAATCAGAAAATAAATCTCCATATATCATTTATTCTTTATATATATATATATATATATATATATATATATATATATATATCATAGTTGATATGAACTTCATTAATCAAAATAATAAATATATAATAATTTATATTGGAATGTGAAATTTATTCAATAATATAAAAGATTGCAATTAAGAAAAAGAACATTGACAGGGTTTGATTGATTTGAGGAATAAAGAAGGAGAGGAAACAGTAACCATAACAATAATAATGTTATAGAAAAATATAATGGTTTATGTTGAGAGGGTTCTCTACTAACTCATTATTCTTGTAAATTGATTCAACTGATATAAATTTTGCATTATTAATTATGATGGTAAAATTATTTAAACATACCAAAAAAAAGAAAATTGAATAACAGTTGTAAGTTAATTTGTTACGTAAATTTTTAAAACATTATTAATATTGTATTAGCATTTAAAAAATGTATAAATCTAAACCATTATTTTTCAATAAAAATTCGATAATTTAAAAATAGAAATTAAAATTATAAAAATACGATTATTAATATTGTTTCTAATCTTGGTTCTTCATTTATCTTTTCCTTCCAATATTAAAAATAAAAAATACAAAACAAAAACTTCAATGATCAAATGTTAATTTATTCAATTTTCATTCATAATCGAGTTATGTTGTCCTGCCAACCGAAAACTCTTCTTATAATCATAATAATAATTTAAAGTATTTTCGAAATTATTAAAAATATCTATTTAACCACTCGACATATTATTATAATAATATTATTTATTATTTATGATTATATGTAGGAGTACGGAGTCTCAAATATTATCACTTTTCAAAAAAAAACCGTCTTTCATCAGAACAATAATCCGTATACAATGTTAGACAAATGTAACCTAACATAAGAAAAGAAACAACAATAAATTTTAAGAACTAAAATTAAGATGTTTACAGTTTGTAAAATCAAAATAACAGTATGTGTGGCGTGTAATTTCTTTAGTTACTGTGAATTTTTCGTAAAAGTATTTACATTAGAACTAAATTTCAGTATAGTTTCTACTACCAAAGTGGAAAAAAATAACATACATCAACTAGTATTAAAAAGAAGAAAGAATATCCGACAAGAAAATTCATATTTTAGAAGACTTGTACCAACTAGCATTTAGAAAAAAAAGTATATCAGAAGAGGAAATTCAGATTTTAGAAGACTTATACCACATTAACTACTTCTTCCCCTTACAATAAAATCCTCTAATGGAACATTTTCTCTACAGTTTTAGTTATTCCTGCACTTGAACCGTTTTCTCAGTCTCGATTAACACGTCATTGTTATACCTAGATGTTACAATCTCCATAAGTCTCAACCTTATTCTGAGGTAAAAAGTAGGATAAGATTATTAATTGTCTGTCTCATTTTCGCATGTAGCATCTTCAATAGCCAAGGACTCCCATTGAATCAAAAGTTGCGGAACTTAAAGTCGGCCGTGCATCACAATGTGACGAGATAAGGTCTTCATAGGTGTTAAATGAGGTCCAATTTCAGAGCTTGTAAGAGAGAAAGGTAGATAATGTTCATTTGCGTGGCCATGAATACATGGAAGATTGGATGAATTTTAGTTGTTTTTATGTAGTTTCAACTTGTAAGCTATTTCACAAACTCTTTGAATAACTTTCAAATAATTCATCATCTCCTTGACTTCAAAAGAGCATTTCGAAAGTGGTAGCTGATGCATTTGTTACACCAAATGTCATAACTAGCTATTCATAATGGTCAAGATTGTTTTATGCTTATCTTTTGGTTTCACTCTAATTTGGTAATAACTTATCTCAAATCCAACTTGGAGAAATATTTTGCACCAAAAAATTCATTAACGGTAGAAATAGGAAAAGTATCTTTAATCGTGACAGCATTGAGTGAGAATATCTGTAAGGTTTATCTTTTACAGGACCATAACCCTCCCTTAAAGGGAATAAAATGATCCTGAGATCGAAATGGTGGCAATTATATGTAATTTTTTTTAATAAATGAGATTTTACTCGAAGGTATAGTAGGTCGAGGAAGAGAGGAGACAATGATGATTTCTGAACAAGACGAGTAGGAGCATAAGAAATAGTTGCAGGATATGAAACAAGAGAGTATCTTTGAGTGTAATTTGTAGAAGATTGATTAAAATTGACAAACATATATTTTTCTTCGTACAGTTTTGCTAACGACACATCTCTTAAAAGTGAATATGGAGTCATGATCATAACATCTTTATGAATATCTTGGCTGAGTCCCCCCACAAAGCAATTAACCAATGCTTCATTAGTCAAGCCACAGGATCTGTTAGCAAGAGTCATACACTTGAGATAATAATAAAAAACAAAACCTGATTGTGAGTTTGAATAACTCAGCCATGGGACATTTAAAGGGAGAAGGTTCAAATTGCATTTCTAAAGCCAATGTTAGATCAGGTCACGAATTAATAACTGCATCATCCTCTGTAACATCTGAAACCACAGACCAACTTCTTTATCAAAGTGAATGACAACAATATCCAGACTATCAGAATCTGACGTGTGCTGATAGTTGAAAATTTGTTCAACTTTAAAGTTCCATTCAAGAATTGGAGTAAGTCCATCAAAATGCGGAAAGTCAAGCGAGATATCCTGAGGTTGAAATGCATACACAATTGGAGAGAGCGTCTTATTATCCCCTGCATTTGAGCTCGTGGCACCAATATGCTGAGATTGATTCAAGATCAAGGTGTCCAATGAATGTTGTAATTGTTCTAACCTCTCTTAATTTATGATTGACCAATTGTCTCAAGGATTATTCTGGTTCCTGAAAAACTTGATCTCTTTGTTCCATTGAACTTGCAAGTCTTGGGATTTCTTCCTCATGGTGCGCGACTTGCGATTGTAGACCTTATAGACGGATCTGTTCTCAACTCAACCATTGATGTCAACTAAAGCACCAATGTAACTTAGCATATGAAAGAAACAACAAGAAATTCCAAGAACTGAAATTAAGATCTTTATTACTTGTAAAACCAAATAACAGTCTGTGTGGATGTAATCTCCTTGGTTACATTGAATTTTCCACAAAAGTATTTGCAATGTAAAATAAGAATCAAGGTCCAATACAACTTCAACTCTTCTATAGCTAAGTAAAAAGAAAGCATGGATCAACTAAGGTTTAAAAGAAATAAAGAACATTAGAGAAAGACATTCAGATTTTAGAATACTGTACTGCAATACACGCTTACTCCTCTCACCACAAAATTTTTTAATAGAACAATTTTTTTCTATAATTTCGATTTCCCCGTGATTAATCGTTTTCTCATACTTCTTTAGCATGTGATTATTATACTAACAATTACAAGTCCCTAATTATTAGGATGTTCCAAAAATAATTTCATTGAGTTTTGTCATAAAATTTAAATATGGTTGGATTTTATTAAAAAAAAACAATTTTTTTATTCTATTTTCAATTATTTTTATAATTTTTTAACAATAAAATTATTAAATATATTATAATAAAATTATTATTTAATTATATTGTCTAATTAATTATAATATTTATGATTTTTATTTTTTTAATGTTTTATGTTTAATTTTAAAAATAATAATACATATCTAAAATTATAAAAAAAAAACTAATTTTTCAATGTTATTTTATATTTAATCATAATAATATATATTATAATTTTAATTCGATTTTAATAAAATTAAAAAAATCTAAATAAACCAATTTTGATTTTTAACGATTTACACTTATTTATTTAAAATTTATTCGTTTACACACTTATTAATTACTAATTAATAACCGGATTATTCCAAATTAGAATAAAAGACACAAATGTCATGGTGTAAATATTTGCATGATATCCTTATTAGAAAAAAAAAAAAAGTTTTCTTTTACCCAAATAAACATCCAGAACATTGTTCGAAAAACACAAAAGATTAGCCTTTTTTTTCTTATAAAACTAACCATCAGATTTCTATGGAAAGATTATACTGGAAAATAATATTTTTATTTTGAATTATTATTTCTGTAATGAAAAGAAAAACCCAGACTGAGTAATTCAAAATTTAGAACTTTCTCTCTCTCTCTCTCTCTCTCTATATATATATATATATTACAAAAAGAGTATAGGTAAAGTGAATGACGACATATGGCTGAAAAAAATTGAGGAATGTGAATTTATGTGCATCCCGAAACTCTCTAGCTTGAAAAAAAAAAAAAAAAAAAAGGTCAACGTAGAGGCGTGAATGGAAATTAAAGTGTCTTGGGCAGAAACTTACACAAACAAAAACTGTGAACTTTAAAAACATAAACTTTAAAAATAAGTAAAAAAAGAAGAAACTTAGGAGCTGTCCACCAAAGATATTTCAAAATTAGTGAGTCATATGAACATATCTTTTACCCAGTCAAATAATAAAATGCTTAATTTAATATAGCGAAAACAAATACGGGTAAAATAAGTCATTTCACAATTCAAAAGTCACCATTTTTTTTCAATCATATTTTCTTTTCCTTGACTATTACTAATAAATCAAAAGAAGTTAACAAAACTAATCAAAACTCAACTACCCAACTCATTATTATTTCTAAATTTCATTTATTTAATCTTGTATTAAAATCAAAACTGTATGATATTAAAAAAATAAAAATTGATGGAAACTATAATCTACCATCCATATAAAAATCAACTGTGAAATGGAAAATGGAATCTAGAATCTGAATCTGTGTAACACTGACACCTATTCCTTAATTTGTGTGCCTAAATAAAAACAGTATATTCCACCGTTTTCTAACTAATAAAAGTCCCTCCAAACCTGAATTAACTGGCTGATAGTTATTCATGCTAATAAGTTATTTCAAATTTGGTTCTGATTTGTAATTACTCTAAATATTTAAAAACAGAGTATTTTGTTGTCTATAAAGAATTGTTAACTTGAACATGATTAAGATCCCTGACATCTGTTTTATGACAAGGAAAAAAAACTAATAGAAAAGTGCATAAACACAAAAAGGAAGGGCGTGACAATTAAAAGGATGACGAAAACATGAGGACACTTTTCAGTTTCCTTGTCGAGGTGTATTATTTATATTGCTGACAGAAAGCAATTTTCATCAGAACAGAACTACAGAGAATTCGAGGTGAAGGTTCTGTGGTGTTAACCAAAAGGACAACCTTAGTTTTGGATTTGTGATTGTGGGTGAGAGGATCTAATGGAAGTTGAGGCAGAGATTGATCGCTTGCCCATTGACTTGTTGGCTAATATTTTCGTTCTCTTCACTTCCTTCACTGATTTGGCCCAGTAAGTTTTTATGTTCCTGTATCAGTGTTTCATTGCTTCAACAATTCATTCACAAATCACCATGACTTGACTTCGTGATGTGGCTTTTTTTGCAAGGGCGAGCGGGGTTTGCAGGAAATGGAAACAGGGGGTGAATGAGTCTCTGGCATGGAGACAGAATCTCAGTTTTGCAGGTTGGAAAATGGACGATGACTCCACTGCTCGCCTTGTTTGTCATGCCCACAATCTCACAAAACTACATATGTATGTATATGCCTTTCTTCTCTTTTTCATACCCTCAGTTCTATTCTATCATATTCTATTATTCTTCCTCTGTAATGTACTTATGTTTTTTCTGATTATAAGTTTATAATTCTATGCCCTTTGAAGTCAGGTCATTGATAGATGGTGAAGTGTTTTTCTATATTTTCCCCTTTGATGGTCTTTCTTAGACATCAGAGTCAAAATTCAGTACTGATTTTCAAAGCTTTGGAGATGGATTAAAAATTTGAATTTATGAATTTTGATTTTACAAGTAATTTGATTGGCAATTCAATGGAAACAATTTATGCTATTTTAGGTTCAAGCAGAAACTAGAGTTGTTGAAGAAGTTTGATAACATGTTTGTCTAGGGATATTAGGATAGTTGAGCACTATGGAAACGCTGCTTTGTTTAAAAGCATAGACATTCACTGTGGCTGTATTTGCGATTGAATTGTGTAAATATGCCATATCAGAAAAATGTGAATCTGGTAGGGTTTTGAACTCCAAGTAAAAGTCGTATTTGTACTTTTGATTTTAATAAGAATCTGTACCATTTGTCATTTACCCTAGGTCGATTTCTAACCCTTTTCTCTTGATTTTGTGATCGCAATGTTTCGCTAATTGAACAGCGGTTTTCTAATTTTTTATTTTATTTCTCAAGTTTTCTGATATATAGATGCCGTACAGCAGCAAATTGTGGTTGAATAGGTTAGATTGTATTATTTTTTCATTTGAACTTCTAAAGAATACATGAGACAAAATTTGACTAGTAAAATTTGAATCTGAAACAAGCAATGGTAAAGTATAGTAGTTTATCACAGGTTATAAGCCATGTTGTCATTGTCAAGAATCTAAGATGCACAATATTTATTGTCTTCGTATTTTCAGACCAAGAAGCCGTTGGGGTTGCCAAATAACTGATGCTGGACTTGTCAGGATATCTTTTGCTAAGTGTGTCAGAAATCTCACATCCATATCATTGTGGGGTTTAACTGGCATCACAGATGAAGGTGTTGTTCAACTGGTATGCCATTGTTTTGTTTTTGTAACTTACATGCTTGGGGTGAGGGACATATTGATTTTCAAAGCTTCGAAGATGGATCACAACCTTGAGTTTCTTGAATTTTGATTGTACAAGTTTAGAAGGAATTTGATTGTTTTATTTTTAATTCCTTTTGTTTCTCTGACGACAATTATTGTAACAGATAACCAGAACTAGATCTTTACAACATCTGAATGTTGGTGGTACATTTATCACGGATGAATCTCTGTTTGCCATTGCAAGAAGTTGTCCAAAGTTGGAGGTAAGTTACAAGAAATTGAACGTTTGTTTTTTTTGTGTAGAATCATTCTCCTCCTCCCATAACAAAAGAAAATAATAGGAAAGGTTTTACATTGATGTTCATGGTCAAAAGAAAAATTACTATTATCTAGAAATGGCATTTCATTCATCTCACTGTCAGTATTTAGTGTGTATTAGCCTGATAATGAATCTTCACTGGCTTTATATTCGATGTTTGTGGTATTCCATTGCATCATAAATGATTGCTTCTTGTTTTTGTTCAGACCATAGTTCTTTGGAGCTGTCGTCATGTAACTGAGAACGGGCTTTTTGCCTTGGTTGACAAATGCTTGGACCTAAAATCAATGAATGTATGGGGAACAAGAGTTCCTGAGGAGTGCCTCAACAATTTACATATTTTAAGTCCAGCCCTTCAGATCAAAGTTTGAAACTGGACTAAATGTATAGAGTGGCGTCCCTGGTGTTGTTTTTACTGCTTTTTTATGCACAGATTGTTTCGTTTTTCTGTTCTCAGATTCAACATGCCTGAAAAGCTGAACATGTCAAAGTCCATTTCTGTATAGGCAAATATTGTAATTAGCCAAGTTGTAATTGCTGTAAAAGTTCAATTCATAAAACGAAGTCATGAGTAACAATTATTGAACTTTATTGATTCATTTACTGATTTTATTGTTAGAGTGTCTCTGTTTACCTACTTTTATCTATACAAGTTGCATTCAAAATGTAAAACTGTATTGAGACCAAGTTTAGATAATTGGCTTAACAAGTATTTACAGGAAAAGAAAAATAATTAAGGTAAAATAATCAAAATCTTCCCATGAATTAAAATTAATTTATTAAAAAAAGCTTATCATTTTACTTTAATCATTAAATATTTTCTTCTATTCTAAAAGTATTTATTAAAAAGTATATTCAAGTGACAAGTTGATTTTCCCATTCATATACTAAATATATTGATGCTTTGGCATTTTTGCATATTTTAAAAGATGTTTATCTTATAAAAGAAGTCATATAAGTGAGAAAATAAAGAAATCAAAACAGCTAACACACTTGAGCATAGTTGTTTAAGATGATCATGTTACTAGTTATTATTATAATTTTTTTGTATTTTATACATTTTTGAAGAATTTTTTATTATTTATTGACGTTGTTGTTTTAAAAATTGTAAATTACCCGAGATCTTATTAAGATCATTACAAAATATTTAATTATACATGTATAAATTAGTTATATTTTATCTCATATATATTTGTTATTTGTATCTTAAATTTATTTTAAAAAAATATTATATTTAGGTATTGTATTTACTTGCATTCATACCATTTATAATCCAAAAGAACAAAAGCCAACCTGGATCTGATAGCTGATAGAGATACAGTCCTAACAGGTGGAATGGATCAGGTTTTTGACTTGGAAACTTAACTTCTAGATTGTAACTAGCGTTCAAAATTAAAATTATTTGTTTCATGTCAATTTTGTTAAATGACAAACAGAGAGAGAGAAAAAAAATGGCATTTTTTTCTAATATTAATCAGTCTGGAGGTGGGGGTTGGGGGGAAAAATAGTGTAGAAACAATTAAAGTTCATGCAGAAATGGCATAAGAAACTTCCAAACAAGGAATTGCCAATTAGGCCAGAAAGAGAATGAAAGAAAGCAGTTGAAGGCATTATTAACAGGATGAAGAAGTGATTAATAGTGTTGCAGACCTAGGGACATAGCAGAGGAAAGTGGTTTGGTGATTATTGTCCTTTTTGGGATCTATAACAATTTAAACAAGACTTCAATGGCTGCGTTAGACAGGAGATCATTCAAGACAGAAGTTTGGGAATGAACTCGAAATAGCATTCATGATCAATGATACTACAAAGGCGCTGCTAACTGCATAATTACACCAAGTACATTTAATTAAATATTGACAGAAAAATAATGATGATGTCAAATTTCGCATCATGATATGAACCTTCAAATTGTGAAATTTCTTTAAGGATTTAATACCTTTAGCAATTAGTCGTATTGTGTTTCATTTACTGACAATTTATGGTGTAAGAAAAAATCTACACGATGTTCTGATTGAAAGCTGGAAAACCTCATGCAACTTCCTCTGTTAAACTATAAGGTCCATGCTCCATATTATCTATATGTTATATGGTTAAAATGTACGATAAAACCACTACAATGTTTCAACATCAATAGATAAGTGGATGAAGGAAGAACAAGTAGTAAGAATTGTCAGAATAAAATCGGAAAAACTTTAACAAAGACCAAGAGCTCCAGACATCCTGATCCTATATTGCAAATTTCCTATTCTGTCTTGACTAGTGATACGTTGTTACAAATCCTGAAACATAATAAGGGGAAATATTACAAATATAATAAGAGTGAAACAATGTAACAATGGAGAGCCATTGTTTCCATGGAACCAAAAACAACAACACTGTAACAATAGTTTTTGAACCCTTGAAAACTTGAACTAGGTAAACTCGGCTTTCTGGCTCATAATTTGTGTTTTAATAAGGGCAAACAACACAGCTCATTCAATGAGAAGGTTATCACACATTGCAGGTTGAATCATAAACTTCACCGAAGAAAAAGAATTCTCATGATCATGAAGATTGGTAGCGAAATATGAGCAAGATTATTTAACTTGTCAAATTTGTGACATCCTAACATATCCATTATAAATAAACTTCAGAGAAATAAATCGCTTAACCGAAGCTTGGTCAATAAGTTCTGCTTAATACATATGCAACTATTTTATCAAGTCACTTTGGCAACCACATTATGCACCTAAATGCAATGTGTGGAAAGGAAAGTAAGTTTGGGCATACAGAGTTGCAATGTCTAGAAACTGATTTGGACTGCTAAGAATAGAACATACCTGAACTGCTCCGGATGCATTCTTACTCTTTCTTGCTTACCATCTACCTCAGATGACCTCACAGATCCGTGATTATAGCCTCAGCAATTCCAAAATTTTGTTTATCTAATTTCTATAAGCAGTTCCATGGCATTTCAGAGTTTGAGGCAGTACTTCAGTGTACATACTAAAATACAAGAAGCCCCTCTTTAAAGACTAGCTCATTTATGATACACAAATATAATACCACCAAGAGCTCCACTTGTTAGACTCAGGTTGCGTATTAATCACAATCGCAATAAACAGCAATAAGCAGGAAGAAAAACAAGACGTAAAGGCAGGAATTTGGAGAAAGGACGCGTGAAGCTGATCTAGAGAACTGAACAGAGCCTGTAAAGCTTCCAGCTGTGTTGGTCACTGGGCTTGTATTAGGTACAACAATGTTCTTGCAAGATCCAAAAGGTGCTCCCTCCTGCAAAATTGCAGCAATTATATAATTGTCCTTGATCTGCTTTTTTATCATCAAAATGCACAGGTAGGTAGAAACTGTGCTATGATATAAATCCATTCACATTAAGAAATCCAACTTATACAAATGTTATTCCTACACCTAATTTTTACTAGAGGGACAGACATCTTTGGGAAATAAAGTAGATATGAATATTTTGCCAAAAAGAAATTTTGAGGATACAGTCAAAGTCAACCATAACATGATTTTACATTTTTTTCCACTTTCAACAATAACAAAAACTAAACCTTTCTTTCCCTCTCTCAAGATTAACTATCTCCTGCATTAGGGTTGAATTCAAGGAATAATAACACAGACACACATAGAATTACATATAGGGATACTTCAAATTTGATGACTGACCAACTGTCTGCCTCAAATTCTGACAGAATATCTGAATCAAATTGATTTATATAATATAGATACACAGGCAGGCTTGAAAGAATATCATCCGAAGGCCTGAAATTTTTTGTTCATGTGTGCAATCAATGTTGAATAATGTTTGAAGTTATTCTAAATCAGGTTTCCACTCTCCTTAGAAATATAAGACATGAAATAATCAGAATAAAGAAGAAAGTTCACAAAAAATGGCATTAAGGAAATACATATCTGGACAAGAAGTGCAAGCAAACCTGGCAAGCAGAGACTGTATTACAGCCGCACAATGAGTGACCATTAATTTTATCCACAATTTCGAAAACACCCCCACCATCACTCCTCTGCATGAGATTCATTTAGAATTGTAAAATGGATTTGAGTTATTTTCCACATTATTGAATTGGAATCAACACTCCATAAGAAAAAGGAATACCATGTAAAAATTAACTGCTATAAAATTAGGCAACACATTTCCTGCAGCTTTGTAACATGTGTTCACCATATCAGCCAGTGGAGCCGAATGCTCTTTGCATGAGTCAGCTTCAACTGGATATGTCGGAAAGTAATTCTGCAAGAAAAGTGATGCGCTTCTAGAATTTAGCGGCTTTGATTCTTTCCTGTGTGGGCAAGAACCCCCTTGAACTCCAGGATCTCCAGCTGCAAGTTAGTAAAAGTTATGAGGTTGTTATTTCATAAAATTACAAAAATGATATCTGCGCAACAATTGCATTACACATACACTCATTTTCAACCATGTAAGTCCACTGATAGGCTATTCCTTCTTCAGCTTCCTTTGAAGCATCCGAAGTGAAAACAAGCAGTCGACGATTTGCTTGAATCATCTCTGTTACAGTGGGCCAATCTTCACCCTTTTTAGGCATATCAGACACCGGGAACCAATATTTATCCAGTCCAGCATTTGTGAATAGATTAGTCAACCCCTTTGGAGTACGCACATAATCCTCAATTACAATGGTGACAATCTCTGTCGGATTTGCCGTCAGGAATGTCTCCACTTCTCTCAAAGTATTTATTGCAGGTTGCTGAGAACATTTTCAGCTTGCCACATTAGACAACACCCCAAAAGAGGAAAATTAGATAGTAAAACGAATATCAAAGAGGAGTTTATAGTTAGATTACAAAAGCAGTGAAGTTGAAGCATTGCTCTCGAAATGAATGACAGAGCCATATATCATTCTCAAAGTCGTACATATCCAACATCAATCCTCTCACTCCATTCTAAACACCATCCATAAAAAAAGTGTAAGAATCACTGAACAAACAAGTAAAGGACTAAATAATAGATACATATGAGCATATAATAATTAGTATCACTCACTTAATCCCCTTCATCCAGAAGCTTTGAACAAGAATCACTAAAAAATAAGTAAAGTATATACAAATCAAAACAACCATTCCCTTCATCATGAAGGTAAACTAGAATCTAGAAAATGCAAAATGAACAAGGAAACGATATGACGTTTTGTTTGTCCAAGGAATCTCACTAAGAGGACAAGAAGAAGGCACAACAACACATACCGTCAACTGGTTAGTAACAGTGTCCTCTTGATTGTAAAAGGTGAGTCTCTGAACACCAGCCAAAGGTGGTGCATCCACGATGCTGAAGGAATTATGGGTCATGATCCACGAGTACTTGTTGAAGGGCAAACCATTCACCTGCATGTATATCCCAAAAAAGAGACAGTTAATGTTATTGTGTCACATGTGTTATGTTATGTTGTGTTATGTCAGTTATGTTAGATATATTGTTGGAGGTTACGAGAGATGTAACAATGGTGGCTTGGCCTCTGGTGCAAATGGGCAGGGTCCGGCCCAAAGCAGGGCAATTGCCGCAATAGAGACCCGGTCCACAATCGCTGGCAGCTGTACATGCTTCCAGAAGCTGCAAAAGCTCGTGAATTTTTTCTGGTGAATCTCAAAAACTGAAACCAGTTTGCATGGATCACAGTTGAGTGTGAGAGAAAAGAAAGTGAACCTGGCAGTTTCCGTTGAAGCATGTGGCGGAAGAGGTGAGGAAGAGGGAGAAGAAGAGAGACGCAAAGATGGTGGGGGTTCTGCATTTTGTGTGGGAATCCAAGAAACGCGAGCACATGGCACCACCACAGCAGAGAGGAAAGGTTGAAAGGAAAAGGAAGAGATTATACTGTGTAAGAGGAGAGAGACAGAGAGGGAGAGAGGTTGATCAAAGTTTTGGGTGTCACCTTTAGTTTTTCTCTTATTTTGAGGCAACTATACTTAACGTTCGTGTATGTATTATGCAATGACGCACTTTACTATATTATTTGAATTAAGAAAAAATGGTGGAGATAAATGTTTATTTAATGCAAGGCTGACAAGATGGTGCTGAGTTTGAGTTGAGTTATTTTTTGGGTTTTCCCCACTTTTCGGATACTTCCTCTTCTACGTCGTCCACTACACTCCACTCTGCTTGTTGCACTCCCTGGGGTCTCTTTCTTTATGCTTTACACGTGGTGGGGTAGGTTGCTTCTGCCCAGAAATTACTGGTGGATTGATACGCAACAAAGCATGCAATTTGGTGTCCATGTTCATATTCATATTTATATTTATATGTCATACAAGCAACAGGCTCCGCAAAATAATCTGATTAATCTCTCACAAAAACACAGGTGTCTATCACCTAAGTACGGATTGGTAAATAAACAACAGAGGAAAAAATAACAACTCAGCTCAGATGTAACAACTTAATCTAAATCCCATAAATATATCATTAACTATTGATGACAATATGTCAATGAATTTTATGCGAGTAAATAACCTTTCAGAGTAAATTTATCCAAGGTTTAATTAGATTATTATATATATGCATGTCATTCTCCTCATATTTGCTTTAATGAAAACTAATACTCCTTTGTAATGTCATGAAATTTACGGCAGAATGATAATATGATCAATTTGACTATGATCTAGTTCATCTTACACAAATGGATGTATGCATACCTTTTGTAAACTAGCCTGTATTTAAACAATAAAACTTTCTGGATGCTTTCAAAAGAACTTATTCAAAAATAAGTTCTCAAAATTTGACAACTTCGTACGTAGATGAACTTCAAACGTTACTTCTGCTTTTTTTCTCAATAAGTTTTTCAAAATTTATAAAAACTTTCAAATTATATAAATAATTTAGTTTAGTTCTTTCAATGTAAAATAAATTTATCAAATAAGTACTTAGTAACTAGTATTTATTCAACAGGTGCATCACCAAATTAATTGATTTACCTTTTGGTTATGTTATGCTTCTAATTTTAATTATAATTAAACGATGGCACCCAATTTAAATCAATAATGATTTGTCACCCATTAAAAGCTGAACACATTTTAAGACTAAATCATATTCACCATGCTTCTACAATTTTACATTAGCCTAAGGTCATTACAATCTAAAAGAATACATTTTGTTGATATATGAGTATAATACTTTTAATAAAACACTTCTATCATAAGCCATTTATATCAAATAAATTTTTAATTTCAATGGTTGAATCAATCATATGTAATTAAGAATTGTAAATGATATACTTGTGATGTCTTCTGATTTGTAGTTGGCCATTCCTCTCCGGGAAAGAATGACATGGAATTTTGATTAAGCTGGTATTTTCCGTTTGGAATGGCGAATACAGTAGCTTGATACCAAAATGAATTGTTTGAATGAAGTTAGTACACCTATTGCAGCAGCAATTGCATGTCCTTGCTACAAACAAAAAGCTCAAAAATACTTCTTTCCGCTACCAATGAGATTGCTATCCCCTACGTGTGAAAGAATAACAAAGAATTGACTTTTAAACAACATTAAGCAAGCTTCTTTGCACGACCACTTGAAGGAGCCCCGTCCTCTTTTTTCGATCCAGATGCTTCAGGCTTCCGAGCCCAGGCAGGAGCCCTGTCGGGCTCATAACGATAATCATAGAACAGTTCCTCCCCGGCGCAAATCCGTTCCTTGGCAAAAATGCCTACCCTATGATCTCCAGCAACCATAATAACCTGCCAGTTTAAGAATACACAGATTGTGAGTGACACTGCAAGCCTAGGAATGCTCGAAATGCAATGTCAAATAGAGCCATAATTAACACATTTGACGAGAGTCAGAACTGAGAAATACCTTTGCATAGCAATTTGGATCAGGCGAATGGTTTGCAAACTTCAATTTATCACCCTTTCGGTAAGCATCAAGAACGAACTGCATACAACAATTTGTGTGATTCATCCTATGTTATTAGATACATGATTATATATAACATTTAGAACTTTTCGGCACAAAAGATACATATATTAGTAAAAACTTGCCTGATCGTTCAAATTAAAGAGAAAAGATGAATTTTCACGGTCATATATCTTTCCTCGCTTATCTGCTTCCCGATGAGAAATCAACTCTCCTGTATACTCTCCAAGGTATTCATGTTTACCAACACTATTCTGGAGGGTGAAGAGATTACATTAGAAAAAGGGGAAAACGACACGTGTCCAAACAAGATCATTTATTGACGAATTACCTTTAAGAAGGCTCCCCAACCTGATACATCAGACCTTCCAAGAAGAACCTATTATGAGCATATTATGTTAGTGACCGTCACAGCAAATGTAATAAAATTATCTTAAAGCACAATTAGCAAAACCAGGCACAAGTATATTGAGAATAAAAATTACGATATGGGATAGGCCAAAGTTCATGCAAAATCACATTTCCATGAGCTAGATTATATGTCTAACAGGGTATTTTATTCATAAACATGATTTCATCCACTTCTCTCAATCATGATAAATATGTCTGTTATTTTGATGAAAGAACAAATTTGCAGCAAAGAAAGCAAATAAGTCTTAATACTTATGCAAGATTTAAAAAAAAAAAAAAAAAAGTCGAAGAAATTTACCCTTTGCTGCTGTTTGAGAAGAAGCTTCATGTTTCTACATTCATAATTGTCCCCTCTTTGGCTAGGAATGCCAAGTGTACCATCGCCACAACTGCAACCATAATCCCCATACCAAAAGGTATAGTGAAAAATATAGACTTCAGATAGACCGGTAATATGTATTAGAAGTACATAAGAAGAAATGTAGAGAAGTCCTGAAAACAGACAAAATCAAATATTTTCCTAAAAAACGAATAATTTATTCAGTTCCGTCTTAGTGTGAGAAAACTAAAACAGACATCTGTTTGAACATTCCCTCATATCAAATCAATGAGCCAAATTATGACCAACTTTACATTGATGAGGCAGGTCCAAGAAATCTTAGGGGGTATTTGTTTCTTGGATTAAACTTTATGTTCAGGACTGATATTCCAAGGAATATTATTCCCATCAAATATGTTAGATAAATACTTACCATTCCTTAGAATATTTTTGAATTTATTTAATTCAAAAATAAAAGTGTTTAAAAAAGAATGAGATAGAAGAGAGTGAAAATGAGAAGTTATTTAGAAAATAGATTCCATTCCCATGGGAATATAGATAGATTCCTAGGAATAAATTATGTCTGGCAAGCTCTTTATCTTGTACTAAGTCAGGGAATGTTACAATCCCAAACTCACATTAACAGATACTCCAGATTCTCTCTATCCATAAAGATCTAACTTAAGGATATATATATATATATATATATATATATATATATATATATATATATATATATATATATATATATATATATATATATATATATATGTGTGTGTGTATGTGTGTTAGCAATAAAAAGCATATCTCATATTAGCCGCCATCCCAATCAGCTCTAAACACTCCTAATCAGCACCAATCATTAGCCAAAGAAAATTGTGTTTGCCATTACTGAAAATCAAGTATATCCAACTGTGTTCTGACTCGGTAATCACCTCTACCATTTTTCTTTGCATAACTTTGCATCAAACACATTTTTTGAAAAATAATCACTTCCAATGAATATAAAGAAACCATACCCATCCATCTCGTATGTGAAAAAAAATAGTCATTGAAAATCAATAAGTAAGAGTCTTATAGATGACAGAGCAATGATGCACATACGCAACCATAAAAAGGTAAATCTTACCTGACCCAACAATTCCTACAAACATCTGGATCACATTCCCTATCTGCAGCAAAGCATGGACATTGACGGCTTCGGCATTGACTCTTAGCACAATGACAGCCACGAAATCTATTCTTGCAGCTCTTGGGGCATCTTGATATAAAAGGGAGAGAAAAAAAAAATCATCACTGGAATTAACAGATGTCGTGTACAATGCTGGCAGGTAGGAATGTCACAATTAAATATCCATGTAAACTGTAAGTACAAAAATCCTAGGTGGAGTTTTTTCAAGGTATCATTTTGTATTCCCAAGAACCGTATTATCAGCTACCCACCCCTTTTAATGGACATAGAAATATTGTAACAAGTGAAGGGGTCATTTTTCTGGGAATAAAGAAACCAGGGAATATATTTCCATCACCACCAAACAATCCTATGAATATTTCATCTTTTAAGTTTCTGGAATGCAGAATTTATGTACCCTGCCCTAGAATTTGTGTAGCCAGCAAGAAATGCAGAAAATCAGTAAAACACAACAATTCCACATGCCTCTCTTTCATCAAGGTTCTATGTAGCAAATTCAAAAAGCTTACCCACAGTACTTCTCACAGCAGGTTCCATTTATAAGACAAGGACACTGCTTCCCACAAGCTGATTGGCAACCACATGGATTATACTGCCGGCAGGGCTGATCCTTTCTCTCAGTAATCCTTTTCCTAATGGAATGATAAGCAGCAGATTTCCAGGTGTACTTCAATCGACGGACTCTTCCTCTTCTTCGTAAAAACCTAGACCTTCGTCTCACTTCATTATTACCCTTAATTTTACCAAAAAAAATAGGGGGGGCCTTGGTTAAGCATTACTTGCAAATAAGAAAGACCAAAGAGAAAAGTACATCAAGTATAATTGCATAAAATCAACCTTAGAATAGCCTTCCAAAAGGGAATTTGCGACATCCCCAGGAGGACCGGACATCTTTCCTTCTTCACAATTTATGTATTGGAAAACATCCCAACATGTCTTTAGACCATTTAAGAGATTCCTAGCTATTAAGCAACTGCAGTTAAAACCAAAAATTGTCAATTAGTAAGTGATTGACAGTCACGAAGAAAAATTATGCCCAAAGATATTGTTGAGATCACTCCATAAACCCAACATAGTTAAAAATAATTACAAATTCAAACAAAAGCAAGGATCAAACAAGACACAAGTGACCAAAGTGATATATTTGAAAATACATTTGTTAAAATTGAAGTAGATGCTAACTACATTCTCTAATTTACCAATATTTATGATTTATTAAATAAGCAGTTTGAACTAGATTTGGCACCACATCTATTTTATAAACATCACTTGAGAAAATTATATAGGGTTCAATACAGTGTCCAAAGGCACAAATACAATTGTATTTATAGAAAAAGAAATATAACAGAGGGGATATGGGCCTCAGCCCAAACCCTTAACTCTAGCCTAAGAAACATACAAAGAGAATAAGTAACAATAGGGAAACAAACATGTCTCAACACTCCCCCTCAAGCTGGAGCATATAGATTGTATGCACCAAGCTTGAAACATATGAACTGAATCCTAGGTCCTCTCAATAACTTAGTTAAAATGTCCGTCAGTTGTTCATTAGAGCTTACAAATTCCTTGGATAATAACTTCTCTCTAACAAAGTGATAATTAATCTCGATATGCTTTGTTCTTTCATGAAACTCTGGGTTGGAGACAATATGGAGAGCCGCCTAATTATCACACCAATTGCTCATTAGAGCTTACAAATTCAGTTACAAATTTTCTCTAAGGAAGTGATAATCAATCTCGATATGTTTTGTTCTTTCATGAAACTCTGGGTTGGAGGCAATATGGAAAGTCGCCTAAATATCACAAAATAACTTCATCTACCTATTACCACATAATTTTAATTCTTAAAGGAATAGTTTGATTCACACATATTCACATGTAACAAGCATCATAGATTTATACTCAGCTTCTGTATTAGATCCAGCAATAACACTTTGCTTTTTTTATTCTTCCAAGAGATCCAATTCCCTCTAATAAAGATACAATACCAATAGTAGATCTTCTATTAATAGGACAACCAGCCCAATCTACATCATAATAACTTAGAATTTGAGTATTACCTTTATCTTCATACAACAATCCTTGTCCTGGGGACCCTTTAACATATTTGAGAATGCAAATCAAAGTATCCCAGTGATCGATACAGTAATTTTGCATGAATTGGCTAACTACTCCAACTGCATGAGAGATTTAATCTAGTAATAGTAAGATAAATGAGTTGACCAACCAATCTCCTATATCCCTCTGGATCTGACAACCTTTCTCCTTTATCTCCCATCAATTTCTGATTAGGATCCATTAGGCTATTAATGGGCTTATAATTTGTTAAACCTATCTCCTTCAAAATATCAAAAGCATACCTCCTTCTTTGAGAAATTATCACACCTTCCTTTGACTGGTTCACTTCAATACCAAGAAAATACTTCAATTGACCAAGATCTTAGGTTTGGAAGTAACCAAATAAATGACTCTTCAGTTGTTTGATCTTAGTATAATCATTGTTTGTAATAACAATATCATCAACATAAACCATAAGATAAATACACTTGCCTAAAGAGGAATAACAATAAAACGCTAAGTGATCTACTTATCTCCTTTTCAAGCCAAACAATTGCACAACATGATTGAATTTCTCAAACCAAACTCGGGACGACTGCTTCAAGTCATAAATAGACCTATGCAGCTTACACACTAAACCATACTCTCCTAAGCAACAAAGTGAAGGTTGTTTCATATAAATATCTTTCTCAAGGTTACCATGAAGAAAGGCATTATTAATGTTCACTTGTTAAAGAAGCCAATGATGAATAGCAACCATAGCAAGGAAAAGATGAATAGTGAAAATCTTAGCTACTAGAGAGAAAGTATCTAGTCAAGGCCATAAATCTAAGTGTAGCCTTTAGCCACTAAACAAGCTCTAAGACGATCTACTTTCTCATCATTATCAACTTGAATTGCATAGACTCATATGCAACCCACCGCCATTTTGCTAGGAGGAAGTGGGACAAACTCCCAAGTACCATTGTGCTCAAGAACATGTATTTCATCAATATTATGATTTGTCGTCACCCAGGGTGATTAAGAACCTCATGGACAGTATTAGGAATAGAAGTATCGGCCAAAGAGACAACAAAATAAGAATATGAACGAGAAGGCAACGCATGGGACACACACACCTACGATGATGCTTTGGGAAGGTGGTGTGTGTCGGTGCATGAGAAAACAAACGAAGGAGCAATTTGTAAAGGTACGCTCCTCAAGATGCACAAACCCCACCTTTGCCAGTCCAAACAGAGATGGTAGTCGACAACGACACTCTGATACCAACTTGATAAAATTATTTAGGGTTCAATACAGTGTCCAAAGACACTGATACAATTGTATTTATAAGAAAGGGGATATAACAAAGAGGATATGGGTCTCGTCCCAAACCATTAATTCTAACCTAAGGAATATACAAAGAGAATAAGTAACAACAGGGAAACAAACATGTCTCAACAACATCTTTTGGATATTTCAGCAAATTAGGTTTGTCTAACACCCAATTTTCACTTCTTTTCATCTTCCTAGTTTTAATATACTTCATTGTACATTAAATACAAAATTTACCATAACACTTGCTGACCACTCACTTTATCATTACATTAGACTAAGGAAGTAAACTATACCACCAATTTCGTTCACTCTCATTAAGGGAATAGATCACTAGCCAACCAATTCAAAATAGTTGCAAACTAATTTTAGGTTTCACCAAAACTTTGGTTTCATAATTCAATGGAAGTTTTCAGGTGCTTGCTTGATACATACTTAAGTTCCTTGAACATAAAACCAACATATTGAGACGTGAAATATATTTACAAATTATTAATGAATAGTTGGTCATTGTAACAACTAGGTAGCATCAGAATAAGCAAAAAAGATGTTTAGTATAATAAGTATATAAATTTAATTGCCAAAGCTACAAACAATAATTTTTCAATGGCATTCACTAATATTTTACACGAAAAATGTTAGGAACATACTAATTTGAATACACTCTATATTATTGGCCAGAGATTGACGCTCTAATACCAGATATTTGTTCTCATTGACAATAATATTATATCTTGGAAAAGTAAAATATATAATGGATATTGTGTTCTCATTAACGATAATATTATACAAAATATATAATGGATATTGTGTTCTCATTAACGATAATATTATATCTTGGAAAAGCAAAATATATAATGTAGTCATGCGATCTAGTTGAATATAGACCAATAAAATCTCTCACTTGTAAACTTATATGGATTAAACAATTCCTCCAATAACAAGTCAAGTGAAATTTGGCAATTAAGAATGTATTGTGATAACCATACACTTATTCACATTGTTCCCAATCCTATTTTTATGAGAACTAAACACTCATAGAGGTTGTTTGTCACTTTGTTTAAGAGAAGTTAATGAGCAAATAAATTTGATCAACATTTGTTAGCTTCAATGATCAACTAGAAAATACTAAACAAAATAAATGAATAGTCTAAGAGATACAATGTCTCTTAAGTTCTTTGCTCATATTTTAGTCTCAAGTGTTACTAACTTAACAGCTTCCTTAACATGTGTGAATTAGTTATATGTCTAATATTTAGAAACAGTGGTAATATCATTTATTACCATTTCAGAAGCTTTAAAGCAAACCGAATGACATTGAGTGATCCATCTGCCAATAAGGAAATATGGCCTTTAATGTTGTTTTATTTGTTACTACCTCACTCTTTATAAACAATGACATATCAAAACTTTTGGTGGATATTATTAATTTAAAATTCTTTTTATACTAACAGCATATGGCTAGAAAATTCCAAGAAAATAGGAGATTGATGGTCTAAGTTTGTAAACTTTATGTTGTCAAATTCGCATCCATCAAAATTTCTAGACTCAATCCAGATTAAATACATCCTCTCCAAAAAATAAGTTAATTGGGTTTTTCTATTTTTACTTTATGGTTTATTGGATGAATAAGCCTTTTAAAAAAACAATCCTAAATCATTTACATAATATAAAAAAAAATTGCTGTCTATGAGTATGAGCCTGACTTTTTGTTATTCATGATAGGTGTCAGTCCAATGCACAGGTGTACATTTAGACTTTCCGATATAAGTCCACTACTTTACATAACTATTTATAACTTAAATTAAATAAGTTCTCTCATAAAAACTTAAACATGTATGCCTAGGTTCCCCATGAATTGCGTGGGTTTAGTCTAGTTAAGTAGTAAGCCTGAGACATTCTTGCAGACCTATCAGTTTTCATTTTAAAAGCTACGGCTTAGATAGTTGATAAATAAAAGTGAGAGATATAAGACCAAGAGGGCTGTGCTTATTTCAAGCAGCCAAGGAATGTTATGAGATTTGTTTCAAGAATAAGATTTCAAAAATTGGAAACCCTATCAACCAAGTCAATTGCATATTTTTAACCAGATCAATTATGAACAAATTTGACGCAATACTTCAAAATTGTACTCATCCATTCCCCATGAAATTGACTGAAAAAAGGATTAATTTCATTTACACACTTGAACCAGTGGTCATTACTATTACTTACTATATTCACAGCAACACTAATAACAACATTCATGCATTACATCATAGTATATATTTATATTTAATAAAGAAAAATTAAGACAGCCATCCCTAATCCAGACATATGCTGACCTGTTTCTACCAAAAATCTCCATTCCTTTCTCTAAAAGCCCCTTTTCAAGAGCTTTCCAAGATTTATTATCTGTGATTTCTTGTTTACAAACATTGTCATCTACAAAATCTTCTTTCCTCAGGTTGTCTTCGCTGCTCATGGCATGTTGATCGGTGACCATATCATTTGATGAACGGTCAAGAGCTTCATTCTACATTAATTACAGATTATTATGAGTACATTTCTCCTAGATCTTGCCTTGCAAAGAAATTTCACACATTTATGTGGCAAAATAACTGTTTCTTCTTTATCTTGGTTATAATTGAAGCAAAATGAAGAAGCTTAAACAAAGAAACATTACTTACAATGGAATCAGAATCAGAAACCATTGTTTTCTTTTGCCTTTTCTGCATGCATACCAAGACTCGTTCTGCCACTCGCTTACTGTTCCTCTTACCAATTCCAGCTTTCCCCACAGGTTTAGTTTTAGGAGGAGCTGAGTGGGAGGCTGAACCAGCATCTCGTCCAGGACCATTCTCTGAGTCACTACTCTCTGACATGTTCTTTGCATTAGATGAAGCACTTTCACTTTGGCTTCCTTTTATCCGCCTTTTAGTAGAAGATTTTTTTCTAGATAAAACACCACCAGAGCACTTCTCTTCACTATCAACCTGGGCAGAAGATGTTTTGCCAAATCTTTCCGACTTAAGCACCTAAAACAAGATTTAAGCAAATTGAGTAAATTGTTAAAAAAAAAATTAAAAATAGATCCCTAAGAACAGAAATGCATACCGATCGGAAACAATTTGGCCCACAGGGTGCATTTTCAGTATCAGGAGGGATCCATATAGGTTGTTTCTCAGCCTGTTAAATTACCAAGTCATAACTCTAGAAACTGTAAACTACTTCATGAAAAGTAACCAATAAATAGACTTACAGGAAAGACAAGATCCTGTGAACACCCATGTAATCTACAGTCAAAAACCTGCAAAGTAGAAAGTGGCAACCAATGAGATATCCAGAGAAAGATTATGCAAGATATACAGTGCCTTCATGGAAAAAAAACTTACAAGACATCGTCGACAAAAAAGGTTGTCAAAAGAGTCAAGAGCTGCTTCAAGATCCTTTTCCAAAAAAGCATTGCCACTCTGAGAATTCTCTCCAGAATCTGCAGCCTTGGAACACCCATCAGCATTGTCTTGAATACTAAGGGCTTCATACCTTGCCTGTATAAGATGTTTGATGGTGTTTCATATCTCTGTAAAGCCAGCACAAAGCAAATGGGAAACGGCTGGACGAATACTTACACTACGACCAGTTTTCATCAGAATAATTGAGAGGTTGCAGGAGCAGAAAATACATAGAGGAATAATTAAATTACTTATAAACATATACCTTAATTTCATTAGTGTTTCTAGAAAAACACTGAGCCAATGACTCCACAGCGTTGTCAGTTAAACCAAATTCTTTGACAGTCATACTGTAAAATCAAATCAGACATTATGAAAACCACAAAACTGTCTCGAAATACAAGAAAAGCAATATTTAAATATTATATAAGAAACATAATAGCCAAACATCTTAACATGAAATTCATGAAGTAGCATGTAAGCATGACAAAAAACAAGGCTTCACCAAAAAAATCACACCAGAATGGTGAAAAATAACTGCGGAGTTTTTAGTAATTTAATGGAATCAAAAAGATCAATTGACAGGTTAACCATGCACATAATATTTCTGTCAACACAATAAGTGTATGCACTAGTTTCTGTTTCCAATGGTGGATTATAATTAACCAAAGATCATCTTTGATTTTATTCTTTCTGTACATAGGAAATATAACAAGAAAATAACTGTCAAACCACCCTATCAGAATCTACTCTTAATAGTAACTGAAATATATTCCCACCTATGCTCCAATGTAAAATAATCACAAATTAGTAAACTAGTGTGACAATTCATACAGTCAACAAAGGTCCAATGGAAAAAATACTTCTGAATTTAAACTAAAATACAGAAAGAAAAAGAGAAGGAGAGAGACAACATGGACACATTGCTTCCTTCTCTAAAAACTTAACCTTATGAACAAGTTACAACAGGGCCAGGCATACATGGCAATTTTATTTTGCATGCAAACAGAAAATATCTGACAGGGAAAAAGGGACAGTGAAAGCAACCAATTATAGTTTATTAAGCTATACCAACCGAAGTATATAATCTTCTGATTCTATAAATTCTCTTTTCTCCTCTTCATCCTCCATAATTTCCTCCTCACTGTCACTGCAGATAAGTGCTTCCCCACCATTTTGATCATAATAAATTCGTCTTCGGCCTACAACTGACTGATCCTCAGTCATCCTTTGATTTCTGTACCAGAATGGATACAAATAGAAAATATCTTCAAAATATCCCATTTTAACATTAAAACAGAGAAAAAAAAATGAAAATCAAATTATTTGAAAAAGAGAAACCAAGATACAAAAAAAGGTGAAAAATTTGAGTCCTACGTGAAAAAAGTGATAAAAAAAATGTGGACTTAAGTCCTTATTAAAGAAAAAGTAATAAAAATAAAAATGACATGTACAAAATAAAGATTTTATAAACATTTTCTCTGCCTTTGATTTCTTTCAGTTATTATGATAAATTCACCTAAGACATTGGGATTAGATTTGCAAACAGATGGCAATACGTCATAATTCATGTCGTCCCAGAATTAATCACTAGTTAAAAATTACATCAAGGACAGGAATACAGAAAAGCAAGAACAACCAAAGCTTTTATCCACTATGTCTTGTCATGAACCAAATGCTCAGAAAGTACATTACCGAGAGTTTTCCTCAGCCCTCCTCTACCATAGGACTATACTCCATCCAATCCACTCTTAATGGCTTTTCTTTTCACATACCGTACCCTCTCTCTAATACATTCATTCATGATCCTATTTTGTTTTTTTTTATTGACTTGTCAACCGCAACATTCTCATCTTTTCAACACTGAGCCTATAAGTGGCTTGTTGCACCCTAATATTAAGGTTTATACAGCATTGCAGGTATTTTATATAAGAAAGAAAACAGATTAAGACAAAACAAACCTATCCAGAAATATCCATGTAGTATAAGGAGGCAATTTTTTTACTTCAGGTAATTTGATAGGACGAACAGCATTCTTTACAGCAACATTAGACCCTAGAAGAACTGCTGTAGAACCATGGTTATCTTCATGATAGCCATTGCTTTCCACATCACCATTACTCGCATGAACACCATTGTGCATATCAATTGCATCTTTTTGCCTCTTTGTAAGTAGGTCCAGACTTCCATTCGTATCAGCCACGCTGCTGTTCCTTCTCTCCATTGACATTTTGCAGACATGGGTTGTGACACCAAACAGCTTCTGTCTGTTTTCCTCTATTCTATTCTGAAATTCAAACGCACATTATGAGAAAAAATAATAAGGTCCAATCAAAATCAACAACTAATTACAGACATAAGCTCCGCTATTACACCTTTACATAAACAATCCGGTCCGCAGCAACTTGCTTCTTTAAAGAATCAATAACCGGTAGAACATCTTTAACAGTCTGACTTGCAGCCTCCAATTTCTCACCCTGCATTGAAAGGATAATGCCATATAACACTCACAAATACGTTACAGAAGAAAAATTCAAACAAACTCCCAATTCACACTCAGCGTGGAGTCATTGCAGGAAATAACTTATCTTACACAACCAATGCACAGACTCCAACTCAAGACAACCATAATCTCCCGTAACCAAAAGAACCAGGAAAGTCATAAATGCTCGATAAACTATCCTAAATGCTGAAAAACCGAAACGCATCTCGAATAACCTATTCTATATATAATGCAGTTACATCTTCAATTTCAGCCTACTTTAGGAAGCATTTGCCCAAAAATTATGTAGCCGTGTTGTTTAATATTGAAACAACATCAATATATTAAAAACCAAGCGAGAGAGAGACGCAAATTAAAGACATAATTGAAACCAGATCGAAGCAAAAATGGAAATAAAACAAATAAAAAAATCGGAAGCGGAGTCAAGTCAACAAGCACGAGTTTGGGAGAGAGATGAGTTAATGAATGCATTTTAAGAGAATATAAAGGGGGAGAGAAAGTACGGAGGGATCGACGAGAAGCTCCGATCTGGAAGAAGAGGGCGAAGACGAAGGCTTCGACGCCATTGACGGCGGCAATGGTGGCGAAGCTTATCGGAGCCGATTCGGAAATGGGAATCGGATCGAGATCCGATTCATGCAGGAGGAATTACAGATGGTTAAGGGTTTTGAGTTTGAGGAGTGAAATTGGCGGGGCGAGTTGAAAGTTGAAACCCTAAGTCACGTCTCAGAATCCTTAAAAACAAAATTAGGGAACTGCTTTCAATTTTTTTCCGCCGCTTTTCATGACACCTTTTCTTATATTTTTCACTTTATTTTTTCCGTATTTTGTTTGTTGGAGGAAGTGACTGGAATGGGGGGAACGCGATTTTGAATTTATATGCACTGTAACCATGCTCTTATCCCCTTCGCTAATTTCTTCCTTACATTTATTTTCTTCAGTTTCGTTGCCACTACAACTTAAATATTATTATCCTTGCTCTCCCAGTTTTCACACTTCAGATTCTCTTTTTCATTGAATATATAAAATATAAATAAATATATTTCAAAATCAAGCCATCAACACAAATACGAAGGTTTAAAGAAATACATTTATTAATGGTCAAAGATATTATATGATCTCTATGTGTGAACTTTGAAATACACCGAAATGGTATCTATTAGTAAATACTTCAGTAATTTAAAAAATAATTTATTAAACAAATCTCAATATTTTAAGAAAATTAATCTCTAACTTTCAATAATATTTTGAGTTTACTTAAAAAAAGTCAACAATATTATAATATTTTTACCCTTTTGAGTAACGGAATATTTCTTTAAACTGCGAATAACTCTGGAAAAAAACAATGCCATCTTTTAAGAGATTATGCGAAATCTAAAAAAAATATTGTCAACATTGATTAATAAAACTGACATGCAAATATAGTTTAAATATTAAAAATTTGAGATGTTATTATTATCGAAATAGATATAAAATTCCATCTTCTTTTACACATCGATATTTGATAAAATTATTTATTATAAAAAAATTAAAGAAATAATGTAAGAAGTTTTTGTTACAGTAAATAAAATAATATTAAAAAATATGTTTTGTTTATCTTTTTTTATCTCTTCTGTTAGATAAGTATAGTGTTTTATATGTAGTTTGGAAATGGCGATTGATGTTCACTAGAGATGAGTGATGGCATTTGATGTGTCTCAGAATCTGTGCAAGAAACAATGTCGTTCAGTTAAATTTGTCTCGAATGGTGTGAAGCATTGAATCAACTTTAATACAAGCATGCATGCTCTGAGTCCTTTAGGCAGGGTTTTGCTTCTGTGCTTCTTCTACTTGCTGGTTGATTTGAAGTGATACGTGTAAAGCTCGTGGTTTGTTTGTTTCTAATAAAAGAAGGTGTAGTTCAATCATTCACGCTTGAGCAAGTTACAAATTTTTAAGATAGTTAAGTTGGCAAAGTATGAAAAATATAGTAACTTTATAATATAGCCATGCAAGGTAGGATTCATGTCATCTATTATTTTATACAATATGTAGTTTAATTAGTTTAAATTATTTTTAATTTAATCAGAATTTTTAGTTTTATTTCTAAATATACAATTATGTTAAATATTTCAAATGTTTTGTGTAGTTCATAATAGTTTTAATATTTTTTATTTTTAATTGTTTTAATAACAATTATAAATGAATTATTTTTAGTTAAATATTTTAAATTTTTTAAATCATTTCTAAAATTTAAATTAAATTTATTAATCCGTTATTTATATTTAAATACTTTTATTTTGATTCATAAAATAAACAAAATGAAAACTGAAAATATGTTGATAACGAAATACACAGATATGGATAATCAATTATATATATATATATATATATATATATATATATATATGTGTGTGTGTGTGTGATTAGTAATAGGTTCTACTACTAAAAAATAGGACCAAATCGATCTATTCTTATTAAATCGGTAATCAAAATAAAAATTAATAAAATGAGCTGTATTTTTTAAAAATTGATTTTGGTAAAAAAAATATATTTTATTATGTTAATATTAAATAATAGTTATTTAAACAATTATTAATTTTTATTCTTTAATATATTTTATATTTATAACTGTAATAAGTAATTATTATTATTATTATTAATAAATTTATTATATATTTTTTATTTTATAAAAATATTATTTTACTAAATTGATTTAACTCATATTTTTACTTTTAAATCAAAGTTTCATTATTAGAAATTTTTATTTATTAAATAATATTTTAAACTTTTTTTTAATTTAGTAATGTGTTATTCAAATATTTTCAAATAATATTTTAAATTGAAAAAAATCATATTTAATTATCTTTAATTTTAACTCGTGCTTATTTTTATTATATTTTAATAAAAAGTATTTTAGAAATTTATTAAACTATTATATATAATTATTTTTCAAATCAATTAAATTAGTTACATTTTTATTCTCTTATTCCAATTCCAAATAAATTAATTTTCACTCCATTATTATTTTCTTCATTCACTCGTATTCATTTCTTAATCAGAACACAAACAAAGAATTATAAAATTTTTGTCTATCTTTTTTTTTTCTCATTTTGTTATTCCTTTCTTTCTTTTCACCATTGATGCCACTTTTTGAAAATCTCTTTGACATTAAGAAAGTTGGTTTATAAAATTGAAATAGGCAAATATAATGAATTTTGTGAATGTGTAAGAACAAAACCATCAATACAATTATTTTTCTATTAATAATAATTTTAACAATAATCATTGAGTTAAATATATTTATTTTTTGAAAAATAAATGAATTTTTATATCAATACTTACATTTTCTACTAAAATATATATTTATTTATCATTGGAAAGCTCAGGTATTTTTATCTGCATAGTTTTATTTTTATTTTCACTTTTTAAATATATAATTTTTTTATATTTTTATTAATTTTAAATATTTTAATTATAATAATTATTTTTTCTTTAAATTATAACACTTTTTTTATGATACCAAAAGAATAATTATAAAGGAATTTTATGTATATATACACCATAGACGGATTTTGCTTTAAACAAATGAAGAAAAAAAAAGAATACTGCTATATAATTTTTAACTTATTACAATAATTATCAAATAATGTTATAAAAATTCATATATAGTTTTTTTTTCTCATAAAAAATATTTTTACCACCTTTTAAGTGTTTTTGGCTAGAGTATTGTTACGTAGATAATCGTGGTTTTATTTTAGATGAAAGACGATGGAACTTACTTTATGTGGCAATGATTTTTTCCCCAAAAAAAATAAAGAAAATAGATAAAGGGATGGAGAGTGGGAGCAAATGAGGCGAATATAGACAATGAAGATCGGCGGTGTGGTCTTATACGGCGGAGCTCCACGTGGCAGCGTCGTGCCTCTACTCCTCCGCCGTCGCAAAGTTTCCCTCTGCGTCTCTTCTTCTTCTTCCTCCTACTCCTCCATTTCCGGTAATGCATTTTTCTTCTTATCCTTTACACCGTTTCCTTCTTTCCTTCTCCTTCTCATTTTCATTCTTCCGTCGCAGAACACGTTTCTTTCGTGAAGGATGTAGCTGCAACTCATCCTCCTCAGCACCTTGCACAACTCCTAAGTATATTGAAAACCAAAGGTAAATCAATTCCTTCACCTTACTACTAAGGAATGTACTCTAAATATTTATAGAATCTTAGGTTTAGGACAATTGTGAATTTTTATTTTGTCGTTGTACTTGAACCTGTGGCTTTAATATTTTTGGTACACATGTGTGGTTTGAATTCCTTCCTCTGAGGAATGATTTTAAGAATTTAATGGTTTATTTTTGTTATGCTTTTGTATTTAACAGGTGAATCTATTGTCTCACCGGGTGCCAGACAAGGATTAATACCTCTAGCTATCCCACTGTCAAAAAATAGTTCTGGTATGGGTATAGGGTTAACCTGTTATGTACTGTGAGAAATTTTAAAGTTCAGCACTGTTTATGACTACTTGCTTGGTAGGTAATCTGACTGCTCTGCTGCGGTGGCCCACGGCTCCACCTGAGTAAGGCTCAATGTCTGTTCCCTGCCGTGGTTATTACCTAGTACTGTTTGACTTATCTTATGGTATGAACAAACACCTGCAGGATGGAAATGCCAGTGGTGGAAGTAAGAAAACATGGAGTATGGCTTTTAGCTAAGAGTGTAAGTTGAGTGTGCTTGGCCATTTGACAGCGTCACTGTGTTTGGTTTTACTACATTGTGATGTTGATTAATTGGGAATCAATTTCAACTGTCTATTTTCTACACAGGTAGACCAATTTATACACCGAATGTTAGTTGAGGAAGATGCAAAGAACAGTCAAGAAAGAAATGAAGCGGTATTCAATGCTTCGGGTGATGCTGGGAAGAAACTTTACAGAAAGGGTGGTTTTGCAGAATCCGGAATTTCTAACCTAGATGTGTATCTTCTGAAAAAGGTATTAACAAGATTTTAGACAGTGTTTTTGACCTTCGTGGAAAATCATGCAAGAACATACTTGTTTTCAGGTCGGTATATTTCCAGATATCATAGAGCATAAAGTGATTCGACATTTTGAAGAAGGAGATCACGTAAGACTCCCTCGCTAATCAATTATTAGCCATTAATATATTTTTACATGTTGGTTATGTGTGTGCGCGAAGGTTTCAGCATTAGTTACTGGAGAATTTTATACCAAGAAGGAGCATTTTCCAGGATTTGCACGACCTTTTGTGTTCAATGCGGAGGTTTTATTAAGGTTGGTGTAAACATTTTCTGATACTTCTTCCAGTTGTTATGGGAAAACTGAACTTACTGTTTAGGAGCCTTTTTTTTTTAATAATTTTCTACAGGGTTGGGCGAAAAGTAGAAGCTAAAGATGCTGCCAGGGGAGCTTTGAAATCACCATGGTGGACTCTAGGTTGCAAGTATGAGGTATGAAATAATCATCAGTTTGGTTTTCTGGTTTAACTGTAAGATTGTTCCCAATCTCTTTTCTTTCTGTACATATTCCTGTGTCCGCTTTTTGTATTTCTTCTGTCATATTCATTTTCGTTTAGGACGTAGCCAATATAGCACAATGGGATGATGAGCAAATTGAGTACATTAAAGAGAAGGTGACGGAAGAGGGAAGGCAAGAAGATCTTAAAAAAGGAAAGGCCCCCGAACAGGTGCAATATAGTGTGAATTATTTATTAATTTAATTGTAATATCTAATTCATGTATATAGCATCAAACATGCATGGCAAGGGCGTTTGCTTGTATTCATTTTAATCCTGCTTTTTATCTTCAAATCAACTGCAGGTTGTACTAGATGAAGCTGCTTTCTTGTTGGATTTGGCTTCTATAGAGGGAGAATGGGATGACTACTTAGAGCGGATAGCCAAATGTTACGAGGAAGCAGGACTTCCAGATGTTGCAAAATTCATACTTTATAGAGATTAAAATAATTAACAGATTTGCTCTCCTACAGGCTTCAGTGCATGTTCATTTCGGCATGTCCAGTGTTTTGTATGAAGTTTTGGAAATAATTAGAGGAAAATTATACGATTTATTCTGCATGTTTTGATATTTTTTTCCCTGAGTTCTCATTTCGTTGGAATCAGTCAATTTAACCTGAATTCCTCATATGCTTATTTATTTGTTTCATTCGCTACATGCAAGAATAAATGACATTTTTGCATTCCTAATGCACTTGTCTCTGCCTTTGTTTTATCTCGTAAACATGTATGTGTATATTTGTTAACTAATTGTTTGATTTTGCATTCTCTGCTGCCGCAATCAATACTTGTCATGTTATTGCAGATTGGCCACGCAAATGAGTGTGGAAGCAAATCGAGGCCTAGCTCAGTGCCAGTAGTAACTTGTAATTCATGGACGTCCGGTCTTTCACGAAACAACCAAACACACCGCTAAGCTTTGGTGCTTACTAGCTTGAACCTTTTTGTTCATCTTCAGGTCGAAGCTAGATAGCATACACACGATACCATATGCATATGGATATATGATAGTGTATTTATATTGAAGTATTGGAGGAAAGTAGGAAAATTTTTATTTATTGTTGAATCAAATAATAGAAAATAAACTGTTGGTGTAAATAGTGTTTATTTTCTTAATACTTCAGTAATTTATAACATATGCATAAAATAAGTAAAATATACAGTGTTCGACTAAATGAGATTGGATACCTTTGTAATGTAATATTTATGCCTAGAGACACATCTCTTCACTAAGTTTTATTTAAGTTTTACCGCCTTATTCATTATTTAGAAATTTTCTTTTATGCAAATTATCGCTAATTTCAACTTCTAAATAACATTTATAAATGTAATGAAACAAATTTTAATATGATTTAATTCTATGATAAATATTTGTAAATATAAATATTTTTAATTGAAATTAATTTATGAATAAAGATAATGTAAAATTAAGTTGAAACGAACTTACTCAAACTTAGTGATGATAGGTTTAGAGTTGGTTGGCCTACAATATCCTTTCATTAAATAAAACAAAGAAGGCTTTTATTTAATTTTTATTTGATCCGATTGTAAGTTAAATTTTATCTTCCTTTTTATGTGAAAGTTGAATTTTATCTTAAAAACTCAGTTTGAAATGGGAAAAAAAATGGAAACTTCTTTTTGCAAATTCAACTTACAAAATAAAATTCATTCAAACTTAAATTTGAAAACTTTAATTTAAACTCACCCTTAGAGGAATATGCTTGTACTTGTACAAGCCAGGTTGACATTAATGAAACAATCTTCCAAATGATTTTGGTAACTATTTCATTAATAAAATTTACATAGAACACCCAATTTGTTATACCTCTAGCCCCACACGAACAAAAAAGAGTTATACACAACTAACAAGATTGACACGAACGCACAAGATCTGCTAAGTATATACGCTACAACAGCTGTTTCATGCATCCAATGACTTGGAACATTCAGCAGTTAATTTTCAGTCGTATAAACAAGAGCCAAGTGCAAAGACAACAAACATCACTCCATTAGAAATATAGCAAAGATATAATTGTTACCCTGTCTCAGGAATTACTAAAAGAGCACTACAATTGCTTTTCATGTGTTCAACGAAAATTGTGCTTTCTTTTTGGATTTCTTTCTCCCAAATAGCCTTCTCCAAAAATTTCGACCACCAGATTTCTTGGTAGGAACGATGGCCAAAGAATTAACACTAGCACTGTCTTCCTGGCCTTTAAGTCCATTCAAAAGTAAAATCTTTTCCAGGGGCTGTTTACAACCAGGAATGCTGATAGGACAGGAGCTTCTTTCACTCGCTTTGGCAACCTTTGCTTTAGTATCATCATCTGCTACCATCTGATCAAATAGAGAAGATCGATTTATCACTTTCATTTCTTTCAGGGAGACAGAATTCGTATTTGTAACTGTATGACGTTGGGCAGCAATGGCATTGTCAAAAAGGGAGGCATCCTTTGGTGCAGCTAATGCCTTCAACTGCTTCCCAAGGTTAAGAATGGTTTCTTGACACTCGGCCAACTTTTCTGAAGCAGCAGTTATCTCCCAGTCCTGCGGGAGCAGCATAGATAAACAGCCTTCAAATCAAAACCAGTACATATTGCAATAGATATGCACAAGTAAGCAATCAAGTCAATATTTCAGTTACTGCAAAATGATGGTTTTGAGCTTTATGGTCTTGATCTGATGAATACTCTCCAAACATTAAACATAATCAGGTTTCATTTTCATTTATCTGTATCCATTTGTTCAAGGATTTAGCTTGGAGAAATGGTAGCAACACTCTCTCTTAACACTCTTTCTAACAGAACCTTTATTATTGGCTGAAATTCATTGAAATCGCAAAATTTGGTGGGTGTCATTTCTAAACCAGTGAGTGGTTTATTATACGAGAAGAGAGATCAACCAAAAATCAGTCATTTTTGATAAATTTCAGTAAATAAAAAAGAAAGGATTGGAAAAAGTGTTGAAATCCAAGTGAGTTGAAATCACACATAGAAATGGGAAAGTTAAACATAATACCTTAAAGATTTTGGTTGAGTATGATGTTATATTTTCTGATGTGATTGTCTTATATTCCATTCGTGAATTTCTCCCCAGTGTTTCCCACATCACAAATAACCAACAAAGAGTGTCACTATTGCTTATTTACAAAGTCTTAGAAGTTGTTTCCTTGTGGAACTGACAGTTTCTTCAGTCCATTCCACAACACTACTGATTCATATCTTATTCTGTACAAGTAGCTAACATTATTGAGAGAAGGCTTTGCCTGGGTTTTATTAATTGGTCTCAGAAGAGAGCATATAGGATTCCAAACAAGGAAATCGGAGCATATAGTCAGATTTCTGAAATTTGGAGCTAACTGAGCATCCATCTACCAATGGAGTCTAGTGGAGCAATATAAAAAATAAAAGAGGAGGAGTCTCTACCTTTTTTAAACCATATCATTCAGCCATCATTTACGATATTAGTCTGAAAAGAAACATGATCCGTTATGCTAACTACAAGTTCATATCTAATAGTTGTTGCTAAAGGCTATGATATCATGGAAACAGGAAGCATGGGCTATTGATTATTGGAAATGGTATGATAGATGGACACATCGATCAGATTACTTCAATTAGATATTCTTGATCCGTAAATTTACTAGGTCACAACACTAGATAACATTTGTAAGCAGTATAATTTAGTACATTCATCAAAAGTAAAAACTAAAAAGAGAAACATTTTTTTTTTAATATTTTCTGCTGAACATGCAAAAAAAAATATAAAATAGTCACTTGAAATTATAGTCTCTTTTCAAGACTAATATAAAACCCTATCCCAACTTCCCACACTAAAATCACAGCAGCCTAGGACTTAAATTTAGGGAATTGTATATAGGATAAAGTATCGGCATTCAATGCTTCAAAAGAAATTAAAAGCAAACTGAAGAAGTAATAATTTGTTCATCAAGCTCCAATTTGTGGTCTCCCAATTTAGTTTTAAAATCCAAGTTAACCTCAGAATTATATACTATTCAGTGTCAAATATATATCTAGATGACCGTGCTTTAAATTGATCAAATCTTCGAGAATGTCGTAAAAGATAGTATCTAATCTGAGTCATTTTGTAAAGGCCAAACAGATATAAAAGTGGGAACGAGAAGAGCTTACAGTTTGTAGTGGTTCATCTTTCTGATTAATGTCATTGTCTTTCTTTGTCATGCTGTGAAGATAAATTTGATATGTGAGTGTGCCTATCTTCAAATAAATAAAAGCTAAATGTTTGAATATCATATCATACAGTAACAACAATCAAAACCTTAGATTATGGATACCTTTCAAGCTGGAGTTGAAGTTCAACAAATCTGGTCTCTAATTCCTCACAATATTGATTTTTGTTCTCCAGTTCCACTTCTAATGCCAAAACCTTGTGATTAGCCTCTTGTAGTTCAGTTTCTGTAAGCTGAGTGTCAAGATCTGCATTTATGAATGCTTGATTTTGTATTTGATCCTCAAGTATTCGATTCAATTCTTTCACAGTTTGTAACTCCAATCTCAAGCTGCTAATAGTCTTCTCTGATTCCTTGATTTGATTTGTAGCTGATTGGAGCCTCCCTTCCAAGGCTTCCTTCTCAGATTCAGAATTGATTACTTTATCTTCAGTATTTTTAATTTCTTCCTTATCAACATATTCCATCTCTTTAGTTGGAACATCATGACAATCTGAATTAGTTAGCGCAGGCAAACATGATAACTGTTCTCTGGGAAGATGCAACTTATATGCATCTGCAAACATCCCTGTCTCAGCTTCATTTTCACTAAGCGTCTCATCCCAATCAAATTGTTTCTTAATGGCATCCCTCATACTAGAAACATCCTGAAGTGAAAAACAGTGATTCATAATCCAATCCAAAGTTTTAGTCAGTTGTGTGGCAAACTTTTCATGATCGACCTTGTCATTAAGTAAATCGTAACACACATGGAGAAATTGCTGTAGGACACTACTTAGTTCAGATGTTTTCCACTGGAAAACGCGGACCATGTAACCTGTAGGCATTCCTTGACTCTTATGTGTACGCATACTGTCATTTCTTTTGTACAAAGATTCTGAATTATCATAATCTTCAGCAGGCATGCTAATCCCTTCAATAAGCTCAATTATCTTACCTATTGACTGGCCTAGATCTCTTTGAGATTGCTGTTTAGTTCTCTTTATTGATAAACTCGCAGCATCATTACCACATGGATCTTCCACAGAATTATTCACAGGTTCCCATGAAGTGTGCTGACTTGAATGGAGAGGATTAGATCCATTAAAGTGACCAGAGCCTTTGCTTGAATCAAATCCATATTGCTCTGTATTATTTAGGTAGCTCAGAGCCAATCTAATATCCTCACGTACATCGTCGAGGTTCTTATGAGTGACGCAGTTGTGTTCCATTATCTTTTTAACTACATCCAGAAGCCAACCAGGAATATCACCCTTTAACATGTCATTAGAATATGATTCCTGATTTGATGTGGAGATCTCTGACAAATGATCAAACACAGGAACGATCTCTTTACCTGTTACACCAGAGCTAATCTCATTCAGTCTAGTCTCTGAAAAGCCATCTATTTCATTATTTTCTTCTAAAGAAGCATGTGAAATTTCCGTGGCATTTTCAACAGAGACCACTGCTAATTTTTCCATTTCAAGGAAGTCATCCATTAGGCTTATATCTGAGGGTCCAACACTTTTGCATGAGAATGATTCCTTCTGCCGTATACTTCTAAAGTGCTCCAACTCCGAAATCAGTGCCGAAGCCCAGGAGTCAGCACAACTAACCTTGTCATCACTGCCAATGTCAGACATTGATGACAATGATAAATCTCGAAATGCAAGATTACTTCTAGGCTGCTCCAAGGCTACATGGCCTCGAAATTCAACCTCTGACTCAAGTCGCATCAGTTTAGAAGCTGTGCGAGCAAGCATTACTCTCGAGAATTGGACTTCATTTGTTTTCCTATTTAGTGATTCTTTCAACATCTTGTTTTCTTCTTCCACTCCACAAAGTTGCTCAGTCAAATCAGTGATTCTTCTAATGGCAGTATCGGAACTGTCAAGTGCAGATTCAACCACTAAACTGGTAGAGTTCATGTTTTTTGTTCTCATTTCAAGCGAATCCTGTTCCAACATTTCAACTTCATTTTTCATTTTTGCCAAGGAAGCTTGACTTGGCAATCGTTTACGCACCAGAACTCGCAGCCTCTGACATTCTGATTCTAACTTGGAAATTGATTTTACACTCTGTAAGTGCTGCTTGTGAGAAGCATCAGCTGTTCGACGATTAAATTCTCTTTCCTCATTCCGGATAGCGAGTTCCTTTTCAAGTACTTGAGTTTCATACTTCAGGGATGCATTATCTTTCTCCATAGACTCTAATCTAATCATCAATGCATTATGATCAGCCTCTACATGAGCCAATTTTCTTTTCAAATCTTCAATCAAATTTTCCTTTGCGATAATAGATCTATTAAGACGAGAATTTTCAACCCCAGATTTAGCAAGCCCTTTACTGGTCTCTGACAGATGCTCCTCCAAAACTATGTGTGCTTCTTCAAATTCTTTGGAAACTTTCATCACAGCATCATGTATCCTCTGCTCTTGTTCTTCTCTAACAAAACGTAACTGTTGCATACATTCCTTGAGAGCACCATCCAATTGGGCCGCTCTTTCTTCATAAACTAACTGCTGCTGTATAGATTCATCGAGATGTTGCTTCATAGATAATATTTCAGCTTCTGCCTTCTCCCATCCTTCAAAGGAATCTTTAATGAGAGACTGGTAAAATTACTCTAAGAATAATAAATAATATTATTGTTCAAAATCGCAAAGTGAAGGGAAAGGATAAAAAAACACCACAGCAATGCATGAACATTACCTGCCACTGCTTCTTGAACGATTTTTGTTTGTTTCTTCAGCTGCTCATCTTTAGCATTACATTCAGAAAGTGTCAAAGCAAGCTTATCATTTAATCTTTTTAAGTCTTTCTCCAATTTTTCTTTATCAGATAGAGGTTCCTGTACCTAAACCAGTAAGGCAAAACAAGATAAAATACTAATTATTTTTATCAAGTAATAAAGAAAGTATTAAATATCACAAAATTCAGGGGAAGGATTCCAGGTTTCTAACAAATACGTACATAAACCATTTAATTTGTCCATTTTGTAATTACAAAGTATTTCAAGATAAAGGGCCCAGGAAAAAAGCCCTTCTGGATTAATACTTTTACTAATTAGTACTCTTAAAGCTGTGAGACACTGAAGGGGAAGGAAGACTATAATAGGCATCTTAATCAATACATGAACATAAAAGTTCCAAGGCATTTATGAGAAGTGCAAACTACATATAATGAGAACCGAAACAGTTGATGTGAGACATAATTAAATTACCTCTCCATTTTCTTTCGAAGTGACATTGGTTTTGTCAGTTGCCATTGTCTTCTGCGTGGATTTTTTTCCCCAAAACCAAGACTTATGATCCATAATGATAAGAAGGCTTCAAATGTGAGAAGCCTGCATGGAGATTTCGTTAGAAGTATGCTAACTAGAAGGATGAGTAACGAAAAGTAAATCACAACAATGATAACTTATTGATATAATTGCTGCTGTGCATGTAACCTGAAGTGATGTACACTTTTCACTACTTTATCAATAATAGCTCGTGTTCATTAAGAAACACTATTTCAATATATCATCATTGATGCCATGCTAAAAAGGGTTGCAAGAATGGCTCAGCCATAGTCAGGATTGGAAATCAAACGAGCTAAACCTATAGAACTAAATGCACCAATTAACAGAGGTTTAAAGCTCAATCAATTGGGTTCAAATTTGTATCTGGATAAAAATAACTTCTTTCATAAAAATGATTTACTGCGTCTTTTCTTTGGAATGACATCTGAGACGCACATAAATCGGCAATTCATATCCAAATGAGCACATAATGCAGAAGCAATAAAACTACTTCACATTGACGCAAGTTAACTGTTGAGACCAAACCAAACATCCACTGGTGATATAAAAGACAAAATAGAATGCTCATATATATTAAATCAAAACATTGTAATTAACATTATTCCTACAGGATACCGCATTACTATATATGGAATCAGCCCATGGACTAATGAACTATTGTAAAAGCTTAAACTAGGCTGATTTCACAAATGAGTCAAAACTTTGAGCTAATTGAACTGTTAATAAACTGATTCACGAACTGGTTGATGGGTTGTTTATATTATTTCCAACCTAAGCATAATATATCCCTCAAGTAAATATACAACAGCATTTAACCATGAGAGTGCATTGTCATGGCATGGAGCCAGAAGACGCATTGGTAATTACAAGAAAAATATGTCTAAAAAAAAACTATATGGTACTCCACCAGAAACTTGAGGGAAATTGCATCAATAAATAAACACGTCCACACATCAATATTTATATGTATAAAAAAAATCATTATAAACCTCTTTCTCAGCAGAAAGCCTGAAGCTGAAATTTAATCTTTTAAACTTGAAAGTAAATTAACTTTTTAAATAGAAAATAATAAAGTGATGGTACAATACAAGAAGAACATAATAATGGAAGGTGTGTGCTTTGGTTTCTGACCTCTTAAGCATGAAGTGTGAGGCTTTGCCAGTACATGGATCATCCAAGAGAAAAGAACAACATCTGAGACCCAATGGCGAGGAGATTCAACTGTGGCATGGACAGTTCAGGAGACAGGAAAAATGGAGAGAAGTGGAGATTAAGGAGTTGGGCGTTGCGAAGCTTAAAGGAACAGACACAAATAATGAACATCATATGATAAAGTGCAATGTTTGATTTCTTACCGATGCAAAGGGTACCACAGCTCCAACCATAAGCAGTTTGAGGTTTCTCTTAAAGAGCGCAAAAAGAGGGGGTTTGGTTGCCAGGAAAGGGAAAAGAAGTAAAAAGACAGTAAAGTGTACCCTGCTGGACTAAAAGTCAAACTCAAAAAGGCACACACACACACCCATGGATGCAAATCTTCATTACCAAAATTAAAGAAAACATGTGTATTAAGATTAATTGATTTTAGAAAGAAAGAAAAACTAGCTTTCATCCATTTCAAAATTAATATTTTTTTATCTCTGAAAAAATTATATTTCCTAAATATGCACAAATGTGATTAAGGCCAACGTTGTTTCCGACACAAACATTAAATTTAAATATTATTTTCTAAAATAAATTTGAAATTACTAAATTATGAAAATGTAATCTTTTCATTAGATCTAACTATTAATAGTTGATTAATACACTCTTAAATAAAATATTAGAAAATGTGTTATCAATCCTCATTTCACTTATACACGATAATAGCAATATTTAGATTTATTTATTTTTTCACTATCACCACAAAATTTTATTTCAAGCCTTCTTTTTATTTATTTTTTGCATGAATTCCATCCTTGTTACTGTTGTATACTTCAGATCCATCAATTAATCTGATGTTTAATATTTATTAAAAATACTGGTATGATATTTTATGTTAAAAATACAATTAAATTAAAATTTTATATTTAATATTTTCTGCCTCTTGTATCATTATGATAACTATCTGCTGACAAATTTCACTGAGAGGGAAAATCAAGGCAGAATTTGTCGGCTTGGTACGTGGAATGCATGTGAGTTATTTGATGAATAACCATCCTTACAAGTTTCAATTTCCTCCTATTATTGCTCATATTTGTCCCCTATTTGCTTTCTCTAAACCTAATTTCATCAACCCTAATTCTTCTGTTCTTCTTACTTAATTTCAGTGTGCACTATTATTTCATCTCTTTTTACAATAATAAACCAGGCTCTGCCTCTATCTGATTTCACAATCAATTAGGGAAAAGCTTACCTGTGTGTGTCCGCTACTTTTATATGCCCATGTTGTTTGTGTTAAATGTAAATAAATGAAGGAACATGGGTTTCTAGAATTTTATATTTTGATTATACAGAGTAATGTTAATAGGTGTCTTCTTCCAATTCAAGAATGCTCATGGTAGTTTCCTTAGGCGATAAGTGTGTTCCTCGCAAATGACAAAAATCAAAACCTTGCTCGTGACCTCCTCGGAGAAGATTAAGAATTCAGGTACCTGAAATTCCCAAAACATATTTTTTTTTTTATTAATGTCATCTTTGAAAGTTGTTATTCAGTGTAGATTTCGACACAAATATCACACCAGAATGACATTATAATAAATAGATAACAGAAAATGTTAGATGTGTTAAACACAAGAAAGAAAGTACTTTGAGACAATCTTTCACCTACTTCGCATACAACTGCAAGAAAGTACTTCAAAACTTTCCTATTCTAACATTGTTCGAGATATTATGTCTTTTAAAATTTTAATTTATTATGATTTTGTTTTATATAAAAATATAATTAAACATTTTCTAATTAAAATTCTAACGCAGAAATAATAAATCCTCTTGTTCCTGGTTAGAATACACCTGTTATTAATCATGTAGGTTTAGAGGAATTTTTAGTAAGTGTTTTTAAGAAAAAAATTACAAATTAAAATTAGTTTGTATAAAATTCGTATCTTATTATTTGATAGAACTGGTAAGAAAGTCATAAATAATTGATATATAACTACTCAAATACAATGCAACACGCTTCCTAGTCTTTAGATGATATTTTCTTCCTATTCACAATGAAAGTACACTCAAAAAGTCTACCCTATTTTCATATCTTAGTTTAATACTCATACATCATCCAAAAAGTCAAGCAAAGCAAATAAATATTAATTACACTAAACACTACAAAATCCATTTATTACTTAAATCAGGTTCTATACCCTGCTTTGTCTGTTTTCTATTTTTCTATTAACTTTTCTTTCAGACTAAGAAAAGTTGTTTTCAATCTTATTTTCAAACTGCACACTTATTTTCTTTATCTTAAAAATTATATATTATAGGAACAAAAGTATTGAAAAAATAAACTAAAACTTGTTCCACATTTCAGGTCAATCTTTTTAATACAGGTTCAATTCAGCTATTCTCTATTTTGGAATTCGTTTTTTCATCTAAAGAAAACTTCAACTTTAACTCCATATGATTAAGATTAATTATGGCATTAAAAACATTCTCTGTTGTGAAGTTTTGCTTCATCATAAAAAATACTTCATTGAGTTAAGGAAAGAAAATAATTATAAATAAAATTTAAGTTTGATTTATAAGTGTACATCATGGTAAATTATTATAAAAAAATAATCCTTTTTTTATATTTTATTTCGAATTTACTTGAAGTAATAAATTTGGTGGAATTTCTTTAAATATAAATCTTTAACTTTAATTTTTCTCAATAAGTTTGGTTTACCTGTTTTCTATTTAAAAACTAAAGAATTGTGAAGTCAGATTTAATCAACTCGCAATTGTGTTTATATCGCAATTAAATAACATTTGATAGAAAAAAGCAAAGGTGGTAGTGCAGCAAAAATAATTGATAAAAGTTAGAATAGAGTTTTCTTATGAAATGAGAGTGTTTCTTAGGACAGGGACATGAAAGAGAAAGAGAAAGAGAGTAGTTGTCATTTAATAAGAGACATACACTTCTTTAAGGGTAGATAAGAATGAAATCGCACCATCCGTTAAAAAATATGGATTAAAATTTTAAAAATTTAAGTATTTTTTAATTAAAATTTAATTATTTTCAAAAATAACGTACTCATTTCTAAATAAATGTTTGATTATATTGATACACTCTTTCTAAACTTTCCTAGACTGAACTTCGCCAATAGTCACTATTTGGATGACCAAATGATTATTAAAGTAGGTTTTTGTGGTCCAAAAGAAGGCAACTACAACTGGGGCCGAAACAAAAAAGGGAATGTACCAACACAAATTAGCTTAGGTTACAATCCTTCTTTCCTTTCACTCTTCTTACAACAACTTCCATCATCATGCTTCTTTATTTATAATTTTGGTACTATTCTTTTTAAGTCTCACAAGGAATCCATTTTAAAGATAATTTAAATAATTTTTTAAAATATTTTTTTAAAAGTTCCAAACCAAATAATACATTCAAAAAATTACATTCAGCATATCTAATGTTATATTTCGTTCAAATAAATTATTTATGTTTAATTATTTCATCTCTCATGCCTACTTTCGATAAATAAATAAACAAATCTCAAATTCATTAATTAAAGTTATTTATAAACTCCTTGTTTTCTAAAATTCATCAAAATTAAAAAATTTGAACTCTTTATTCACTTTTTTTTAAGTCGCAAATTTTTCACACTCCACAGTTTGATTTTTTTCGAACAAAAAAATAAATCGTTTTTCTTTTTTGTAATTACGTGGGTTAGAAAATTAAAATGCCTCAACTCTACAGCTATACTATACGTTTATTTTGGGTCCATACTCTACAACAATAATGTAATATACTTGAACCACATTGTTGCAACATTAAATTAACGTAGTTAAATTTGTTACGCGTCTTCCTCTATTAAATACAAGTTTCAGAAAAATTGGGCTCTATAGGCCCACATTTTTGTTGAATAGAGGCCTGCCATAGACCCTATCGTAAAACCCTAAGCCCCACGATTCGTTGTTTTTTTCTGCCTCATTATTGCATATCGTTAATGATTCATTTATTGATTCTTTTTCGGGTATATAGTATCGCTTTAATTATCATCGAATATGTAATATTCAAATCCAAAATTGCTAAATCCATTATTCGTATTTGGATAAGATATATTTTTAGTAATTCATTTTTTTGTATAATATAATGAATCTCTCTTCTTTTATTGAATATTTAATATTCTCCTTGTTCTTTTCAAATTTCACTAATCAAATTATTAGATATTGTTCACACTAAAATATATTAAAAATCAATTTCAAATCCTACTCTGACGTAAAAAAAAAAAATTATATCAACTTTTTATTACTCTTTTGTTTTCTAAACTTGAAATTATTTTATATCCTAAATATATTACGAAGTCTCAAGGTATTTTAGTTAAAATTGAGATTGTTGATGTTTAAAATTACATATTTTTTTATAAATGAAATAACTTTTTATAAATTTAGAAAATTAACAAACTCGGTGACTAAAGTAAAACGATTAAAGGTATAAATAAACAATAAATATGGTTTCAGTGATCGATAAGTGAATTATTGGTTTTTTTTTTTCAATTAAGCAGTTCATACGAGGGTATTCATATCTCAAGTTAGAGGAAATAAAAACAAAATGAATTTGCAATAAGAAATGAGCAACAAAACTACGACTTCGTTTATTGCATACTGAGAAAATTGTTTTTTATGTTAAATAAATAGTAATTTTATATAGATTTAAGAAAAAATTAGTTCATCTTTAATTATTCATAATCGAAAAATTAAAATTTTGAAACGAAATTAATTTCACGAAAATATTTAAAACATTTTCTTAATTTTAATAAGATTTTGATTTCGAAAATTTGAAGCAAATGTAACAAAAAAAACATTTAAAGTTATTATTTTTAAGAGTACTTTTAATAAAATCAACTTATAACAACTAGACTTAAATGTAATTATTACTTTAAATAATCTAATTACTTTTTTACTAATGATCTAAATTAATATTTTAATCAACATTGCCTATTTAAACTTTCTCACTTTAATTTTCTCTATATCTCAATATGGTGATACGTGTTTTTTTTTTCTTCAAAAAATCAAGATTTAGATTCCATGAAACACTTGAGCTGGATTCTTCCTCCATCCAATAAATCTTCTGAAAGATATATGGAAACATTTTGGAGTCAATTTTTTTGAATATCTTTGAAAAGTTTATTCCAAGATGTCTTTGACAAATTTATAGAGAGGACAATAAAAAAAATTAAAAATGAAGTTTTCAGAACCATTTAAATTAAGGAAATATTATCATTTTAGATAAATAAATATAAGGGTGCAGGAAGAAAATGGGGTGCGGGAAGAAAAGCCAACACTTGATATCGCTCCGAGACAAGTCCAATTGGTGGGGCTTGGTTTGGGCCTAGGTTAACTTTTGGGCCTCTTTTGCACTGACATTCTCTTCGTTGTAATTTCGGTTTTCGACGTATTATTCAGCATAGAGTTCTATAACAAGAAAAGAAAATTGTGAAAACACGTTCCTCAAACTTGCAATAATTAGGCATAAAATCCCTGCAACTTGTGTGGTTGATGCGAACACTAGACATTAGAGAGTCCTAAAGTAAAGGCATAGAAATAAAATTGAGTTCATCAACCTTACACTCGTGACACTGAGCTTAGCAAAAAGAATATGGCCGTGACAACCGACACCACAATTCACCAACAATTCAAGCAATTGGTAAATAGTTTGTGTTTGAGCACCAAACTTGTTCCCATAAAAGCAAAAACAGTGCACCCCAATCGAGAAAAAATCTCGTGACACATTATTGATTCGTTCATTCACCACACAATTTCTTTCTTCTTTTGGAAAAAGTAGGTTCCCATCTCCCACTCCTTTTGTTTCCCCACTCACCAAGATGAGTGCATGACAAGACACCAACCTCTTTCTTTTGGCACTAACAATCGCTTGCAAATCTCAACAAAAGTCCTCCCACTCCCACATTAGAAACTCGTAAGCATCTCTCATTAGCATAGGCAAAAATGGAAACATACGCACACACACAACCTATTTGCTCTTAAAATTAAGCACTGCACACAATGTGGTCTTCGTGTGTTTGATTTGTTACAAGTATCTCATTTCATGTGTTAGGTTTTTTAAGGAGATTTATAAAAGATAACACTAATAAATTATGAATCTTTTTTACATATTTTATCTTACATTTTAATTTCTTGATATCATATCTATTATATATAATTTTTTTAAAATTATAATTCATCACGAATTTACATGAAATTTATACCGAAACATTGTGTTTTTTTTTCCTAAGTGTCAAACATCAATGATGGATCATCAACATGGGTTCGAATTTGGATATTTCTCATTCCTCTTCGTCTCGACACTCCGTTTTCTTATTTCCATTATTAGTGAAGGCATTTGCGTAATCACCGAGCACAAACGGAATGCGATGAGAAATGATAATCATATAGCCATATTCTAACGTATTGAATTGACCATGGACGCTAGCAAGATATGATTGTGATTTGCATTACATAAGTCTTGGGTGATCAATTATTTACGACATCTATTTCTTGGTGCACAAATAAAATTATAATGTCGCCAAATGCGGCTAAAGTTAACTCACTTTGTCAACAATTGTAGATGTAGTTGGAGATTCAATGGCTTGTGACTGTATAAAACCTATTTATGGGAACTACAAATAACACAAATATGTATTCCCTGTTACCCACGTTCATACCACCTTCATGGAAAGGACAATAAATAATCTTAAGATGATTGCATTGCCTACCACACACACGTTGTCACACTGTTGTCTAGGTGGTGATTTCGATCAATTCATGACTACCTTAGAATTTTCATAAATGCACACTGTAATATGACATAATTGATTTTTAAACTCTATAACAATTTTCAACTATTAATCGTATTAAAATTCAATTTCACAATTCATTGAAAAAATCACTGACTACAACATCCATCTGTAGTTGCCAGAAGTACAAACAAAATAAATTCCTGATGTACTAAAAGTATTATTTTGATACTTGAAATTTAATTAATTTTTAAAACAGTTCAATAAAAAATTAACCAAATTTAACTGGAGATTAATTGTTATTGTATAGAATGAATGAATTTGACATTTGACATTTTATATAATCAGTGTGACGTATTTATTATAATATTTAATTATAAAACTTTGGTAACATATTGTAGTTAACCGAAGAATTTCAACAAAACTTAGTATGTCAATTAATTTGAATGTGTCAGTATATCTAACCTTAATTTGACTTTGAAAAAAAAAAAAAAAAACTGTTTTGATTTAGTTTAGGTTTCGTCTAACTTATGAAAGTAGGGTCAGGTATGTAACCCCACGTAGCACCGCCCTCAAATTTGCTTCACGGTTAAGTTAAGATTTTTTTTTCTTCTAAATATTACAAATAGAAATTAACATTCCCATAAAATTATTTATTTTAATTTAAAAAATATAAATATTATTATATGTAAAAAAAATCATTAGATACGAGAGATAATTTGAGAAAACAATGTGATGGGAGAAATAATAGAGAATAAATTTTAATTATTTATTTATATTTAAGAGAAATAAAAAATAAATGTAATTGAAAAAGCGAAAAAGACAATGAAAAGTGTGTTTTTAACAAATAAAAAAAATATATAAGATAAATATTTTATTAAATATGATGACATCAAAATGGTTAAATAAACACCTCCTTTATATATTATCATAAATAATTATTAAATGAGAAAATTATATTTATATATTGAATTAAAAATATAATTATATTTAAAATTTTTTATTTTTATCTCTAGAATCCTCAACCTGTCTTTGGTGGAGCCACGGATATGAACGAAGACTGTGCTAACTATTGGTGATAGTTGAATTGTCCAGCTAATACTCAAGGAATTAAAAAGATAAATATTATTAACCACAATTTTTTTCTCTAAACTCATTTTTTTAATCCCATTTCTCTCAAAACTTAATTCTCCTATTTTATTTCGATGATTTAAATTTATTATACATGCTTTCCATGCAACTTTCCGTCTGAATTTTCAAGTTCAAATAATCAATATCAATAATTGTATGAAGATCGAATTTTCCATGGATGTTTCAAACCATATATTTTCTTATAAAGTTGAAAAATCTGAAGAGTTAAAGGTTGTTTGTTATGCATTTGCATCATCAAACAATTGTATATAATATGATGAGATGTAGTAATTTTTATATCAATCAAGAAAGTTATTAATTAAATAGAAAGTTGATATCAACCAAGGGTTAGTCCAATAACAAAATATATATATGATAAATGAATATTTTGAAGTGTATATATAGTTATAGGTATAGATATAGATGATATGATAGGAAGTATATGAAGATTGGAGTGGGACAAATGACAGACTGTGAGAAAAGAGAGTGGTTGAGTTGCACATGGGTAAAGGATCTAGATTCTAGAACTCAGAATTGGGAGTTAAATCCGCGCTAAAGGGTAGATAGAAAAATGCAAAAGGATGGAGATGAATACAATATCAAACGCCAAAACATGCTGGAAAAGGAAAGTAGATAAAGCAACGTTATAGATGGAAAAGGCAAAGAGAGGGAAACATATACATATATTACTTACAGGGTGGCACTGTGAGTGCAGAGGGTGTAATTAAAATGAGGCTTAGATTAGGAGGGAGAGAGAGAGAGAGAGAAGAGTCCAGAGAGGTGGCAAGGGCGTCCCTTATAGGGAAACCAAAAGAGTAGTTTGTCTCAGTGAATGATGATAGTGATCTAACAATTCAGGGCACAATGTGAACGATAGAACCAATCCTTCTTCTCCTAACTCCCACTCCCAGTCACCATCACCCTTCCGTATATAACTATATCTGCCTACATTTATCATCATTCATTGTATTCTACCACCAAACACAAACTCAAATGCATACCACACTGCCCAGTAAACGACACACAAACATTTCTTGTTTTTATTCAAAGCAAATTCGTCTACCCCAACGTATAAAGTTCTCTCAAACCAACCCTTTTGCTTAATTACTTTTATTTACTCCTTTTGATTCTCATGCATGCCAATGGATGAGAGGGAGGGAGAGAAATGAATCTGTGTCCAATAGTTCTGATGCATAAGTAAAAGGGTATATACGTATAGAGAGAGAGCTTTAACCTACTGAGCAGTGAATAACATAGTCCCACTTTGTACTCCTCCACTCTGCAATTTTACTGGCTTTTTATTTCCCTCCATTTAGAATAAGGCCTGCTGTGACATCAATTTTTTGGACCACTGAACTTGTTGTCGTTAACCTACTCTTCCTCTCATTACTTGGATCAAATATTGCTATTGCATAAGCTTACTTAATGTCATGTACTGGCTTCTTTTGGTAGGTGGGATACAGAAATATAGCCAGTATCATTGAAACAATGGTAGCTCTTTTGCCTCTTCACGTAAACATTGCTCATCCTCGTTTAACGTTCTTTCTTTTTTGCCTAATATTTTGGTAGTAATTAGTGAAAGTGAAAAACCCAGCGGCATATAAAACTTCAACATGTTCTACCCGAAAGAACTTCAACGTGTAATTTCAATTCTATGTATGGCATGAAATTGGGCCCACTTTTCCTAAAATATCTACGATGACGGTCATGATGACGCAAGCACTCATGGTTTCGTTCTTTAAATCATTTACGGACCAGCACAACATCCCAAAAACAAATGGATTGGATGAATGATTATTCTGATATATATTATTCTAGTATTATTCCAACCAACGAGATGACAAAGCTTTGGATCTGGTTCGTCAAATGAAAGGTTGCTGCATATTATTTTCTATTTAAATTGCAAGTAGAGATTGTATAAACATATTTTGAAGAAAAAAAGAACCATCCACTTTGAGAAGGGAAATTTTTTAAGCACCCCTCATGTAAGATCCAACCTACAAAAGCTTGGCATCGTGTTAGTATCTATAGTCTTTGGTTCATTAACCATTCAGACGCTGTTCCCTCCCATACTCACAGGTATAGAATCATTGAACCCAACTATTATTACACGAACCAATAACTCCTCTGCTCTGTTCCCATAAAGTTACCTGTTTCCCAATTAATTAACATTGTTATTAGTATCGGAGTACTCGCCAATTTTTCTTTCTCATAAAAGTTGAAACTGACAGAGGCCTTATACCCCCAAGCAAACCATCCCCCTTCAACATTTATACCCTTTTGGTAGCTTCCTTCTCTCTCTCTTTCTCTCTCTCTCAACGCATCACTGTCCTTTGAAGCTTTAGACGAACAATGATAGGTCCTTCTCGTCATAATAGCCTTTGTCTGACTGCTTTTGGCCAAGAGAACTGATTCAAAGGACACCATTGATTGAGACTATTCATCACCATCGGGTGATATTTCCGAGGCACAAAAATAACCCTCATTGCATAACTGTCTCTCTCTTAACACCAGAGTAAATTTTTTTTTCTTATTTTCCCTTCTCTCAAGCTAGGCTAGTAAGAAATGGATATCTATCTCAACAAAGTTTTATGTCAAGCTAAACCATACCTGCACTGGCCTATTAGGGAACCCAAGCTAGCATCTTTCCTTTGCAAAGTTTTCAAGGCCATCCCGATCCGAGCAGAAATATGGAACAAATTGACAAACATGTGTGCGTGATGGATATACATCCCAAATTAAGAAACGAATATTTGTGCTGTCATAAATACTATAGCGCAAAATGCAATCATAGTTACATAAGATCAGAATATTTTAGTCAGCGCCCAGAATATCTTGTTAAAGATTTCGTCCGTTGGTTAGTTTGACTGACCTATTACACAAAATCCAGCGAGTTCCCAATTTGGGTTTCCCCTTTTTTTATCCCTTCTTTCACTCCAATAGTAAAACTACAGTTATGTATGGGCTCTTAGAGGAGGGGAGGTTGGACATGACATGAACAATGATCTAAACTGCATCCACTTGTTACAGGCTCACAAAACAAAATAGGGGGAGATCATTTTTCAATGAAAAATGGCATGGTAGAAATAATCTTCACGGGTCAAGAGGGTCTCATGAGAGAGTGGAACCCATCTTTCTGCTGCCAACCTTGGGAGGGTCTAATTTGAGGTGGGAATCCTGATGATGCTGCAGCAGTTGCTAACAAATGTGGAGGCCCGGCTTGCCATTGCTGTTGATCAGACATTGATAACGAAAGATCGCTTCCAATACGGCCTCCGTTGCTGCTGCTAGGAACCTGCATGTTCGGGGGACAAAAACTAAACTCACTGGGATGCTACAATAAATGGGCGCTTAATCAATCATCTTTTGCCAATTTAAATTGAATGCATCAGCCAAAACCAGAATATTAATGGATGAGTACCCACATGAAAATTTGGTGGGTAAAGATGTGCAAAATTTTGAGGCCTTTGAGGCTCTGCAGGCGACCTATAGGGACCATATCTGTGCATTTCTTTAGCCGATGGAGATTGAAGGTGAGTTTGGCTTAGTAATTTCAAGGTTTCACTCTCCCCGTGCCCATCTCTTGCATAGGCTTCCATATTGCTTCTACCACATGGTTTTGGTAGTATATTTACCAACTGAATCAATATATAACGAGGAGTCAATAGGTGTGATTCAGGTAGAACTCAACAAGAAATTAATAACTAGCCAGTAAATAACCAGTATTATGAAATAACACATGAACCTTATTCTTAGTTCCTCCATTCCTCCAATTAGATTCAGGTGGCATGTGTTGATCGGATGCAGAATTTGGGAAGTGATTCCCCGATATTTGACTACTGCTATGTTTAGAGCTGGAATTGCCCAAACTCAAATCCAGATTGTGATCTGCAGCTACACCTGATGATTCTGTCACCGAATATTACATTTAACTAATAAGTATTGTGGATGCGAATAATAAAATACAAAAACTTTGATTACAACATCAGTCAGTGCATCCTTGATTACCAGAATTAAGTTCATTATCATAGATGCTGGGATCAAAATTGGTGACGGCCTCTTTGCCGTTGCATTTTATTGCTGCTTTGTCATATGCCCTATTGACAAAATAAGCAAAAAATGTCAAAACCCTAGCAAGCGTAGATATTCTTGGCTACTTTCACAAGGTGGGCAATCATGGAATTGGAAGAGAGAAACATCAAGTGGACATATAAAAAAAGTAGATACCTTGCAGCTTCAATCTCGGTGTCAAATAGACCCAAATAAACGTACCTGGCGAATCAAATCAAATCAATTTTGTCCAGGTATGAACAAACCATACACATGAGTGATAAGATGTATAAAATACACAATATATCATGGAATACAATAGAAGAAAAGATCCTACTTTTTGCCCAAAAATTGGCCCATTCGAGCTTCCCATCTTCCACACTTGTGTAAAGTTACACCTCTATATTTGGAGCTTCCTCTCGGAAATCCAGTGCTTTGTCGGCGAAGTACGTGCACAAACTCTTCCTTGGTTAAATTGCTCATCTGTATTAACATAACATTAATTAACCAAGACAGATAAAATGCTATTTAAGAAAAGTAGGAGAAAGAAATCACGCTACTGATGGAGATAAGATACAAAACTTTCCACAGAATCTCTCCCACTCTCTTAATCACCCACCTGCTTCAAGTCTTCTTCATAATCTTCTATGTTGAAGTTGATATCTGCCTCCACCCCTCGGAACTTAATGGCCGCTCTATCATATGCACTGGACAGATACATAAATAAATACATATTTTTTTATTAATATCAAGCGTATACTAATTTTCAAGAAACAAAAATTGATATGGATTAGGTTCGAGATATGAAAAGGTTATATTACAAGCTGGGAAAACAATAGTAGAGAAGGAGCAAGTGCTCACCGAGCAGCTGCATGTGCTGTGTCAAATCCACCTACACAATTTTACCCAGACAAAACTATCTCATCAGTCATGCCTTCAAATTTCCCCCACAATACACTCTTGTCTGCCTCCCAAATCGTATCCACAACAAAACATTATTAAAAAACAAAGTAGAAAGCACACAAGCTTACAACAAAAACTACCACATATGCAATCCTCCCCAACTTAATACTTACCCAAATACACTTGTTTTCCACAATCCCTGCACCACCAAGGACCAAAGGAATCAATATCAAACCGTTCAGAAATTATAATTTCTATGAATAAATTCACACAACACCAACCATATATGAGACTCCCATCGACCAGTTCTTCTGTAAAAGGTAACTCCGCGATACTGTGAGCTTCGTGAGCGTGGTCCTCGCCGACTTTTCTTCATCGGCTCCGACACTTTAACTGATTTTCCAGCGCCGGGTGTTTCCGATTGACAAAATTTGACGCCTACCCAGTGAGCACGTGGGAAGGAGGAGCTTCCTACTCCTCCGCCGTCTGCGGCGGCGGAGACTGGAAGGTAGGATTCCTCCACCGAAAAAAACTGCCGAGTGACGGGTGGATGGTCACTGTCATCATGAGTAACTGAAAACCCGAAAATTTTGCTGCTTTTTTTCTCCGCTGTTCTGCTTCCGCCCCTGTCACTGCCTTCTTCTTCCGATCCATCTTCCAGGACCACCGCAGAGGAGCTTGAATTTGAAACAGACCCCACTCTCTTGCCCTTATCATCATTTAGCGAAGAAGAACAGCCTTCAGATTCGTAGTCCTTCCTCTCATCGGGAGAGTCATTCAGATCCCACATTCTTGAGGACCCTTTTGAATGGCTTCTGTGTTGTTCTTCTTACACAGACATATAGCTAAGCAGTGAAAAAGAAAAAGAAAAAAGGCCAAGTAACCAACCAACCCAGAGTGTGTCTTGGTGTTGGTTTCGTTTAGAGAATAAAAAAATGAAGATAAAGGAAGAAGGGTATCGGGAGAAGGAAGAAAAATCAAACCTAGGACGAGTGTGAGAGAGAAAGAGGTAAGTGTTGGAAAAGGGTAATAAAGAAGGAGGTGTTCAAAGATCTTTGTATTCCCCTAATTGCCCAATACAGCATAGACGAGGCCAGTTTCAGCAAGCTTAGCCGAAAGCATTCCACCCTCTCCTCTCTCTCTTCTTTTAATATTACTAAAAAAAAATACAATCTATTTTTGTTTTGCTTCTCCAGGGGGAAACCCCTTATATATAATCTTATCATTAAAAAAACCAGGATACTGTTACCTGTTTCCCTTTTAATGCAAATAATAAAATGCAACTGGTATAAATGAAAAAAAAAAAAAAAACACGAGGAAGAATCTCTTTCTTAAAAACTTTCCCACGTTAACGAAATCGAAAAGGCATCTATGTGTGTATGTATGTGTGGGCCGGTGGAAATTTCTCAGGCAGTAATGGAAATAGACAGAAGCAGTGGAAAAGAAATATAATTACTGGGAAAAACGTTTTGTTAGGTTGTAATGGTTAATAATGACGTTAGGAGGGGAAGGTCCATGACTCTGAGCATTTTTATCTTTTTAGGATTATGACTAAGTTTTACCATGTGGGAAGGCACAGGGTGTCAAAAGAGGAAAGTAAATATGGGATTTGAGGGAGGGTGTTTTGGGAAAGATGGTGGAATATTAATATTTCCCTGCTTATTGTGTGTGAGTAAAGAATATATATATATATATATGGAGAGAGAGTGAGAGTTTGGCATCAGAAAAGGAAAATGAGAATAATATAAGTAAAAGGAAAGTCTTTCCAGAAAAGTCCAATCCAAGAGTACGGGAAGAGGGCCACCTTTACCTCTTTGGTTCTCTCCCAGCGTCCAATGTCCTCATAACGCTGTACCTCGTATTTATGACCAATTCCCACTTCTTTACTCGTCTTTTTCTGCGCGTGTTCTCTCACTCTCTCTTGTTTTATTTTTTCATTCTTATTTTCTCAGCTCAACTTTTGCTTATATACAGATAACAAAATCATTTATATAAATAATAATTATTAAAAAAAATTAAACTTTTGATAATCGTAACATACTATTACTCGTAATTAGCTATCCTAATAATTAACTGAAATTTATATGAAAATTATTGTTATCACCAGAAAATACTAGGATCTTTGACTCTATATATGCTTTTGTAGTGAGTATTTTATCTTGTAACCTTTGACAAATTAATATTAAGTTTCGGACGATATTTCACGCAACTTTCATTTTTAATACAGTTGTAAATTAATAGTTTCTAACAAATTAAGATTTGGAGAGATATGAACTATACTCTCCATAATATATATATATATATATATATATATATATATATATATATATATATATATATATATATCATAATTACAACATGACATTGAACAATCTTTAAATTTTATTTTATTTATGGGGTGAGGAGTTGAATATTTGTATGAATTTGTATTTATAGTATTTCACTATACACTAAAAAAAACTAAAATAAGGAGTTAACAATCTTCCTTTGCCAGATCCTAGTTGTTAAAACTAATTAAATTCATACTGAATAAATATAAATAATTTTAAAATTAAAACCAATATGTTATTGTGGGGAAAGTGAAGGATATAGTAATTAAAATTATACATGCACTCACATATAAATTATTGATGAATTCAAAAGTGAAATTGAAGATAAATCACATTAAGATTGAAACTATGTTGATTCAATTCTTAATCATTTTACCCTAATTTTGAAGTGATATTATGTATTCTCTTGTAGCTTTTTACTTAATATTCATTTTCCCTTATCTATCTTAAAAGTTATGTTAAATAGGACTATTTGTTTCATATCAAGGTTTAATTACAAAAAAAAGTCAATGAGCCTCTAAGTCCATTTTGATCATCAAAATTATTAATTATGCTGGTTTCTTATAAATATCATAGCTACAATTTTATAAAGAACCTATCAATGAAAGTACACCATAAAATAGATTCATGCCTCGCTAAAAATTTGTTGAAAATGTAAAATACAATGTTTTTTTATTCACCGAATTGTAAAAATATAATAAAAAATTTAAATGTTTGAATTTTACACATCACAGGTTGAATAAATAATCTTATTTATTAATTATTATATCGTGTTAAAGCGTTCATTAAATACTAAATTAATATAAACATAATTTAATAAAAATAAACACAGAAAACAAATAAGTTAAGTTCAAAAGTAACGTAAGTTTTTTAAAATTATTTTAAACTCAGAATCTTAAATATATGTTCAAATAAATGAATAAAGTATAAACCATAAATTATCTTTCTAAATATATATATATAACCCAAGTAATTATTGTTATCATATAATTATTTTTTTTTCATACAAACTAATTATTATTTTATGAGATTATGGAAGCATAATTAAAACCACTACAGTATCAAATATGACTATGATTTCCAATGTATTTTTAAGTTATTCTTAATATTACCTATTAAATAACAATCAATAGTTACTTGTTTCAGAAACCAAAACAACGATCATCATGTTGTACATAATTTTTTTTAATAAATATCATCATAATATTTAAGTACTATAATAAAAATATATAAAAATAATATATTACTGATATCTTATTGATAATTCCTTTAAAAAAGGATAATTTTAGAGATAAAAAGTATAATTACTATTTTTTCAAGCACGTCTAAAATGTGAGAAAACTACACTACCAATAAGTTTCAATATTTTTATTTTTTTCATTTCATACAAATAAGAAAAAAAAACATGTTAATATCAAGTAAGTGATGAGTATAAATTATGTATTTTTCTTATTTGGTGATAAAAAAAATGTCATTTATCACATGTTTTACATTTTACCTATATATATAAAGAAATAATATAAAATATAGAATAAAATATTATCTTCAACAATCATCGTTCTCACTAAAAAATAAATACATAGATAAATTTACGATTATATAATAATATATTATTTATTATATAAAAACTAATATAAAAAATAATAAATATTCATGGTAAATAAATTCTCAAGTATATATATATATATATATATATATATATATATATATATTAAAATTGTATACCATTTAAATATTTAAAATTCATATAATTTTATCAATTTAAATATTATTTAAGATAGAACAACACGTAAATCATTAAACAAAAGGTTGAAAGGAAGTATGTTGGACGATAAAACATACAACATGTTTGTCTTTTTCTTAGAAGAGAATAAAAAAAATAAAAAAATACATGCGTGCGTGCGTTTACCGTAGGTTGGTGAGCGTGGGTCTAGGAATGTCTGACACTGGCGAAAGCCAACTCAAAACCACATAATGTCTTAATTAAACATATTGATTCTCTCAATTTAACATTTTTTTATTTTAAAAAAATCTAAAACTTAGGTTTAAAAAAATCATAACTAGTTGTTAATTATTGAAAAACAAATAAATAGAATTTTATGTACCCTCATTTATTAAATCAATTTAATTTCTTAAAGAAAATAAATTTTGTTATCTCTTTGTAGATTATGATTTTCAAACTCCCTCCCTACCTAATTATATTTATTATTAGAAAGAAAATAAATTGTAGTCATTTTCTTAACATTAAATATTTATTAGAAATTACAATTAAACTTTATGTGAGCAGTTATAGACGTTTACAACTATTTTTCAAAAATAATAATTATTATTATATCAAATTAAAAGAGCATATATATATATATTTCAATTTATTATTATTATTATTATTATATTATTGATAATAATAACAAGTTATTTAGTGAAATGATTATTATAATACTACTTTATATGACATCAATACGAATGAATAAAATATGTTGTATAATAAAATATTGCAATCCATACAAAGTTGTATTATTAAATAAAAAAGCTGCTTTACTTTCGTTACATCTCATTTGATGTTACGTGGTTGGTACCAAAAATATAAGAAAAATCTTGTGTACCTCAATTTTATTTCCCATTCACAGGCAATTTTAGCAGACAACTTTGTTTTTTTTTTTTTTCAATCCCTCCACACACCTACGTCTAGTTGCATAAATCGATTTTGTTTAAACCTATATTATTTTACTAAACTCACCTTATATAACCACTTTTACAAATAACACAAACTAAAATAGAGATTATCACAATTTTCATTCAGATAAGTGTGTAAGCATTTTGGAGTGATTAAACATTTTTTGTTTAGTATAAGGTTCTGTGTGTAACATGGTGCATCAAAGTGTGGTTGGGTTGTTTAATGCGTAGAAGTAACGAAATTTTGATGTTTTTGTTTTTTGTGGTGGGGTGGGTCCACAGTGATTTAGATTTAATTAACTAAAACAAATGAAGAAAGAAGTGGAGAAGGAGAAGGCCACGTCACATGGCACTGGAGACGAAATTCCCAACAAGTCCAACCTCATAAAATTGGGAACGTGCTTATCCATCCAAATTCCAATACACACACCACAATCTTCTCTTTCCTTCTAATTTGTATCTCACGAAAGTAACGAGTGGAGTGCAAATTTTCAAAAAGCTAAACCTTCCCATAATGGAAGTGGGACGAGGCTACGCCTTGAAGACCTTGTTTTCCCCAAGTGGAAACAGTACCAATGAAGTGGGCCTGCTTCTTTTGTTTCTTTCTCATCCCTTTCCTTCAATTATTCAAGCCCAGGCCCACCAACAGTACAATCAGGCCCACTAACTTTATTACCCTTATCCCCTTTACCCATGTATCCCACCTAACTTCTGCTTCTCCATTTAAACATCACACATAATCGCATCTAACTTTGTTTGACTATTTTCGCGTTAGGATCATACCCTATAACACTCCCTGCAAATTACAACTTAAACATAAATGGAACCTTTATGTTCTTCCCCACCCTAAAACCTTTGGGTCCCTCCTCAACTATCTCTCCACACATCATTATCACAAGACAACCATGATATGCCATGTCTTGTTTTGTTTAATTTTCTCATAATCAAAATATCTTCCTAGACAAACCTAGTTTGGATACGTAGTTGTCACAAAGTTTAATTAACTATCACGCTCCCACGAATCACTTTCTCCCCGTCAAACCTAAAAACATCCACCATTGCTTAAAATTTCCTACGTTGAACATCGAAATTCCATACATTGCGTGACAGGTTTATCAATTTACACAACGCGCATTCAATTGGCTGAATTAATCAAATATCTTCTTCTTGTCGACGCACACACACAATTTGTTTCGGAATCTTACTTTCTAAGGGAGGCAAAAGTTATTGTTTAAATCATTTATCATGGACCCAATGAATTTCAATGCTGCTGCTAATATTTTTCAATGACTGCCATTAATTGCATGAAAAGAATTGTCAATCTTTTAACCCAATCAGTATTTGAATGACTTCCCCTCTTTTTCAACCCGCAAGATTTAGGTTTTATGTTTGTTTCACTTAAGCAAGGGAACCCAACTCAATTTTCGAACCTCCTTTAAAATCGCAATAATTGGTTAAAATGTAAACGATTACGTGGAGGGTAAACTACATCATAATTCATTGCATTCGTCTCAAACTAAAACACATCACTGTTTCATGGAATTGGTGCAGACGAAGGAGAAAAAGGCATTGTCTGTAACAGCATATATCCTAAAAGAAATCAACAGTTATGGTGAAGAAAGTGCCAAAAGGAACATATTCGAAACGAAACGTGTTATTGTTGTTTGAGTGACATTAACGAGTGCGAATACTAAGGATTGTTTGTGGTATGGCTAATGACTCACGTGTCCTTCCTATATAGGGGGGAATATGAGTTTTGCAAGCACTATGTAATTTCACATTTATAGAAAGGATACCAACCTACCATGGAATCCTATGAAATGATAATGATCCCCTTTTGCCATGTCTTTACTTTACTGCTGTACCTTTTGTTGTTTTTACAAATTCAAAAAATTAGGATTTCATGATTCATGAAACGACCATAAAATCTTTTCAAAATCCTTCCAACAATAAAGACACAGAATATGGACCCGCTTCATACATGATCATAACTTTACTGAATCTCGTTCATCTCTTCAATTCCACAAAAACACTTCTTTTAAATTATCATATTGGGAAGAGAAAAATACACTTCTTTTAATTTTTTAAATTTTATTTGTTATTAACATAATTACCTACGATTAAGTCATTAAAAAGACATGCGCCAAACTTGGTTAAAAGATATGTAATCATGCGAAAATTCTATCTTTATTTTTTGTACATGCTAGAAAGTTTTGAAAACCATTTTTCTTAACTTCAATGAAGTCCACATGAAAAGTTTGTTGGGTAGGTTTTGAGAGGATGCAGCTAAAGAAGTATAAATTCTTATTTACAGTAAACAAACAGCGTAACTCATAATTATGTCGTCGTGATTTTGTGCAAGAGAATCATATCTTTCACTTAATCAACTTTGAATTCCCTCCTCCTCATTTGATCGAACCTACTACATTTTGTCATGCTTGGTTTTAATATGTGGCTACAGATTCTTACGGTAATTTTTTTTGCTGAAAATTAAGACAAAAGCTTTATATTTATTACGATAAATTTTACTTCTGTTTTCATTTACCAGAAAATATATTCTTCATGAAGTTTTATTTTTCTCCTTAAGAATTTTATAGAAAAGTTATTTGGCTTTCTAATATATATTACCAAAATTGTGATATTAAAACAAAAATTCAAAGCTAGAACAATCTATGTAAAATATATTTTACATTTAAAGTATTTAAGAATTTTTTGGGAAATGTTAATGTAGATTGATGATGTTTGAGTGTGGGCCATACCCACTGTAACCTTTTATTTGGTGTGAATGGTGTGTCATACATATGATCAAATCGAGGTGTTTGACTTGAACGGGGTCCCGCGTAGATCTGAGTTTTATGGATTGAAATTATCCAAATAACGTGAATCATGTGAATATAATATGCATGTATTACTGGGAAATGATACTTAGATAATTATTTTTCATATATAATTATTTTAAAACTTTTTTAATAACAAAATAATATAACTTTATTTATTATGATTGCAAAATTATTATTATTATTATAATGATTGTCAAAATAGTATTATTCTTAATTAATTGGTGAATTAATATTAGTTGTTGATCGGAACATGTGGATTAGATGGCTTGTCAAGGTATGTGATACAATTTTCAACCATGAAGGTAAAAATTTAAATTTATGATTTTGAATTTGAAATAAATATTTTTATCAAATTCTATATAATGCGTTTATATATATATATATATATATATATATATATATATATATATATATATATTCTAAAATAATCATAATTTGACTGTTTCATATCTTAAAAAAAATTAGTATTATTTAATATAATTATCTGAAATTTTAGCATTTAAAAATTGTTATTTGTGCTGACAATTGAAACGGTTAAATAAATGATAATGAAATTTGTATATTTTTAATTAATTATTAATATAATTAAGTAATAAGATAAATCTATTTGGGTATCAATTAGTACAGATACAAACATTAATATACATTTGTTATTACTTAAGCGAATCAAAATGATTTTTTTGTATTACCATTGTTGTTTTATAAAATTTATCAATTTTGAATTTGAAAGTGAAATTTCAATTTTAAAACAAATATCTTCATGTAAAAATAAAATATATTTTGTTGTGATAAATAATTATTTATATTATTTTTTAATATACAATTATTGTTATTAGTTTTGACTTAACCTTTACTAACATAACTTAAATATGCATTTAATTATGATGAATGTGTAAGTTTTTATTTTGATTCATATAGAAGAATTGGTTTCAATGATCATTCTAATATTAGTATTATAGGACGCCGATTAACTATTCATATATTGAAATAATAATTATATTTCAAGTGATTAATACTGATAAATAATTAGATTTCAATTAATTAATCCTAATTTTGTAAAATAACACTGTAAAAATAATATATTTAAAAATAAAATTACTCAAGTAAAATTTATATGAATTTCTTTATCAAAATAATCTATTTGTTGGTAGGTAAATTTCTTCCTTTCTCTTCACAATATTTTTTTCCCTTTCTTCGTTAACTTCTCATATTTTTCTTTCTCATTTATTCTTCTAATTAAAAAACTATACTAAAATTTAATAAAAATATATTAAAACAAATATTTGAAAAAAGCATTGAAACTCAAAATCAAAATTTTAATAATAATAAATAATTTTATTTATTTTGACAATAAATATATTTATAATTAATTTAAAATTATTTTATCATAATAAATAATTATTCATCTAAATAAAAAATATCAAATATTTATAATTTAAATGTATTTTTATTTAATATTTTAATTTAGTTATAATTAGACTGAATTATAATAATTAGGTATTCTTAAAAAAATACTTTCAAATAAATATTTAATTTTTTTCCTAATAATTAACATAACAATAATACTTATAATATCTCAAATTTAACATATAATATTTGTTTCTTATATAATAATTAATTTTGTTTTATTATTTAATAACAATAAAATATTCACATTATCAATTTTTAATATATTATTTTGATTTGGAGAATCAAATTGAGTGAAAGAAGAATATAAAAAAGAGAAAAATAAATAAAAAATAAATAAAGAAAGAAAAATAAATAAGAAAATATACGAGAAAAAAAAATATATATATATATATATATATATATATATATATATATATTACGTGAAACAAATTTATTTCTTATTATTAAAGTTTGTGGATGAACAATAAATAAATATAGTTGAATAAATAAATTTATAAAAAATTTATTTAAGTAATTAAAAAAATATATATATATATATATATATATATTATTTATAATATTAATTCCCTATAATTTATAAAATAAACATGATTCATTTATAATTATTAAAGACAAAAAAAATAAATATTTGAATTTTTCAAAACAAAAATTATAAGAATCAAAACACAATATCTTACAAGAAATAAAAGAAGTGATTTATTTTTATAAGGATAAAAGAAATAAATTTAAATCAAAAGACGCTAGTTTTATATATAAAAAAATATATTTAAGTTAATAAGTATTATTATGAAAATGTAAAATCCTTGTAAATATTTATTATTTATTATTTATTATTAGTATTATAATTTGTTTATAAATATAATAACATAATACAGCATTATATATTGTAATAAAAAATTATTTCATATGATTTGTCAACAGTAATTCTTCTTTATATTAAAATAAATAAGTAATAATAAATATTTTATTAAATGTGTCCAAGTCATCCATTATATCGATAAATCATCATTATATACGATACCTATGCATTGATAAAATGTACAGGCAAATTATTTTTCTCTTAGTTTATGTTCAATTCCAAAATCTGTCTTATGTTGTTCCTTTCAAAATTTTAAAGTTTTACAGTATAACACATTGGAAGTTGTAAAGTTGTTACAATAAATACTACTAATGTATCTAGTTTAATTATATTTTTACATTTTTAATTTAAGATTTTGAAATAAAATTATTTTACTGCAGTAGTAAAATAACTTTTTATTGAGGGAATAAATTCTTGCTGAAATGCTTGGTATTAATTGTTAGTAGGACTTGACTTTTACTCTAAATATAATATCAGATAAGCATGCAGGAATAAATAAAAGTAATATTCGAAAAGAATGAAAAAGAATAATTTTTTAGAAAATGAAATAAAAATTTAAAATTAAATTTAAATTGTATTATTTTTTTATAACTATAGAAATATGAAGACACAAATACAAAAATGTATCTCCAATAATAAAATTAACATCTGGTAGAAACTACTAACCAACCTCAAACTCTCTTAAGTTTTAAGCCCGCGTTCCCCCCCCCCCCCCAAAGCCCACGGGCCTGGTGCTTAAGTCCCCCTCTTTCCTTCAATCCTGCAAAAAAAAGGAGAACTCACAAACACTGGATTATTACGCTTTAGTTTATCCTACGTAACTAAGTCAGTTAATTTATGGAAAATTGAATTCATTCAATTTATGTTATATTAAAAAAAATGATAACACGACCTAGAATAATGCCAAATGTAGTTAAATAAGATCAAATTTAAACGTCTATGTAAAAATTTATTTTTCTAGGTTAAAGTTCGAAGAGTTTTAAAATGTTAAATTCCAACATTTACAGTTTACATTTCTGAAATTTAAATAAAATATTTGTTTTCTAAACAATTATGAATTTCATAAAACCAAAGTCAGGGCTTCTTGTTTTGGGCCCCTCGATTTGACATTGGGCTTATTTCCCAACTTCAATGGGAGCTGGATCGTGTTTTGGAATTTGAAGTTTGAAGCAAGTATTCATATACGATGTTTAAAAAAAAATAAAGATGAGAATAAAAAATAAGCATTTAATTTTAATTGATCTTTTTTCTTATAATTAATATATTAAATAATAATATTTACAATAATATATTTTTATCAGTATAATTAAATCTAAAAATAAAATCAAATTATTATTATTTTTAATTTTTAAAAAACACACATATATATATATATTATTTTTTTTTAATTAAGTCAAAATGAATCTTTTGCTGTTGACTTAATATAAAATTAGAATAGAAAAAATTATTTTAAAATATAAATAATATTAGACTATTAATTTATTTTACTATATTTTTAAAGTCACATAAGAATCAAGAGGATGGAAAACATAAATAACCTATGATTTTTTTTTTACAATGTTCGGAAAAGTGCCACTTATTTTTTAATGATTTTTTTATATATATAAATAGGTAATACATGAATCTCCATACTCATATATTATATGAGTATTCATTAAATTTATAATTATTTTAAAAGCCATTTATAATTGTAATATTTACCCCCATAATTAATTTTTAAGATTCAAGTCGATTTTTAAAAGTAATTACTATTTTTATAAATAAAAGATTAATAAAAAAGAATATATAAAAAAATGAATTATAAAAATACGTGTAACTATACATTTCAACCTGTTTTATTAATTTTAAAAGATTTGACATTCGGTTGTTTAGTTCAAATGGCATAGGAGTAGAGAGCATTCACGACAAGATAAAATTAAATAGCACAACGTAAGTTTTCATAGGAAATGTTGCAAGAAAACTTAATTTAAGAAGAATGAAATCCGTGGAACTTGAACAATCCAAATCTCGTAGTGGCCAACATCTTAATCAAAAAGGAATTGTCGAATAAGTGATATTTTCACGGCACTTGCAAACCAGGCCAAAAGTTCACAGATATTTAACGATTTTTAAGACTTATTTTGGTAGGCGTTGAAACGGAGAGAAAAGGAATTGACGGTGGATTTCGTGTTCTTTGACGGCTAAAAGCAAGAAACGGGTGTCACTTTCGCGGGCAACGATATCTGCGGATTAGAGTGCGAACCCTGAAATCCCAAGTCTGAAACCCCAAACAAACAAACCCTCAATTCTGAATCGAGTCCAACCAAACTCTCAACAAATGGACTCGGTTCTCTTGCACTTCCATCTCCACACTCTTCCTCCGCTTTCCTCCGCCACTCACCGCCCTCTCTTCCAGCCTCTCGCCACCGCCTCTTTCTACCGCTCTTCCCCTCTCCTGAGGCTCCGTCCAGCGCCGCTTCTCGCCGCCAACACCCTCACCGCTAATTCCGTCTCGGTATCTTGCATGTCCTTATTTTATTACCGGATTTCTTTTACCAGCTGCGGCACCGTTAGGATTTGAAATATATTGATATTTTGGATTATAGTTGATAAATTAAATCCAGTTTCATTATGCTCACTTGCTTTAGTTGCGTGGAATTTGGTTAAAACACTCTGAGTTTCATTTCATTAAGCTTTTAATTATGTGCATGTTTTTATGTTATAGCTTGTGGTATAGTATAGGGTTAGAGCACGTGTAGCTATTGTTAAATCTTGAAGAGGTGCCTCGTTTGCTGGTACGGCGATGTCAGTATTTATAGTCTAGTTTCGTGCTTTAACGTGATAGAGTGAGAAAGAGTTAGAGAATAAGTCTATTTATATCTGCCTCCTTCAAATAGAGGAACCCGTTCTGCACAGGGATGGGGAAATCATGAACTACTTCATTTTTGTTCGTTTTGGCCTGAGACGTTCTCAGTGATTCACTATTTATGAAGTACCAATTTATCATAAATATATAAATGTAGAGACCACTTTTGACATGGCATGTGTTTCTTTTATCCATTATATGCAGCCAAGAAGTGGACAGTACACTGTTGGTGACTTTATGACTAGGAAAGAGGATTTACATGTGGTGAAACCCACAACATCTGTGGACGAAGGTATATTTCATACTTGTTTCTTGTTTTATTTCATGGCAGAAGTGTTTTCGATTTTTTTTCTTTTCCCTTTGTTGTGAAAGGAAGCGGGACTTTATATTTTAATTTCTAAGGTGTTATTTTGCAACAGCTTTGGATATTCTTGTTGAAAAAAGGATAACTGGTTTTCCTGTGATAGATGATAACTGGAAACTGGTGAGTTTTTAGTAGCCAATTTCGTTTTTCTTCTTTTAATTGGTTTATCTGTTTAATAAGTCTCAACCATATTTATTAATAAAATCTCTTGTAGTTTCCCATCTTCGTTTTTTTTTTCAAAAACGCACTGTTTGTCTGACTGACACAATAAGAGAAATATGGTTATGATTTACACATACAACCTTGACACATCTGTATAAGGTTTCTATGTTGAGATCAAGTGGTTACAGTTTCTACTCAAAATATGACCTGTCCACACATAAGGATTAGGTTGCAGAAGTTAGATGTGGGAGCCTACTCCATTGAACTGCCTTGAGATCTACTTTGTTCTTTTTCTCGTTCTGAAACCATTGCTCTCTAAACTATCCCATTGTAGTAAAAAACTTACCTAATTATATATGCCTTTGCAGTTTTAACAAAGGGAATCTCCAAGACTACTTTTGATTTTAGAATGAAAATATCATTTTAAAAATTTGCTAATGGAAAATAGATAAAAATTTGTTACAGGCAGTGTATCTGGCTGAAATCCAGTTGATGTTGATTCAATCAATTAATAATGAATCAGAAGATTCTCCATGATTTTTTTTCCCCATTGAATACTCTATTTATTTTAAACTAAATCAATTCAGCAAGCCTAGTTCAATGACAGTTATCCTTCTAACAATTGAATCTGATAGCTACAACCTTATAGAATGTATTAGGAATTTCCATTCTTCATTTATATAATGAAATTTGCATTTAAGATTAACTCGGCAGAACATTGCGGGGTTAATTTTCATTGAAATTATTTCTGAGGTTTCTTTTATCCCTGCAGGTTGGTGTTGTTTCAGATTATGACTTGTTAGCACTGGACTCTATATCAGGTAATTTTTTTTCTTTTTTTCTAAAAAAGGGAAACATCTTCCCTTTTAGTGAGATTTTCACCCTATTCAAAACTTAACAGCACTATCATGTCACAGGGTAACATAAAAATGTTTTTTAAGCTTGTTTTACCTGCTTCTATCCCCAAATCCTATTGCTCAAATTAATTTTACGTTGATTTCAGGTCATGGGCTAAAGGATAACAGCATGTTTCCAGAAGTTGACAGCACTTGGAAAGTATGTTTGCACTTCTTTCTCTTGTAGTTAATTTATCTTTACCATCATATTCAAATATTGTCTTCATACTGTTAATACTTAAAATTACTAAACAAGTTCAGTTTACTGAGCTGATATTTTGGTAGTCGTCATTAGAAAGCTAGGGGGCCTGGACTGGAAAATCCATATATTACTACCATCATACCATACAATTTCTTAATAGAAAATTTTACATTGTCTACTCAATCATGGTAACTCCCTCCCCCCGTCTAATATATACTAAATAAATTAATGATCAAGTGTTTATATGCTTCTTTGTTTTTTAAATGCGTTTAACTTAAATTAGACTTAAAATTTAAACAACCTTTTTAAGTAAGTTATTAGTGTGTTTTAAGGGAAAAAAAATGTCTGTGTGATTGTTCATGGAAGGTTCGAAGAGATGCTAAAATGGCCACTTTGACAGTGGTATGTAGTAACTACTGGGAAATAATTACTAATCTTAATTATACTGGAGAACTAGGCTAGCCAGAAAAGACTGGTGGTAGTGTAAATTAATAAGGAAGCTGTACCATGGAGAAAGTTGTCGTTGAAGATAAAAACCTCGGGGCTTACTTTTTGGCTAAATTAATATTAATATACATAAATATTATGTTGCTTAATACAGATTTTTATGGTAAATTTTCTCTGTCTATGATTTTCATTAGCTGAATGCTAAACATGTTCGACATAATTGATTTTTCTTGCCATAAAATTTATAGTATCTCCCCCCATTAAGCCCGAGTTACTTGCTATGAATCACAAATGATTTTGAATTGTACTAAACATACATGAAGCAGTGCGATTCTCTTTCATCATTCTTTTTTTTTTAATTCTTTCACCAATTTTCATCAACAAAATTGAAAAGTCAGATAAACGGATATTATTAAATTAAAAAGAATAGAAAAAGCACTATGAATGTTCGTTGCTTTATTTTCATTCTTCAGTGGTCTTTCCACAGACACTTACTCTATGCTCCTTACTCACACAATCTCTTGCTTACTTTATGTGCGCCTGGTTCAGTTTTTCGTTTTGAATTATGCTTTAACATACGCTTTTGTTTAGTTAAACTCGGTTGAATTGTTTAATCAGTTCCTAATTAGAAGTTAGAAATATTTTTTCAGTTCCTATGCTTCAAGCTATTTTTCATCGTGGCTTTGAACTTACTATTCAGTATGATTCGTAATTCATTATTAAAAGTTAGCTTCAATTCATAATTTGATAACACTGGCTTCAAAATTTATAATATCTCGCCTTCTTAAGCATGTGCTACCTGTTTAGATCTGGTACAAATTATCCAGAGAAGTGTACTTCTTTTTAGCATGTCTCTTCACCCTTCTTTTCCCTCAACCTACTCTTCACCAAATATTTGATTGGTGATCTAAGAAGAAGGGATGTTGTTGTTCATGTGAAACATGCCATACAGATATGTTCATTACGTATAAATCCTCTCCCTTTTTTCATGTTTCATTGATGGTAATCATTGCATTTGAAGTAGATGGTTTGGATTGCCGTGTTGCATTTCAATTTCTTCTAGTTAAATCAACGATAATCTAGTTTAATAGATCTTGTATTTTACTGATATTATGAGGTATCGCAGACTTTTAATGAGCTGCAAAAATTGCTCAGTAAGACCAACGGAAAGTTGATTGGTGAATTGATGACCACTGCCCCTATGGTCGTTCGTGAGACCACCAATCTCGAGGATGCTGCGAGGTTCTTCCTTTTTCCCTTTTCACCCTTGAAAACAACCCATTTGCTTTTCCCTCTTCAACTTTGTTTTAAGTATATTTTGAGCGGCCTATTAAAAGGATGACCTTTTTTAACTGTCTTTAGGTTGTTGCTAGAAACCAAATTTAGACGCCTTCCAGTTGTAGATGCTGAGGGGAGACTTGTAAGATAGTCCTCCAATCTTGTTCTATTTATGTTTGTTTTCTCTTTTGATGTTTCTAAATGATGGTTATTAATATCTGAAGGTCGGGATTATCACAAGAGGAAATGTTGTAAGAGCCGCACTGCAAGTGAAACGAGCTAACCAAAAGAAAGCATGATAGGATCTAGAAGGTCATTCAATAATTTGTTACTGGATTTAATGCAGTAGTTCGATTGAAACGTTCACATAAGCTTGCTTAAATTAGAAGTAAAATTTTGGCTCAGGCATGTATATCTCATTGTTTTTATATTCACACGAATGTTTGTCATTGGCAATATTTCGAAAGCGCGATTATTATTCTTGATGATCTCATTGTAATTTATATGGATATGGACCACCTTGGTGATAATGATGTTGAAAATGTTGTAAATTAGCATATTTTCCAGCATTAATCATATGTCAAAGACACAAATTTCAACCAGCATTAATCTACCGCCATACTTACCACATCGTTTTAAATCGGTTAGTTGTTGAGCTGAAGCGATGACTGGTCTTGGTCCGTTTCTGTAATAAAACTCATGACTAGATGTTGAGCAGAATGGTTGACCGTAACAGGTTGGGAACTGTCTTTTGTTTCTCCATTTTATAAGATGAGAAATTATTTATTCCTTTTATGATGAGAAAAATTGGCGATGACTTAGCAGGCTAATATTGATGTTTTGGTCAATTTGGCCACATTCCTGTACCCCACTACTCTCCAGGTTATTTGGTGCACTTGGGTTTAGAAAAAAACAAACTCCTACAGGAGCGAGCTCGAGGATGTTGTCTTCTTCGTTCGTCCAATTCTACATTTGTCTTCTACCTTAATGTAATTTTTCATCTCCTTTGGTGATTCGATCCCTGATGAAGCCTATATCTTTAATACGAGTGATTAGCTTTATCATAAATTAATTAAATGATCACTGACGTCAAACACGATGTAATCCACAGGACCACAGCTTAAAAACCTTAAATAATGGTAACCCCTCTAATTCTCCGCTAATCATGGACTCATCTTCAGCTACAACTTAAAAGGTCCCATAGATCCTAGCGAATCAAATATGGGGTACAGCTCAGACTCAAACCAGAAATCCTCCACAAAGATATTTGTTAATCAATAGAGGAGCTGTAATTTTGCTTTCACATGGAGACATGTCTTTCTCTCATTTTCTTTTCATTTTCTTCTTTGTTTCTCGTTTATATATATATTTTATCGATACAATCTTGTCCGAGATTTGACTAGAATTAGGAGAAAAAAATAAAAAATCTGAGACGACAAAACCGATTAACCGACCCCATCATCCATCGTTGTCAAAACAGAGCAGTGGCCACAACGTTTTCCATCGCCAGTGGCCCGTTCCATTTCTCCTTTCACAACTCAATAATCAGGAAACAGTGTAGAACCAGAAAAATACCTAACTCAATCTTATCACTTTTTAGTAGTTATTATTACTTTAGTGGTTAGCATGGCTCACTCTCTCCTTTTGTACCCAACTGCTGGGCACCGCAGGCCATCCCTGTCCCCCCTCTCTCCACCTATTTCACTTCCACTCCATCATTCTATTCTTTTTTTCTAACACATCCCACTTCACTTATAGTAACCCACCTCCACTTTCATTCCAATTTTTCTAATTTCCACTGAATTCCTTCCCACACCCACCAAAAACAAAGTCCTTTCTTTTTCAACAGAACAAAAAAAAAACATATTAACAGAACCCCGAAAGAGATTAAGCTGAGAAATTTAAATGTAAAACAGAAACGCACAAGAAACAGGAAACCAAGAAGAAAAAGAGGCTACTGAACTAGTTAATTTACATTTAACATGTTTTTACAACGCCAAAATTTCCTTTGTAAAATCTAAAAGTTGAAAAGAAAAAAAACTACCCAAGAGAAAGTAGAAGGAAAAAGATACAGTACAGTAATCCACACCACCAAAGGCGTCATCAACAACATCACTTTGCCTCAGCCGTCGCAAACCCTCCCTGGCGCACTTTAGCAACCACCACCGAACCCGAAAACACGCACCTTTTTTTTTCCTTCAATTCACGTCCCACTCGCAGTCCTCACTCTCGGGTTCGGGCATCTTGTTTAGGTCGACCGCGAAGTCGCCGGACCCGCCTCTGTCGCCGCGCAATAGAAGCTCCGGCGGCGGCGGTGGTACGTCGTGGTGGTGGTGGTGGAGGGTTGCCTGGAGAGCATCAACTCTGGCACCGACCTCAGTCGCCTTCTTCCTAATAGAGGCGGCTGACATGTCGCAACCGGCGACAAGGGCGGCGCCCTCTCCGACAAGAAGGTCGGGAAAGTTGAGACGCGCGGAGGGTCCCCGAAGGTAGAAAACGGCGGTGTCGTAGGCTCGTGCGGCGGCGACGGGGGTGGAATAGGAACCGAGCCAAATCCTTGAACGCTTATTGGGTTCCCTAATTTCCGCGACCCACTTGCCCCACTTCCTCATCCTTATTCCTTTGTATCTTCTCTCTCCCTCCACCACGACGCCGCTTCGCTTCCTGGTGGCTTCTCTCTCTCCTCCTTCTCTTCTTCCTTCACCCTCCATCTCTCCCTTCTCTTCTTGGTTTGGTGTGCTTCAAATGGAGATCAGAGAGAGAGAGAGGGAATCTGGTCCATGACGAATGAAAAATCTAAGGAGTATACGAGACGAAAGGGTTATAAGGGACACAGCTTCAAGCACTAAGCTTGTCATCTGGGTAAGCCTCCACGTTGCTACATGGTTGGTTGGTTCCTTTGAACCCTCCTTTTTTCTTTTTTCTTTTTTCTTTTTTATTTTAATGCCACCCAAATCAATTACCAACCATAATAACAATATTATTATCATTAATTACTCTCTTTCCTTTTCTCTGTTTCCATTTATCTTATTAATTCACCGACAAAATCACTCACTCGACCCCTCCTTCCTCTTTGACCCCTCTCAAAATTAAAATTATAAAAATTGCATCTTTCGTATATCCATTAACTAATCCCTTTCTTTCCTTTTCTTCATTTATTCTAAATTCTTATTATAAATAATCTACTCCCTTTTAAACGTCCTTTCTCTTCATCAACTATGTCTTTTATTCAATATTTAGGCTAAAATATGTATATTATTAATACATATTAGTTAATACCATCAATAAATATTTTTATTAAAGTTTGGTGGATGGATAAAAGATATTATTTTAATAAAAAAATAAAAATTGTTATAAAAAAATGACATTCTATACATAACGATTTATAATAAAATAATAGTGTAATTATTTGTAGATATATGATTTATTATTATAAATCTTGAAAACAAAATTATGTAAACATATAATCATTCAATCGAATGTCTACGCTTATCCGTATGTATATATATTATATGGAATGAAAAGCGGTGAAAAGGTTTCTTTTTGGGTGGAGGATAAGCCGCAAAAAGGTTTGAATACGCCAGTCATGTTTTTTAAGATATTTAAAGCTAATACTAGTATTTATTTATCTAAAATCTGTTTATTAACTTTTTTTAAGAGAATAATATAAACCCTAATATTTGTATAATAATAAGGAGAGTTACTTATAAAAATTACTAACAAATAAAATAATATTTTATTATAAATTCTACACATATAAATTACTTACATAAATAATTTAAATATGCGATCTATAATAAAAAATATATTTTGTTTTCAAACTTATTAATAATTTTATTTAAAAAGGTTCTAAGATGAAATGTGTGTTAAGTGAACGTATTTAAATTTACGGTCCAATGAAATTGGATTATAGTATAATTATATTTTATTTAGTTAAAGATATTGTCAATAATTAAAAATGAATCAACATTTAAATTATTATTATTATTACATGATTTTTCATACATATAACATATTTTCCTTCTTCTCATTGTATAAAAGTTTATTAAAAGAAATTGAACTTTTTTTCGAAAAACCAAAAAAGTGTTGTTGGGGAAGACATGATTCTATTCGACCATACCTAGGTGTGTGTTAGTGGTACAATAATAGCCTGTCTTCCCATAAGCGGTGGTGAACTTCAACCCACATTTAAAGCAATCAAACATAATCATGGTATTTGGTGTTTCCAAAAGTTAACCACAAACTTACTTCAATTAATGTCAATATTTTTTTCTCCTCAATTATTTTGTATATAATATGGTACTTCGTTCCTAACTTAATTTTATTTTGTAAATACATGATGCAAGATACCCAAAATTCAACTTGATAACAAGTTATTATAGTATACTCAAAATTAAAATTAGTATTATACTTATTACAAAATAATTTTTGAAGACATAAATGATTGAATTAAAAAAAATTGTCATAATTATTTAACACGTCTCTGGAATTAAATTTAATATAGCGTTGATGGTCTCAGGTGTATGATGGGGATAATGGTTGGTTGGTGTTGTGTGCAGGTTAATGAAATGAGGGAATTTCAAAGAGTATTTAAAAAGAAAAAAGAAAATGATTATTTATTTGGAATTATTATAATATTTTGTTTCATTTTCATTATTATCCGATATTTTTATATTTTAATTAATAATTCTGAGTGGGCAGAAAGGTAGGTCGGTGGTCGGTGGATAGATACCGTTAGCAATTGACTTTCCCTCCACGCAATTACGATTGAGTCAATTTCCCATTTTAACCTTCTCAAACCCTGTTTTCATGCGCACACGCAGGGGTATTTTCGGGATACTATTATTTCGATGGCCCACGATGTTAAGTTGGTGCCCTGCTAATTATATTAATGGGCGGCTTAATTGTCTATTAATAATTTGTTTTCTATACTTTAATTGTTAATAAAAATCTTATAATCTTTTTTTCTTTTTTATAATAGTTAATTTTGTTTGAGTATAATGTTAGCTACAAAAATATATTTAAAGCTACGATTGTATTAGAATAATTTTATATAAATTAAGTCATATGTTTAGTTATTTTTTATTAAATTTATTTAAGTATCGTTTGATTAATTTTAGAAAAAAAAAATTTGTCAACGTTTTTCCTCGATAGGATTTGTAATGGCTCTCCATTATTCCAGGATTAATTTTGTAATGTATAATTGATATATAATTTCTGTATATTGTTATGGTTATGTTATTATCAAAATTCTTCATTCAATGATTTATACCATTATACAGAAATATTGTTTTTTTGTTATAATGAATTTTGGTGTTAGTTTATTTTTCGTTAAATTAAAATAATTGCTGTTCAACTTAAAAATAATCACTACAAACATTTATAAGTCAACATAGAATTTTCGTATTGCGTGAATATAATAATAAATTTAATTAGTAAAAAAATAAGAATTTACGTGAGTTAAACAATAATTTACCAGGAAAATGGAATCGAATAAGAAGTACTACTTTGTAACAAAAATAATTATAATATTATGAATGTTTACAATAATAATAATATTAATAATTATAACATTTAAATGTCAATATTTATTAAAATCTGCTATCACTTTTATTATTATTATTATTATTATTATTATTATTATTATTATTATTATAATATTAATCATAAAATTATTCTTCATTCTAAAATTCTATTATAATTTTATTTTTTAAATACATCTTAATGAGTTATATATATATATATATATATATATATATATATATATATATACACATATATATATATATACACACACATATATATATATATATATATATATATATATATATCAAAACAAATAATAATTACTATTTTTAAAATTAGATAAAATCCGCCAATCAGTTTAATACAATTATTCTAGTATGTTTTTAAATAATATTATTTTAATTAAATTAAAAAAAATTAAGTTTTTTATGGGATCAATTTTACTAACAAAATTAATAACAAAATTTTTAATTTTTAATATTATTTTTTATCTTATATCACTTTAAATCTTAAATAATAATTATTTTATTATATTTTTATCTTATTTAAATTATTATTAATTTTTTACTCTTTAATACATTTTTTATTCACAACGTTTTTTATAACTTATGTTATCGGACCCTCATAACAACTAGAGGCTGAAGGAGACATGAAAATTGAAGTGTAAATTTTTTTAAATAACACATTTAAAATATTTATATATATAATTTTATAAAAAAATAAAAATGTTTGGAGTGATCATAACATCTCCATACCATAATACGGTAGTTTCACTTCAGATAATACCTTTTATTATTATATTATTATTATTACTCATAGTTTTATCATATATTTATTATATTATAATGTATTATTTTATTAAATTTGTAAATCCTAATCTCATACGTGAACGGACATGACCTGTTTTAAAAACATTGTGAATAAGAATATGAAGCAAGAAATAATGTAAATGATGGGAGGTCTTAAGTTTTTGACATCTCTCTTGTTTTGTGGGATGTGTAAGTTGGGGATGTTGGTTATAACGCTTTTAAGCAATGTTTGTGTACATAACACGACATTATTGAGAAATGGAAACTTTAGTAAGCATGATAGTATCAATGATTGAATAGGAAATAGAGAAGGATACAAAGAATTAAGAGTTTACGTTTGTTTCTTCCGAGGCAGCATCTACGCTGGATTACCTATTCAATCGTAAATGTATCATCAAGTTCTTAACCCTTAAATATGATTATAAATTAACACTTCACATTCATAAAGGGCTCACGGGGAAAAAAATTAATGGAGTTGATGTTACTGTGTCAAATTTTATAAAATAATTTTTATTTAGATAGTTTTAAAATTCTATAATTAGAAGATTAAATATTTTACTTTTATAAAATTTCCATTTCATTATAATACATATCTTCTAAATTCTTTCTAAATTTTGAGTGTAACAAATTTGATAGAATTTAAGTGTGACGGTGGTAGAAACAACTAAAGATACAAATATTATATTTCATATCAAAATTTGGAATCCATTAGTTATTCTTGGTATTATAAGTTTTTTTATTATTTATAATTTAAGAAAAAAACAGTTACTTTTTATTATATACAAATTTTATTTAAAAAATTATTTATTTAAATTAAAATATACTTAATTGAAAATATATACAACCAGTTATTTTGGTTATATGATATCATTCAGGTGTTAGGTGTTAGTTTGAGGATATAAACTTGAATTACATATATTTACTTAAGATGAGAAATGTGATGAGATAATTATTAAAATACTAATTTACCTAGATTAAAAATATATATATGGTAATATTGAAGGTAAATAGAAATGTATCTTTATAATATGTTTTTTTAATATATATTTGTGGTATGAATAAGTTGAGTTATTTGATATTGGGATTGAGAAACATTTAATATAGATAAAAGGTTCTTTGTTTAAGTTAGGTGTAGATGCTTTACTAACATGTTAAATAATAGAATAAGTGAGTTAAACGGTAGGGTTTAATAAGTAACTTTATGTTTAAGTGAAACGTTACTGGATATAGTTAACGTTAGGATGATAATATATATATATATATATATATATATATATATATATATATATATATATATATATATATGATGATTGATTTGTTTTTATTTTGAATCTCATAGGAAAAAATTGAGTTGATTAGGGACGGGATGGGTTTGAGTTTTTTTTAAATTAAGGGTCGGAGATGAGTAATGTAATCTCGTCTCTAGTTCTATTTTGATTTTATATTTAAATTTAAATTTTAAAATATTATTATTTTAAAATTATTTTCTTTTCTTTTTCTATTATATACAATGTCATTTTTTATATTATACCATTTTTACTTTCTTTTACTTTTTTTTTAATTTTTGTTTTTTTTAATCTCTTATATCAATTAGTTCGTTATATTATTATTTTTCTCCTACCTTTTCAATTATTCATATTTCCTTAATTTCTCTTATCATTTTTTTTTCAATTTTTTTAACTAATTTGATGAACACAGTTAATTTTTTTTCTTCTTTATTTTTTTCCTAAATATTTTACATAAATTTTAATTGTAACTAATATTATTTTATTTATAATTTATCTTTATTAGATTATATTATGTGATATTTTTTTATCTTATTATTATATTAAATTTTATCTTAAAAAAGTAATTACATTTTAAATAATTAAAAATAATTGATAATTTAAACTTTTATTATATTAAACTATTTAAATAATAATTAATTTATTAAATATTTTCTTATAAGCTATATATTTCATATTTTTAAATGATAACTTAAAAAAATTAATCAAATATTTAAATACAATATAATAATAATAATAATAACATAACGTTATAAATATTTTATATCTTTATAAAAAAATGATAAAATACTTTTTTTACATATATATTTTAATATAAATATAATAAATTTAAAAATATATTTAATTAATAATAATTACAAATTATAAATTTATTTATGTATAAAAATATTTAAATTAATTTATTATGAATATAATTATTTTTTAGAAATAATGTAGATCGGGAACGGGGTGAGGACAGGATCGGGGCGAAGAAACTCGAAACCAAATGAGAATAGAGACTTAATTTTTAACCCTCGTGGAGATCGAGGGCGGAGACAGTTTAAAAAGTGGAGGTGGAGTCAATGAGACAAAATTTATCCATGCCTAGGGATGACAAAACGGACTAGTCTCATTATAATCATGACGGGTTATAGGTCTCGGTCCACCCCACCAAAGGGTGAGTTGAGGTCTGGTTCGTCATATTTCTTATTTTATTTTATTATTTTTAAATCAAATATTTCAATAAAATAGAGTAAAAAAGTATGAGATATATATGATTTTTATCTTATGAATAATGATGAATAAGAAGGAGATGATAAGTAAGAGAAGACGAGAGAGAAGTTTTTGATTGAGAAAGGAAAGTGTTTCTCATAATGTGAGTTTAAGTAATTATAAAACTTTTTGAATTCTCTTAGTAAGTATCAAGATAGTGAGACTTTATGAATTCTCTTTATGAGACATTGAGACTTTTAGAATTGTCTTTTCATAAACTTTTATATTATATATTGTCTTTCTGACTTTTTGTATTGTATCACATTAAAAAAAAGTTATTAGTAAAGCGGGTCGTGGGCTGGTCCGCCCCGCCCCCATGGGTTGGCTCGGTGAGTTAACGAACTTGATGGGGGTGAGCCAAAATGCGAGATGACTAACGCTCGATATTGTGACCGAACGCTACTTATCATCCTATCATCAAATAAAAATTAGAAAGTTAATCAACATATAAGGAGAAAATATTTATAACTTAATACTTCACAGTTTTTAATTTAAAATATTAGTCAATTACTTAACGTGATTTGGACAAAATATTTATAACTTAATACTTCACAGTTTTAAATTTAAAATATTGTCAATTACTTACGTGATTTGGACCCATATTTTTCGTCGAAAAACCTAATAATAATATAATAAAAAAATTGATAAAGAATATAATAAATATATTTTACTCAAATTAAGTGATATCTTCACTCAAATAAAGTGAAGTCACTTAAGCAAGAAATAGCCAAAATCCTTTGAGTTAAACATGAGAAGTATTTCACTCAAAAGGTAAATTATTGCTTAAAAAAATTTCCTTTATTGCATTAATGGAATATATATAGTAGGTTAGAAACTCAATGAATGTCTGTTGTGGGATTAAGTTGAGTTAGAGGTTATTACCTATAATTGACTTAAAAAATTATATGTTGAGGTTAGTTAAGTTACAGCGAAGAAATAAGTTAACTTACTGGATAGATCAAAACTGAAAATAATTATTAGAAAGATATTATGGTGTACGATAATAATATTGATATTTTAAAAGATGCTTAATTATAATATAGTCAAAGTAACATCGGTAAAATATATGTAAAGAATATAATTATAATTTATATGATATAAATTATTATATAATTTATTATCTAAATATTTTGACTTATTATGTATTTCTAATTTATATGATTTTTTTATTATTAACATATACATAAATTATATTTTATAATTCGATTTATGAATAATATTTTGTATTATATAAAAAATTATAAAAATGTATGATATGTATTTTATTTTGTTTCATCAATATAAATCTATTTTTTAATGTAATATATTCTGATAATTATTCTAGTAGACTCAGATTAAATAAAAATAATAATTGATTAGATTTTTTTAATAATCAAAGACGATTATAATCACTAATGTTCCCTCAGAAATGAAAATTTATAAAAATCAAATTGAATTTCATTTTCTTTTGACAAAATTCTGAACTATAATTTTTACATTATAAAAAGATTAATATATATATATATATATATATATATATATTGATTTTTATAAAATGGGAAATTATCTGGATTTACTATATTTATGTTATTTTTATTTTAATAATCAATCAAAACTCAAGTAACTATATTTACAGGTTATTAATTTGAATGAAATTGTACTTGCATTTCTTATATAAGTTCAAGTCCTTAACATTGAACTTTATAAATGAAGAAACAGAATTTACCAAAACTGTCTAACAAATTTATCTAAGTATCATAGAATATAATGGATTTTTCACACTATAAAATTGTAAAAAAAAGACTAATTGTTAAAATTTATATTACATTATAAACTACTTCATTGATTGTCGAAAACAAAAATGTTTAAATACAACTAAAATAAATTTAAAAATACAATGACTTGTTTAAATCGAAGTGTCAAATATACAATATTTTAATACCTTTAATAGGATAAGCCCTATTCTTATTTTAAAAGAATTATTTGTTAGAATTGGTATTTTAAAAATTTAAAGATTTAAATATTTTTTTATAATTTCATTTCGGTCAAACTTTGTTTTATCTCTCATATCTAGATATTTAGTTTATGATTTGATAATAACATACATTTAGTTTATAAATAATAATTAATTATAATTACAAATATTTTATTATCTGGTATATTATTAAAAAATTAAATTAATATAATTTAGGAGATAAGATAATTTGTTGTTAACATTTTTATATTAAATAATTTTTATAATTTTTAAATTTAAAAATTTAAATATAAATTTAGTGAAATTTGAAAAATCAAGAAGTAAAAGTTGGAGTTCTAATCAATCTAGTTTATCCATCAAGATTATTATTTTTAAGTAAAAGGTTGATAGTGAAATAAGAAATCAATTTATTAGTATTATGATATATACGATGATAGATAAATTTTATAGAAAAATAGATAGTAGTTGAAATAGTTATTTATGATACTATTTAGTTTGTAAATCAAATATAGACCATATAAATGAGATTAACCACTTCAATGTGATTATTTCTTTTGGTAAAAGGTACAATTACTATAAATATTTTGTATTTTTTATGCATTTGGTATCAATGTTTTTTTTTCAAAGTATATATATTAAATCGATGAATATTAGTATGTCATTATGGTAGTATTATTAAGATTAATGATCATTTATGAGATATTGTTCATTTTTTAATTTTAATTTATAGTAATTTTATTCTTAACAATATTATTATTAATTATAAATCTAGAGTGATACATTCTCATTCTTGAAGTAGAAGATAGATTTCAAATGAGATATGGTACATGGTGACACTAATTCGTGACCACCTATTTGCATTTGAAAACGAAAACTTAAAAGAATTAAAAAAAAAAAAAAAAGGGCAAACGAAAGTGGCACTTAAAATTGGAATAGCTCTATTGTGTTTGTGTGCATAAAGATTAAAGCAATAAACTTGCTATAACAAGTAATCTTGGACTTCTTGTGGCAATTGGACCAAACAACCTCTAAAGTATTTTAGTATTTAGTTCATGAATGTCAGTCCTGTTATAACACAACATGGACTACAACAGTGACACACCCAAAAGCATTTTTACCCACTTCCGTGAGGTACAACTAATTTTAAGCTCAACTAAATTATCTTAAATTGACATTAAAAATAAAATATTAATTTGATAAAACAAATATTTTTAAATTCAATTTAATTTTCAACTTTTATTGTTAAAATTTAAATGAATATAGTACTGCACCATTTTGGTTTATTAAACAATTTATTTTTTTAACACTAATAATACTAGTTTGTTTACCCGTATGATGGACGGTTGCCTTATATATATATATATTAAACTATATTTTATTCAGTTTTTAAAAGTTGTACCAAAATAAATAAACTTTGAAAATTATTATGAAAATAATTACAATTTATTAAATATGAGTAACTAATAAAAAAATATAGTGCGAGTTGATATTTTTGTTTATCATTAACAAAAATATTGATCATAATTTGTTTTCGTTAAAAGATAATTATCAATCATATTTTTTTAAAATATTAGTATTTAAAAATGAATGTTTTTATACAAATATGTTATGTTTAGTATCTTTAAGATTTATAATAAATTTATATGAATCATAATATGATTTTGAATTAATATAATGTTATCCAATATCAACATTTTAAATGTGAATATTTTATATATAATATTATATTATTATATTTATTGATTTTTTTAATAATATATATTTATATTTCATTTTAATGAATTTTTTTATAAGTTTTTTGTGATTACACTATTACTCTCCTATTATTGATATCTGTATAATAAATAAATAAAATCAAGACTATGTTAGTATTTTTTTTAAGACGTTTGAATATTGATATTTTTAAAATTAGAAGTGTAACGTGATACAATGTTAAAAATACGTTAATTTATGGGTTTTGGTAAAAAGTGATATTATAATGACTAGAAATTTTTAAGGTGAATTGATTAAAAACTAAAACTTAAATTAATATATGCATAAAAATTTATTTAACTTAAGATATGTGTGTGATGGACGTGGAAGAATTTTATATTTAACTCCAGAATGATAATTATATGTTAAGTGGGGGTAGGTTTAATTTCGATCAATTATAAATAAAAAATGAGAGGTTTTATTTTATTATCTTTGTTTAGATTTTTTCCTCTTTTATCTAACGGCAAGAGAATTTTTAAATTTTTTTTCTTTTTATAAATTTCCATTTTTCTAAATTTTATGAATTAATGTTTACATCATTATTTATATTGAGTAACTTTTTTCATGAAAAATATATGAAAAATCTATTTCATTATGGAATGGATAAAATAACAATTATACTCACTTATATAATATAATATTATTATATTTATAATTATTATAAGATTTTATCACACTTTTTATTAAAATAATTTTAATTAGAAAATCTTCAATTTCCATTTTCTCTCTTATTTCTCTCATGTATAACTAAAATTTCAATTTCCATTTTCTTTCATATTTTTCTTGCATGTATAACTAAGATTTAAGGGTTTCCTACTGAGTTTGAACTTGACTTCTAGGATTTAACTCTTTTAAGTGATTAAATAACTCCTGTAGTGTTTAGTTCATCATTTCCTTCAACACAATGAATCTTTATCATGGTCTTGTTAGTTTCAATTTTGATTAAACCCTAATTTTGAGTTGTTTTGAAATATATGACATTTGGGTACAATCCTTTGGTGGAGGGTAGTGATTTGTGAATTATAGAATGTGTTTGTACTTTGAAATTCAAACTTCTATGTGTGGTGAGGAATTGATATTTATTTGCAATGTTTGTATGTATTTTGATCCTTGATAGATTATCTTAAGTTGTAAGGATAAAACTATATAAGTTGATAATAATTGCTTGAGTAATTAATTATATTGGTTGAGTAGTGGTGATGGTTAGACTATTGAATTGAATTTCTGTCTTAAAGAGTGTGCTAAAAATTGAAATTCTTGCAAACTAAAATTTGTGATGCATAATAAATATCTTCTAATATTTTAACATTTTTTTTATTTACTTTTTGCTATAGAAAAGTTTGCAATACTACATTTTATCATTACTCTCTCTGTTAACCTTTAATGGTAAGATTATATAAAAAATATTTTTTATTTATTAGTTTCAAATTTTTAAAGTTTATAATAACATTAATTTTTTTTAATTACACCTTTATTCTTTTAGTTTACATAATATAATTACTATAAACAAAAAAATGTAATGATTATTTTATTTAAAAGAATATCATCATAATTTTTACATAAAAATTTAAAAATAAAAAAAATGTTTTCTATCCTTTAATTTTTCATCAAATTTAATTTTAGTTCTTATATTTTTGAATACTTTTTTTTTTCAATTTTAGATGATAAAAATTAATTTTAAATAAAAAAGAAATAAAATTTATATTTTAAAATTTATAAAACTGATTCAAATGTTCAAAACAAACTTAGAAAATGTAAAAAATAAAAATAAAAGCATATTATTTCCAATAAAAAAAATATCAGAATGAAACACATAAAATACGTGATAATAATACATTGTTGAAGATAAATTCATAAATAAGTAACGACACTGCATAGTATACAGTATTACGTAGGTAGTAGCTAGGTTTCAGTGAGTAGAGGCTAGAGGCGTGCTCTGACTTTTTCGATGATTCACAAGAAAAAAGAAAAAAAATGAATTATGCATGCACTTGGCGACACGACCGAACCCGGTAGTTGGAAGATATGGTGGAAGTGTCGGAAAATGTTGAAACTGATTTAATACGAAAGAAGATAATGAAGAAGATTTTAGAGTGTATCAGATTTTGCTTGATCGTAGGACACATATCCTATCGAAAGATGTTAATGTTCAAATGCTACTGTTAATGTGGTTGGTTTGGTTGTTTCATTGTAGAAGGAAAAGTCAAATGTTGGTGAATATTGCCTCAGCATAACTTTTACTTTTCCGGGCATGTACAATCAAAATACAGTTCGGGTTGACTTTTTTTTTTTTTTTTTTTTTATATTACCCTCGTTAGAGGAAGTAGTAGATTTCGTTGTATAATTTAATTTGTGTCAATATGTTATTTTAAAAAACTAATAGGCTTGATTAGCTATTTCTTTATCATAATATCTTAGTGGAAATCAATACATGTGAGCAGGATTTTTATGAGAGAAAAATTAAGAAGACCTAATTGAAGAGAAAAATTACAATTTTCATTATTGTATTTATATTTAAGATAAATGAAGAAAAACACGTATGGTTATGAAACAATGAAAAAAAAATCTTATATATGGTTATAAATTATAAACAGGATAATTATTTTTGTTGATTTATCTGCTTTTATCACTAGCATTAATATATATATATATATATATATATATATATTAAATGTTGTTGATTTAATTAATAATACTCTATTTGTAATTTTTCTTAAAAACTTTAAGAGCTATTTCGATTTTATTTTCTTAATTACTTTTAATTAAAATAATTGATGTATATTACACTTACGAGTGCCAACAAATTGAATGATACTTCAACACAAAGCAGAATGTGACGGTGTTGATTGATTTCATGGCGAACAGCATTTACAAAGCTCATTTTATTTCTATTCTACTTTTTCTTTTATTTTTCGGATACTAGCTTTGAACAGTAGTGATACAGATAAACTTTTCCAGTGAGAGTTTCCTATATGAACACAAAACTTCCCGTGTGACAAGGAAAAAGAAAGGGAACAAAAAAACTTACCAAAAACATTTATTACTACTTTTTTTATTAATAAGGTTTTTAGTTTATTTTAACATATTTTATCTAAAATTAATAAAATGTAAATAACATCATACAAAATAAAGTTTATTTTTTTAAATAGATATTAGATGTAACTAGTTTTATTTATGTAAGTGATGGATGAAGTTTTGTTCAAATGTTAACTTAAAAAATATGATATCAAATACTAGTTTTATTTATACAATTAGTTGGTAGAAATTACGAATTTTAAAATATTTTAGGTTGTATGATTTTGTTCGTTTGGTTTATTTCTGTAACATTCCAAAATATAGTATTATATATATAAAACTTAAATACATAAAATAATTTAAAATATAATTTGTTTTTACATTAAGAAATGTACGTATACATATCTTAAGTCATAATAAATAAAATTAATTATATATCTTATTTTATTTATAGTTCTAAACCTGTTTTTATTAAGGTGAACCACTTGAATCATTTATTTTTGTGTAAGTTAATAATTAAGAAAATGATATATAATTTAAATTATTCACAAATCACATTTACGATATTAGTTAATATATAATGTAATTTTATGAATTTATATATTATATCGTACTTGTACAAATTTATTATTATATTATTTAGTCATTTTATCATTTTTATAAAAGTGAATTGGACTCAAAAAGATATGCATCTTTATAAATTTTTTAAATTACTGAACGTTGAAGTACTTATAATAGTATATATATTATTGTGTGATTAAGATATATTCTCATAATTTATTTGATAAGACTATAATATATCGATGTTGTTAATTTTTTTTTAATTTCTTATCATTTGATCTTTCATTTATATAATTCAAATGATCAATAAAATCAAAATATCTTATTGAATTTTGAATTTTATATTCATACGTACTCTATCACATATGTAAAAATAAATTATATATATTATCATACAAATCATATCATATATATCTCATTATAACTTATATTAGTTCATAAATCATAACTTATATTTCAAAACTAGTAACATAATATAAATAATAAAAACACAATTTCTCCGTCAAGCAATAATGAAAATACAAGTATAACAAAGTGTTATAATAAGTAAAATATAAACAATTTTAATGTTAAAATTCATTTAAAACATGTTATTTAATGGCTAGAAAATATTTGTTTTATTCTGTCATACAAATTTTTTTTCTTAAGACAATATCATATTTGCTCAATTACGAGTTTTACTCGCCTAACAATTAAATCTCTAATGTTTCTATTGGAATGAATTCACTTAACGAATAAATGATCATCAACTGTTAAAATTCTTATATTTTTCAAATTAGTTTTATTATCTAACAACCAAAACTTAATTTCTCATTAAAGTTTTGTTCAACAAATTGTTTGTCATCCAATAATATTTATGTAGAAAATAATTATATAAAATTCTAAAATCAACAAAATATATTTTTCAATTCATTCAAAACATCTATTTCAAATTATAATCCAAATCACTTAAACACACTCATATCTTCTAATATAGAATATTTATATAATAAAACTATTTTTTTAAAATCTCAATCAAAGTAAAAACTTAAAATTCCAAATTTCTCAAATCTCTATCTAAAACATTGATTAAAATAAAAAAAAAGTGATCATCTAGAGCATTAAAGCATGGTTAAATTTAAAAAAAAAAATAGAGAAAAAAATGAAAAATTTAAAAAACAAACGAGAGAGAATTTTTTTAAAGAAACATAATAATTTAGAAAAAAAAATTTAAATGACTAATATTAAATTTTTATAATCAATATTAACTTAATCAGGACTATTTTTAAGTTGCTTAAATTAGGTATCATTTTTTTTGTCTAAATTAATAAATATAGATAGAACAAATAAAGAAAAAAAAGGTCAATAAAATTAATAAAATATAATAAATTTGAAGGATGTGTGGTTTTAAAAAATAGACAAAAAAATTAAAAAGATAGAAAATACATAATATTTTGCTTTCACCAATTTATCTTATTTTTTCTCATCTCTCTTCACTGTTTTCACTTGGTTCAGAGATGAATGTTTTAGATATTGAACTCAAGTTTTTAATTTCTGTCATTATTATTAATTTACATAAAATAAAGTGAATTTTAATACAGATTAAAAGAGACCAAGATTGTTCAGATGACTCCATGCTCTTATCTTTCCTCCAAAAGTTGACGGAAGAAAGGGTACGTGTCTTCTTTTTCATCAATTTATATATTCATTTTATTTCACACTGAAAAATATATACAAATACCCATAGTAATAAATATAAATATTATAATAATTATAATATAATAGGAACATAGGTTATAAAATAAATAGATTTAAATATGATATTTGAAAATACAAAAAAAATATATATATATATATATATATATATATATATATATATATATATATATCGTATTGTTCTAATTTATTTATGTAATCATTATTAATTTTTTTTGTTAATAATTAATATAATAATTGTAAACAAATAATAAATGAAATGATCAGTTAACTCAAAAGATTAATTAAACTAATATAAATTTTAAAAATAATTATCTATCTAAGAACATGTCAATATCAATGTAATTATATATAAATCTGATTTTTTTTTTTTTGCAAATACCAAATATAACCTGGAGCATGTGAAGGTGGTGAAGAGAATGGAATCATTCGTGGATAATTTATTTGTAGGGAGTATGCTCTGCCATTTGGCTGTTCCTCATGGAACTTCAATTCGGAGGTTTTGTGAGGCACATGTCATATTTTTAACCATTACTTTATGCATTTTTATTAAAATAAAACATTTAAAATTAAATAGAGAAGAACTATATATTTTTTCATAAACAACAAACAAATATCAATTTAGTTACAAGGAAAAATAGATATTTAAATCTAAATATAGAAAATTTTCTTGTTAGATTAAAAGTTGAGAATAAAAAAAAGACCAAATCAAATGAAAGGGATAAATATTAATTATTGTCTTATCAGAAATAATCAAATCCAATAATTTGAATAGAAAAACAATTAATAATCACTTGTCATTACATTTTCCTCGTCATTGTATATATATTTACATAATTTATATATATATATATATATATATATATATATATATATATATAATTTTAAAATATTGAAGAAAATAATTTTTGTTTGATTATATTATGAGGATTTGATCTCGTTATCTTTGAAAAGAAGATATATAATAAAATTAGTTTGACGTTAATTAATCCAATAATCAAACACTGTTGCTAAGTATTTTTATATCAGCACTTTAAAAAAGAATACGAATATACAGAGAAGCGATTTTTTTTTTTTTTTTTTTTTTTTTTTTTATGTTCACATGATAATTGAAAATTGTAAAAGTTTTGGTAGTTGTGAAGAAATCTATCAAATGCAGTCTTCCGATACGTGTTTTTTTCTCTTTGACTAATTTTGGGTAAATTTCTTTAAAAATACTTCTAATAATTTTTTTTATAAACTAAAATTAACTTATTCATAAATTTAAATTAAATAAGATACAATAGAAAATAAATATATTATCTCTGTACCAAAAATTAAGGAAACTTCTACCATTTACCGTTTGCATGAATTAGTCAAAGAATATTAATTTTTTTCATTTAAAAAATATTTTTCAAAATAACTATGCAAACACACTTTAAATCATAAGAAACAATATTGTTTAAATCATGAGACAACCCATATCACCTTTATAATTTGTGTATTTAATTTTTCATATAATCAAACATTAATAAACTATCACCTACGACTTCATCTTAGTTTAAAGAATGAAATTTTAGAATTACTGGGGATGGCATGGCCCAAGTTTTGGCATTATAGTATTCAATTGAACGATTTTGAAGAATTGTCTTGGAATGCATACCTCGATATCTTAAGGAACCTTATCCCTACGTAAATTCGTTCCTGCATTTTCGATCACACCAAGATATTCGATATCATAGGGCTATGAGATTGAAGCTGTGAACAAGCTTTTGGAATTGCCAATTTGTTGTTTAAAAATTATAATACTAAATAAAATCAATTTGAGACATTCCTGGTAATAATACTTTCCATTCATAATAGCACCCACTGTCATTACACCAAATGAAATTACTAATACTTTTATCAGTGTTCAAAAAGCTGTAAAGAAAAAGGTAGTTTCTATATAAATTTACAGTGGAAAAGATACACGAGAACTTGACCGATGTGCAACTGTTAAACAAGAAGGCATTTAACTTGTGCCCCCTATTAGACATTTTTAAACCACTGGAAACAAGTAATGCAAATTTTGGATTTGGGATGAAAGCGGCACAGCTTCCATTCTCTAATGTAGCCGCAAATAACAACTCATTGTGCAGCCCGAAGGCATCATGAGTGTTCTCGTGTTTTCTTTTTACCTTTTTCCATCATCCAGTTTTCGAGCATGTAACTTACTTTGGCTTCTTCCGCATACCCATCCGCGATTTAGCATATCTAAAGTTCTTGTTAAGCAATAACAAACATGGATCAGTAATGAGATTCGACCACTACCAAAATCACATAACAAAAACAAAAACAAAAACGCAGGTGACCAAAGGATACTCCAAACGCATTCCCTCGCCAGTCTGTGAGGAGTGAAGAATTGTGCCTTGCAAACTGTTTAGAGCTTCAGTTGAGGTAGTGACATCCTGCACATATATCAGGGGCCTTACAATATATACCTTTCGTGACTGCTCAGAATGAACATCCAAATAAATTATGCAACTGGCCAATGAGGCCCACACACTAGTTTTCTGCATTTTTTTAACATGACTTTCGCAACAGTTTTTCTGTTAGAAGTCATCATTATTACATGCAATCAGTTGGATTTTTAAACGAATACAGACAGAAAAAGCCCAGGGAATCCATTCATATTAGAAATTTGATGCAGGAACGTGTTGGGCTGCGGAGCAAAGGTACTCTAAAATAGTAAAAGCATAATATGGATACATGTCCTATACCTAAAAAAAATTCCATTAATTTTTTATTTTTAAAAATAATTTACCTGATGTGTCTCCAATACTCTATATATACGTAGAATACCTCCCTAAATATGGCTCAAGACACTGTTCTGTATCTCGTGTGGTTTTTTTATTGTTAAAAGACACCCAATAATGTATATTGTTAAAAAAGAGTCTCTTTCAAACGATGACGGGCTTGTCATTCTCAGTCATATTCTGTGGAAACAAAACTTTTGGATTGGACAAGTGATGTTTATTATGACATTCTAGCTTGGTCAAAGAAATTGTATATTTTTTGTGACATGATCATAGTAAAAGGAAATAATCTGATGTGGGTGGGGGAAAAGATATGTCAGCGTTTACTTGTTATGGCCACAAATATCTTTTCGGTAAATTGTAATAATTATACATTGATTATTGACATCTTCATGTATCAATAAGCAGTAAGTAATGTGAATGTCTCTTTACATATATTGTGTGTATGTTACATATATAGTTTTTTATTGAAGTATCTAAACCTTGTCGTACTTTAATATTTTTTTAAATTCACCACATCTAACGTATGCAGGCTTTCTAGATGCAGAGTGACAAAATACTCCCATTTAGTAGTTATATATGAAGTGCAAAAAATAAAAGAACAAAAAAGAAACCTGGAAATCCACAAATGCAACTGGGGCCCCGTATGTGCTCTGCATCTTCAGTTTCAAAAATCCTCTGTATCTGATGGAAGAATTTATTATAAAAACAAATTCAAATTCAACTTCTACAGATTTTACAAATACAAAAATACCTCGTAAGCGTATATGTCTACTGACCTAGAAAACACTTGCATTAGCTCTTGTTCATTACAAGACGGCCCCAAATTAGCTACGAATAAAGTTGCACATGGCGTTGGGTTTTGAGGAATGTAAGGAGTTGAAGACTTCTTCTGTCAACATACAAGAAAAGAAACAAAACAATTACTCTAAGGTAAAATGTGTGGTTCTAAGATTAAATAAGGCACTGTCAAATACAAATGACTGGGGTCCGTAATATTCAAACATGAGAAACATATTGACTTATATGTTGCATTTTTGTATAAGGCCACATTTCATCAATGGCAAACAAATGGTTAGATGTGGTGTGTACAAATGAAGAATAGCTTTACAAGATAAGCATCAGGTCACCTCCAAAAGTTACAATTATACTATCATATAAAGCATAATAATGTTGAAGTTGAACAACCGAACACTACAATTTTATACAAAGGTTCCGAAACAATATGGACATTGAAGCTTGTGTTGATTAGGAATAAAAGAGATAAAATTTCCATGCAAGGGCATAGTCAAGTAACCATCAAGTCCCTTAAGGAACTATTGAATCAGAGAACAGAAACTCTGACTAGCTTACCATCTTCATTTCACACCAGTCTGAAGTCCCACTTTTAGCACATCAATCGAACCATCCAATCAATTGGTAGTGAAGAAAAGAGGACTGGTGCAAATAACCTGTTGGTGTGAACAGTTAAGGTCCCTATTTCCCCAATCATCCATCTCGAGTCCCTTCACCTACGGCTTAGGACTGAGGGGCTGTGTACATACCAGTTACCCATGCTTCAGTTAGCTGACCTTTGGAAGCTTGTGGTCAGGCAAAAACTGACGTACCAAACTGCCAGGGCCAACATCTGACAGCCCAAAAACACTCTTGGCCCAATAAGCTACAATAACCAATATAATAGAAATAGTAAAGATAGGGATAGTTAATCCCCATATATCGGGCCCAATGATGGAGCTTCTTGTGGAGTAAGGAAGGCAATAACCCCCCAAACTTTTGTAACTTATTTGTATATTTATAATTTTGACCTCCATTTAATTTTTTCTCATATATATTAAAACAAACAATTAAATATATTGAACAAGAAAATATTTTATATTCTCTCACATTTTCATATTCTTTCATTATTTATTAATGATATGTTATTTGGCTTCCCAAAATCATTACTCAAGATTCACTACGCTTCTGTTCAGACCCATAATCCTCATATCTCAGGATCCATAATCCACATATTTAGGGAATCCTGCTAAGCTAGGATCATCACGCATAAATAGGCTCTCCAACATATATCAAAACAGAACTAAGACACCATTCTATTTGATTAATTGTTTTGGTAACAAAAGAGACCTCAAATAACTGGAACATAACCTGAGAAAAAGTTTTGGTGTCAGGTTGGAGGGAAAAGAAGAGGCTGGAGACGGAAAAGGGGTGTATTTAATTTTATCTTGTTTGGTTAAAAATTTAGGAGAAGGGAAATTAGATAGCTAAAATCTCATCTTTACTATTTCTCCCCTCCAATGTTAAAGGGAAATTGTTTATAATATTTGGACTGTGTACAGCAAAATTCCCCAAAATTTATTTTATTTTCATATCCTCTATTACCATTACAAGGGATAAGTCTTATTTCCCTACCTGCCCCTTGTGAACCAAACACATTGTTATGCAAATACTAGCAGAGCAACAATAGAACATTATTATTCACATAATAGTGGAGAAAGGAACCATAATGGGATAGGGCTTGGTTATAATTGTTTTTATATATTCTGTATATTATTACTGCATAAAAAAATCAAAGAGAATAGAAATGGAAGTTAGACCACTTATTTCCTAGGATATTTACAAAAACCAAAAAAATAAAAAATTAAAAAAGAAATATAGCGTTGTTTTAGGAGTAGCTTATCTCCAAACCAACGGATAGGTGGACAGACAAAAAAGCTTTTGAATTCAGTTAAAGATTGTCAGAATAAAACGTTTCCAAACAGAAAACACTTTCGGTTTAACACGGATATATAACCAACTGAAGCACGTCAAAGTGGAAATCTTTTCAAGCTTGTGCATAAAACAGATATATTCTGTATTTACAGCACTAACCAGATTCATATATAGGCCATCACTCGCAGCACTCCCATCAGCATTCCCAAGACTATTACAGAAAACAAACAGACAAATAATGAGATGAGATAGCAACAAATACAAAGGCTGATACTGAAAAAAAAAAAAAAAAAACACCGTTACTTCAAACATATTAGTTATTTTCTTCTACTCGAGAGAGATCCAAACAGAAGTTCAAACTAATACTGTAAATTTGGAAAATGTGCTTTATCAAAGATAGAAGCAATCAACTTCCACATAATAAACCGTGATTAAGTAGTGCAGATGACCTTTGTGCAGATGGATAACCATACGTGTTCGTGTTGAAAGCAGGATTACCCATTCCAGGCATGTGAATGCTGCTAACACCTGCTAGTGCCGAAGAGTGCAAAACATGTGCAAGGTGAGCTCATAGGTAAAAGTGTCCTTGGTGTGATCAATAGTTAACTGGCCTCCAAGCAACAGAATAGACAATGAACTGAAGATAACACAACACAGTAAACTGAAAAAAAAATACAAACTTCACACAACCTATATACACAGACAACATCAACGCATCGTGTTTCAAACTAACAACATCATCTTACCAGAATCGGGAGTGGCCCATGATGATGAAACGCTTCTAGCTTTCTTATCCGCGCCAGCTCTCTCATCATCTGTTTACAAAGGTCAATCAATCAATAAAATTCAACTGGAAGCTCTTGAAATACATAAACAATGACAACAGAATTCCTTGAATGGAGTTAGAACTAATAAAACACACCTATCCTAGTGCGTTTGGATCTAGAGTTTGATTTTGCCAGATCAATGTAAAGTGTGGAACCCTTTTCAAGATCAAACACCATCCCCTGCAAACCACATTAATCAAAACAAGTAATGCCACGCATAAAAAAATGCTTCAATGTCACTGAGCACAACATGTAACACACAAACAATTTAAGTTACTAAAAATAGAAAAAATGAAATTGTTTTCTAGTTGAGCAATCGGAGAAACACTTTGATAAAATATTTGATCTAAACCGAATGATAAGATCCTCACATTCAGAGCATGCATTGCCATGATTGCTGACTGCTGACTGGCGAACACAGCAAAAGCAAAAGGCTGTCAACAAAAAAACCACGTCAGAGAAGCGAATCACAAAAATTCGTCAAACAAGAATCCCCAAGAAATTAAAATTCAAATGAACCTGAGACGAATTGGTGGGACTGCGGAGATGCGAAGATTCATAACCGGGAAATTCGCGGAAGAGGTTGTAGATTTCGCGGGGCTTTACATCTTCCGGGAGCCCAGCTACGAATAGGGTGCGAACCTCGTTGGTGGAGGGCTGAGGAGCACCGTAAGAACCGAACACCGCTTGCTGCTGATGCTGAGCAACGTACGGCGGATGTACGTGGTGCGACGGCGGGACAACCGCGCCGGGTGGTGGTGGTACCACCGCCATAAGCGGTGGCGGAGGTGGCGGAGGAGGCGGTTGATAGTACTGGTGATAAGTGAGAAGACCCGCCGGTTGGGGCTGTGAGTAGTAGGCAGCCATGTCGTCCATGGAATTCATTGCACACGCGACAAGCCCTAGAATTTTGGTTTAATTTTTTTTCAATTGTTTTATTCTGTTTGTGGGCTTTAAAATGTTCTGCTATCATCACATTAGGAGGTTTAAGTGGCCTTGGCCCATTGGCGAAGTAGCATTGCGAGACTACTATAACAAAATACAGTTTAATCTACGCAGAAGAAAAACAGAGAAAATGATATGAAAAATGATACACTAACAAACATATAATACATCACGAAATAATATAATTTAAGTAAACACTTAAATATAATTTATCATAGGATTATTTTTAATAATACTAAAAAAAAATTACACCACTGATATAAGTGTCATTAGAATCAAGTAATAGGTTCGTAATTTGTCCCTTTTAGAGTTTATAAATTATCTTGATCACTGTGTTATATTTATAATGTAACTAGTCTTCCCTATACCATGTTTCACTCCCAAACACATGTCAAATATCAAGGTTTCAATAGCTATGAGCCTCACTTAATGAGATCAATAGATTAAAGAAGTGAAGTAGAAATGAAAAATATTTACATATTATTGAATAATAACTGTAAAATATGATGTAGTTTTCCTACGTTCTTGATTCATTATAGAAAACTACTTTACAGGATCTTTAGATTATTAATTTTCACAATTTAACATACATACATGAATCATAATCCTTGATCCATGAGAATCTTTTCTTTCTTTCTTTTCGTTCTCCAATCTCCTTTTCCCAATCTATCTCTTTGCCTTTCTTTCTCTTCTCACACTTCGCTTTCTTGATGGTTTATCGTGAAAAAACCTTATGGCCAGAGACAGAACCTTAATCCCTTTTATTAACCAACGTCCATCAAGTTGGTTACCATAAGTTAATATTTTATTTTATTCTGACTTCACATAATAACCAATAGGTCCTTATAATTTATTAAATCACATTTGGGCCTATCATTATATTTCATATGAGTCACATAATGTAATAAATTAATTAAATTAATTCTAACATTCTCCCACTTGACTCATGTGATGTCATACGATTATGTGATTTAATACTTAAGTCATAATGCGCATTAAAGGACCTTACATAAATTGGTTCTATCATTATTCATAATTAAAGATACAGTTATAACAAGAGTCATGACGATTACATGTCATTCAATCGACAAGCTCCCTTTCATGTACCACTATATTATCTCTTTCTCCTTAATATGACTTTATAATGAGAAGTCCATAATGGGTTCAAACATAATATCATTTTAAAAATAATAACATAATTTGTTTTCTTCATCATAATTTGCATGCATATAAATAAAGAAGAAAACACAAATTTCAGAAACTTATACGTTAAAGATCTCATAGTGTCACATAAACATTAATAATAACATTAACTTTCAACATTCACTACTAGTAAACATAATGCCCATATTTACTATATGGCCAGCAAACAACTTGGGCGGTAATCCCTTTGTTAAAGGATCAGCAATCATAAGATCAGTGCTAATATGTTCTATTGACACTCTCTGTTTCTGAACTTATTCTTTAACGACAAAGTATTTCAATTCCATATGCTTAGCACCTTTGGAATACTTGTCGTTCTTAGAAAAGAAGACTGTTGCGGAATTGTCACAATAAATTTTCAGCGGCTTGGCAATGCTGTCGACTACTCCAAGTCCTGAAATAAAATTCCGCAACCAATTAGCTTGAACTGTGGCCTCAAAGCATGCCACAAATTCAGCTTCCATGGTGGATGCAACAATGATAGACTGCTTCGCACTTTTCCATGAAATCGTTCCTCCGGCTAAAAGATACACATAACCAAATGTAGACTTTCGTGTATCCATACAACCGAGCAAAATCGAATCTGTATATTCAATCACCTCAAGGTGATCAACTTTCTTATAAGTAAGCATGTGATTCTTTGTTCCTTGTAGGTATCTTAAAACTTTCTTTGCAGCCTTCCAATGATCCGAGTCCAGGATTACTCGGTATCTACCAAGCATACCAACTGCAAAGCTAATATCCGGCCTCGTACATGTTTGAGCATACATCAAACTCCCAACAACGAGATGCATAAGGGATATTTTCCATCCTGTTTCCGTTCCAAGTCATTCTTTGGACATTGCATGAGACTAAATTTGTCTCCTTTCCGTATTGGAACGGGAGATGCGGAACAATTCTCCATTCCGAATCTCTCTAAAAATTTATTAATATATGCTTTCTGAGACAAACCTAACAGTCCTTGTGATCTATCATAGAATATTTCTATTCCTATCACATAGTATGCCTCACCCATATCTTTCATTTCAAAGTTGTTAGAGAGAAACTTCTTAGTCTCACTTAATAGACCAAGATCATTAGTCGCAAACAAGATATCATCAACATACAGAATCAGAAATATAAACTTACTCCCAATGACCTTCAGATATATACATCGATCAACAGTGTTTTCCTTAAATCCAAAGGACAAAATAGTATCATTGAACTTAAGATACCATTGTCGAGAAGCTTGTTTAAGTCCATATATTGATTTCTTAAGTTTACACACCATATGTTCCTTTCCCTCTTCAATAAACCCCACTGGTTGATTCATATAAACATCCTTCTCTAAATTTCCATTCAGAAAAGCAGTTTTAACATCCATTTGATGCAACTCAAGATCATAATGAGCTACTAATGTCATGATAATTCTAAAGGAATCTTTCTTAGAAACAGGTGAAAATGTTTCCTTATAATCAATGCCGTCTTTCTGAGTAAAACCTTTGGCAACAAGTCGGGCCTTGTAACGTTCGATATTGCCATGAGAGTCACGCTTAGTCTTAAAGACCCATTTACACCCAACACTCTTACATCCTTCTGGCAATTCCACAAGATCCTATACACCATTATGTGTCATTGATTTAAGATCATCTTTCATAACATCTAACCATTTATCAGAATTATCATCATTAATGGCATCTGAAAATGAAACTGGTTCATTATCAATACTTAGGTCATTCTCTGACTCTTGTAGATAAACCACGTAATCATTCGAAATAGCAGACTTTCTTTCTCTGTGAGATCTTCTTAATACTATTTCCTGTGGTTGTTCTATTATCGGATCATTGTTAATCTCAGGATTATTAATTTGTTGTTCTTCTTGATTGTCGTGTGATTCTACACCATTTGGAACAACAACTCTTGAAGATGTACTAGTTATTGGAACTTGTACTCTAACTTCCTTAATCTCCACATTCGTGAAACTTCACTCCCACTGGTTTCACCATTTTCAATGAACCGAGCATTTCCAGTTTCAACAATTATTGTACTATGAGTAGGACAGTAAAACATATACCCCTTTGATTTTTCTGGATAACCAATGAAATATCCACTGATTGTTCTAGCATCCAGTTTCTTTTCTTGCGGATTATAAATTCTTACTTCTGCCTGACAACCCCAAACATGTAGGTGTCTTAAACTGGGTTTCCTACTTGTCCATAACTCAAAAGGAGTCTTTTGAACCGCTTTACTAGGAACCCTGTTCAACAAATACATGACAGTCTTCAAAGCATACATCCACAATGATACAGGTAAACATGAATTACTCAACATACTCCTAACCATATCCATTAAGGTTCGATTACGCCTTTTAGACACACCATTTTGTTGCGATGTGCCTGACATTGTGTATTGAGCACAAAGACTACGCTTCTCAAGGAACTTAGCAAACGGACCAGGGTGTTGTCCACTTTCATCATATCTTCCATAATACTCACCACCTCTATCTGACCTGACAATTTTCACCTTCTGTCTAATTGTCTCTCCACTTCGTTTATATAACTTTCTAAGTGTTGCCGCCGTCTCAAAAGAGAAGGTCGGTCGGAGCGACGCGATGGTTTTTTTGACCCTCTTTATTTTCGCGCTTTTTATTGGTGGTTACAACGCCTTTAGGTTGTCCGATAACCGGGCTAACCTAGGGGCGAGGTTTTTGAAAGTATCCCTGGGTTGTCCGATAACCGGGCTAACCCAGGGACTTATTTAATTTGGGTTCTATGGAATCGCCACCGATATTTTTACCATAAACATCGGAAAAGGGGTTTTAAAAAGGCGTTGGTTTTCGAAAACCAACTTTGGTCATTAGAACCAGAGTTGGGTAAGGGAGTTAGTTACGTGTAAAGGAAGTGTTAGTTCCTTTACGACGCCCCTTTCGGGTTCCCTATGATAGGCTGGCTACTTTGAATAAATAATTAAACTGGAAAAATGCGCTTTTACCCTTTTATTATGCGGAATTTAAGTTTATGACTACATGACCCTAGCTTCTATTGCGTAATTTAAATGTCAGTAATAAAAATAGAGAGGGAGAATATGCACCTCCAAAGCAAGTTTTTATATTTTAAAAGAGATGGTGTGTTTTGGCAACCCTTCACTCTACAACTCTCAGAAACTCCGGAAATGCCTCGGAGGGATTCTAAAGGAGATTTAGAACGCTCAGTTTATGCCTAGAGACACTTAGAAACTCCGGAAATGCCTCGGAGGGATTCTTAGAGAGAGAAAGTCTAGAGAGAAGGGAGAGCTATGTTGATTCTGTGTGGAAATGAGGGGGGGAGGACCCCTATTTATAGTTTTTCGCGCCTGACAGGTCGAGACCGCCGTTTCCTCTGACAGGGTCAAGACCGCCGTCTGGAAAGTCCAGACCGCCGTCTCGTTCATTGCAGAGGGTCAAGACCGCCGTCTCGATTAGGCAGGAATCGAGATCGCCGTCTGGAAAATCCAGACCGCCGTCTCGACCTTTGCAGGAGTCGAGACCGCCGTCTGGAAAATCCAGACCGTCGTCTCGACCTTTGCAGGAGACGAGACCGCCGTATGGACAATCGAGACGGCGGTCTCGTCCTGGCGTTGAGACGAGACGGAGGTCTCGTCCCTTTAGGGCGAGAAACTTTATTTTCGGGCCAAAAAACCTTCCTATCTTGGTACAGGAGCGTAATAGTCTCTCCTAATGACTTGTTAAGCTTCGGCTGTCT